TATTAGGCTATAGAAGATAGTAGTATCGCAAAATATACTTTATCCGATATAGTAGTTACTCCACACGTGACAGCTATTTGCCGTCAACTTTGAACGTTTCAATATAGAGGGCAATTTGGTAGCCTTTGTAGATATCGTGGTTAGGGGTTCAAGTAATACATTCCGCCGCTTTTTGCATTCAATAGCTATGTGTGTGCCTTTACCTGTAACTATTCCTTTCCTCGAGAGTAACTACTCTAGGTATCAGTGTTCCTACTTTGAAAACACATATGGCAACAAACGGTTGGTATCATAGGTCGTAGGATGTTGTAAACTCAGTAAAGGAAATTCTATTAGGCATAGAGAAAGATATCCAAACTATACAAACTTCATCGCTTCAAACGCTGGACAAAATAACATGACTATTTAGTTAGAATAAATGGACAAAGTAAACAGAAAGAAACATGTACAAGATCGCTAATTATCACAAGAACATAAGAAACCACAGTATATGCAAGCAGCCCCTGTGTCTGAATGCCAGGAGGATATATCAATTTAGAATCAGTGCAGTGCTTAAGAAGGACGGGTATTTCGTCGAACCATTCGTCTGGCCATGCCCAGGGCCTTGAACCAAGAATTCTTTTCTACCTTGGCATTCGGCACAGAGTCATAGTCATCCTCGATTGAATTCTGAGACGACGATGCCTCGATAGCCTTTTCTTTCTCCATTGACCGCTGAGAACATAAGGTAGCCATCTGTCCCAGCATAGTGGGGTGATCAATAAGGTCTTCCACACGCACTGTGAATCCCTCTTGCTCAAGCAGCCAGGCCACCTGTGCGAGGCCCATTATATCACCGTTGAGATCAAAGAAGGAAGATTCAAGGTTCAAGCTTGTTGTGTTCTCTTCTCCCAGGACTTGACGCCAGGCTCGGCTGAGAATATCGGAAAGAACTAAAATTTCAGCCTGGGTAAGGTCTTGCAGCTGTGAGGAAAGGAAATAGCTGTCATATGGCTTTTGGGTTTCGTCGATAGTCTGGGGTGGCATCTTTGCTATCTGCTGAGGAGAAAGCAAGACCATGCTTGTGTCTGCCATGAAGTTGGAGATGGTATTGCAAAGCATGTTTAGGACCTTTTGGGCGAAAATGGGAGTGATTGAGCTGTTGAGTGAGAAGCCAAGTGCTATCTCACATTTATCACCCTCTTGTAGGCTTGATACAACGGAGAAATCAGAAAAGTCTTCCTCGGTTCCAACTGCTCCCATGGTGTAAGTGTTTCTTCCCAGAGTCATCTCACCAGTGACACTAGCAAATTGATGCTGGACAACTGTGGTGAAGTTGGTCCAGTCTGGCCATTCTGTGCAATGCTTGGTAATCTCACGGAATCCAAGAGCTTCGTATGACATGTTGCGGACTTGCTGGTCCTGAACAAAACGCAGGAGGTCAAGTGCTGTCCATCGTTCGTTGAACTGTACTCTGACGGGGATGATGTTAAGACAGGGACCGACTGTACTCTCGACTCCGGGAACCGTGGTATTACGACCGCTGATTGTGTGACCAAATACGACGTCGGGACTTCCTGAAAGTTGTGCTAGTACCATTGCCCACGCTGCCTTGATCACTGTAGCGGTGGTAATATTTCCGTGAGCGATGGCAGGCAGTAGGACCGTTTGTTTTAGTTGACTAGTGGCACCTGCTGATCGTCGGTAGTTCGGTCCCTCTCGTCGGACGATTTCTGTCATCTTGGAGCCTTTGAGGAGCGTCTTCCAGTGCTGATAGTGATCCGATGTTATGGTGGAGGCAGAAGACCGAACATAACTGGCAAACGAAGACATCACAGGAAGCGGTTCATCGTCATAGCCAGCTTGAATTGCGCTAAAGATCTTTGATATGCAGACTCCATCATATTGAGCATGGGATAATCTCATAATGATGCGGTGATGGTTGCTATCTTTTTCTTTGACCACAGTGAAGTTAACAAACGCTTCACCAAGGCGAGGGCCTTGCTCACGATCTCGCTGCTGCAACATTGCGACAAACTCATCAAGGTTGGACTCGGTTTCATAGACGAAGAAATCAGGGCGCATTTTGCGTAGAACGACCTGGAGGAAGCGGTCACCACTGGGCAAGAACACCGTACGGAGGATATCAACCGAGTGGACAAGGCGAATAAAGCTTCTCTTGAGCCGTCGAAGATCCAAGACTCCGTGTCCATCAAGATAAAAGTAGTTGAGCATCCATCTCGATTCTAGGAGAGAGCCAGTGATGGCAAGGGCCTGGAAATCGGTCACAGGGAGGACATCTACCATACCTCCCTTGAAGACACCGACCTTCGGAATAATGTTGTTCTGAAGGAAGGCATCGATGTTGGGAGCCTTAACTAGAGAGAATCTCTGGTAGAGTTCACTCGTGGCTGCTGATCGAATTGCCTGGCTTTGGGCATTGAAGTCATCCATATCAGCATCATCAACGTAGGTGTTCATCATGCTAGCCACACGAATCACAGCAACCATATCCTCGAATACAGGGTTTCGGAACACATCGGCTACTGTGAGTGACAGGCCTTCATCTCGTGCAGCTCCTACAAGTCTCATGGCCGTGAGACTGTCGCCTCCTAACTCGAAGAAGCTGTCTTCTCCTGAAATTGAATCTTCATCCATTTCTAACATGGAGCTCCAGAGTACCAGGAGCTTCTTCTCAATGTGAGCTGACCTTCCTCTCTTGTTAATATGGGCTGCCATTGATGTCCGGTCTGTGTCAGTCTTGGGGTTGTAGTCTGATTGCTCCCAGGCTTCAGAGGGGGTGGCAGTTTCGGGTTCCATGCCCTTGATGGACTCGGAATGAAGGGTTTGTTCAGTGCTCACGACTTTGTTGTTGTCGCCAATGTCTCGACGGGAATTATTCAGCAAAATCTCATCAGCACTCTTGGTGGCAAGCTGTCCTGATTTGGCCATTTTCTGTAGTATATCTTGGACGCAGGAATCAACAATCTTTCGTAATTCGGCATTGTTGTTAAGCAATTGTTCCGTGCTAAGGTTCCCGGTAGACATTTGAGCAAGATTGGACTCAAGTTCGGCCTGCTTTGGTTCTTCTCGGGTACGTTGGGGAAGCTCCTCGCGCAGTATTGAACCTGTCGTCTTCGTTGGGTCATACTCGGAAACGAGCTGCTCAGGGCGAGTGATGAAAGATGTTAATACATGGGCCATGCTTGCGGCCATCTTCTGAGCTTCAGCCTCGCTAATCATATTGTCCCAGTATCGGAGAAGGACACCTTCATCACCCTTAGCAGTCTCAACGTTGACGGTTATAGCATACTATAATTCAGTTAGTTATTATAAATAGATAAGAAATTTGGAAGACCAAAGAGACAACCTACCTCACTTGGATCATGTCCACCCAAAGGCTCGAAGAGGATGCCTTCTTCAACAGCATCACTGGATTTTGCATGATTCTGGGAAGAGATGGCTGTATTATACAAAGGCTTGCCTGCAAGTCCTAGTTCATGTTGAACTTCGGCAAGGGAACATCTCTGATATGGCAAGCTGTCAAGATAATCTTCCTGCACCTTGCGGAAAATTTCATGGAATGATGCTCCTGGGGAGAAGACAACACGGCAACAGAGCATGTTGATGAATGCTCCAATTGTCTCCTGAATACCATTGACAGGGGCGTCACGGCCGGCGGATAGATACCCGAAGCACACATCGTCTGACCCAACATATGCCCGTAGGACGACCGCCCAAGCGGCGTGCATAACATTGGACATAGTGACCTTCTTCTGCTCACACATAGTTTGAAGTTCTGGGTAACGTTCAAACTTGACAAAGGTTGTACGCAACTGTTTCTGTGTGCCCGAGAAGGAGCTGAGTCGTGGGAGATGACATGGCTTCAGACCTCCAAGATAATTTTTCCAGAATTTGATTTCACCGACTGTCGATTGGCTTCGAATGAATCGAATGTAGTCGCTGTACAGCGGGCCTTGGCCGGTTGGAAGTCGGTCCTCGTACGCGGCAGCTAAGTCTGCCATCAAGATAGATACGGAACCTCCATCAATAACTGCATGATTGATTTCCATCTTGATTATGACGCCACCATCAGACTTCGAGCAAATGGTAATCTGATGGGGTAGCTGTGGGCGTTTCTTGCCATTATTATCTTTTAGCCTGATTGTCTTCATCTTATCCATTGCGTTTGAACTGTCAGATGAGATGTGGATAGCGCCACTGTTAACTTCCTTAACAACCAGCTGGCAGAAGGTAACCCCTCGGCACGGGCTGTCAATGAAAACCGTACGTAGCGCAGCATGACGGTCAACAACTTTTTGCCAGGCTCGGCCGAGTTTCTGTGCGTCAATCCTCTTCGACCCCTTTGCAGAGGTAACCTCGAAGCTGGTGTGGAAGACGTAGCTGTCAGGGTCTCTCAGCTGACTTAACAGGATACCTTCTTGGATAGGAGAACATGGGTAGATATCCTCGACCTGATCACGGCTAGAAACGCCAGCTCTTGGGAAGGCCGACTTGGAGAGTTTCTGAAGCGCTTCGTATGATATCGGCAAAAGAGGATAATCGCTGAGGGTTGGTTCTGGGGCACTATGGCTCATGGCATCAACAGTCTCACGTAGAGTTTGCTTACACTCTGAGATCCATCGACGGATGCGCTGTACCTGTCTCATATTCTTGTTAAACATGAATGTGAAGCGGATTTGATCCTGGAGCACGATAGCGGATATCTCGAACAGGGCAAACCGAATAGTTCTTGGGCCCATGTCACCAGTGCTCTTTGCCTCATCCTCATCCGTAATTAGGTCTGCCTGCTGCAAAAGAGAGTCATCACGTTCAAGCTGTTGCATGCGACCAAGGTAGTTGACTACGATTTCCATAGGGAAAGTATCATCATGCTGAGAAGCATGCATTGTTGAATACCTGTTGGCAAAGTAGAGTCGTCCGTTGTCTGGGATCTGGCGTCTAATATCTTTGGCACGCTTGAGGGTATCCAATACATCATCCTTTCCGTTTTCTAATTTCACAAATTTAGTAAAGTTTCCTTCAAGAAAGTGACTCCCTAATAGGGGAAACTTACGCATATCCACCGGTATAGTTGCCGGGCAAATGCTGGTGAACCAGCCAACAGTCCTGGATAGGTCCGGACCTCCTTGCCATGAATCACGACCATGGCCTTCATTGTATAGCGTAGGGACCTCTCGATCTTGGAATACCCTCGCAAATGAGTGGGCGATCGCAGTAAGGAATAGATCTATTGGCTCCGTCTGGAACGCTTTGTGGCTATCGCCCAAGGCAAGGCTGGAAGTAGCCTTATCTAGCTGGAAAGTTTCGTATTCGGCATCATGATAGGTGTTTTGTCTACCTTCCATTCCCCAGTATGAGAGGTTTGAAGGCTTCACATCAAACGGAAGAAGTGAGCTGGTGTTGTGAGCCTTCAAATGGGAGGTTTGAGCTGAGCACCATGACTGGAATGAGAGTGGCTTGTCAGTGTCGAGAGATTGGGTTCCTATAAACTCCTCTAGATCCTGGAGGATGATACGCCAGGACACCATGTCGACGCAAACGTGGTGGGCAGCCATAAAAATAAACTGTTCTCCATTCTGTGTGTTGAGTAGTTCAGCAGCCAGTATTGGGCCCTGTTCAATGTCTAGGCACATCTGCGCGTCTTTGATAATACGAGGAATATCATATTTCCTTGCGTTATCATGAGCTCGGCAGCGGAAAGAGGCATTGGTATCCTAAGAAGCTGTTAACTACACCACCTGCACAAATGTAGGGGTTGTTGGAGCATACCTTGGTGATCTTCTGGCGCCAGCTGTTTCCATCACGCACGAACCTGGCTCGGAGCATTGAGTGCTTATTAACTATGGCTTCAATGGCAAGCTTTACCGTGCGAGCGTCCGTCGGCTTGGTAATTCGGAGAGTGAAGCTCTGGTTGAACCGGGAGTCTCCATCCTGGGACTGAGACGATCGGAAATACAACTGTTGGACAGGAGACAAGTCGAATAGCTCGTCTACAACCTCCTCCTTCTGAGGGCCGGACACCTTATGTCCGACGCAGTTGGCAAGGTGAACAACCGACTTGCTACGCAAGACATCATGAAGAGACAGCTCAATATTTTTTTTGCGACATCGGGACATGACACCCATAGCGGTGATACTATCACCTCCTATACGAGAGTTAGATGTGATTTTGGAAGGTCAAGTATTACTAGTGGCTTACCAAGGCTCATGAAAGATTTGTTCAATTTGACATCCTTAATGTCGATATTGAGTACGCTTGCCCAGATCCTGCGCAAGAGTTCCGTCGTCCCGGTCGATTGACCTGGGCTGTCTTCCTCCTCTTCTGGGGCTGGATTGATTCGGTTGAATGTTTCCTGGTCCAGGTTCTCAAGCCATTTTAGAGCCAGCTTGCGGTCCAGCTTTCCTGAAACAAGCAGAGGAATGGCTTTAACCGGTATCCAGAGCTGCGGAACCATGAATGATGGCAATTGATTTGAAAGATCATCCTTGATTTTATCAATCTTTGCATTTGCTTTATCGACCAAAAATTTCTCTTCGAATAGCTCGAGGTTTCCGGTCGACAACTCCCGACTGGAGCCCAAACCTTCCAAAGAAAGTATGGCAAGAAGCTTCTTCTTGCAAGGGCCAGCCTTTGGCATCAAAACCAGGGCATGTCGGACCTCAGTATTTGAGTCGAGGCGACTTTGGATTTCGCCGAGCTCTAACCGCTGACCGTTCACCTTGACCTGATGATCCTTGCGTCCGAAGTATTCCAGGGCACCTTGGGATGTATATCTGACGAGATCACCAGTTTTATGAATCCGTCTGGTTACTTGAGAGGCTACTGGGAACTCGGCAGCCCATGCTGGATTCTCTGGGAAGCCTTCAGCTGTTTTATCAGGGGAATTAAGGTACTCACGGGCCAAAACAGGGCCTTCAAGTGCCAGCTCTCCTATGGCGCCCAATGGAGCCAGCTTGTTGTGATCTCTTGGATCAAGGACCCAGCCTAGTGACGATGGGAGTGGATGACCAATGGAGAGGCTGGACTTTTCGTATGAGGTCTTTGTATTGGTGACTGCAATAATGGTCGTCTCAGTTGGTCCGTAGCCGTTCATCAATTGGACCTTATCCGCCCATCTAGCGATGACCTCGCGGGACATGGCTTCACCTCCGCAGACAAGGGTTTTCAGCGATGGAGTAGCATCAGGGTCAACGACATTGGCAACCGACGGTGTCAAAAATGTCCAGGTAACGTTCATTCTGGAAATGGCGCCGGGAATATCTGCTAGGCGCTCCTTTTCGCTAGGTATGCAGATGCAGGCACCAATAGTAAGAGTAGTAAGGATTTCCAGAACTGAGGCATCGAAGGAAACGGATGCGAACTGGAACACTCGGGAATCTGGATGCATACACATGTTGGCGCTCATGGAAGCTGAGGCGCTGGCAAAGGCACGATGTTCGATAACGATTCCTTTTGCCTTTCCGGTGCTACCTGAAGTGAAGATGGCATAGGCACTGTTGTGTGGTTTTGCCCTTGATGGGAGCGAGTGCACACTCGGGAGAGACATGGCAGTGGCTTCATCGATCACTAGAGCAGTGTCCACAAAGGCCGAGAAGCGATCAAGATACCCGGGTGAGCAAATAGCCAATCTCGCACCGCTCTCCTGGACAATCTCCTGGTGTCTGGAGCTAGGGTGCAAGGGGTCCAACGGCACATATGCACCTCCAGCCATTATCACAGCCATCATCGCGACTATGGTCCAAGCAGACCGATCAACACAAATAGGAACGAAAACCTCGGGGCCAACGCCGTGTCCCGAAAGAAGTTTAGCAAATCGCAGAGAAAGATCTTTGAGTTCGCGATAGGTTAGCTGTCGTTCAAAATCAACCACGGCCAGCTTGTCTCCCTGCGTATCCGCCAGTCGATTGAATATATCGTGGGCGCACTCATTAACTTGCACTGGCTTGCGTCGATTCCACCATTTGATTGTTTCCTTGTCTTCGGGACAGAGAACTTCAACTTCGCTGAGTTTGGTGGCGGGTGCCTTCTTGAACAGCTGGTCCATGACATAGCTGAACTGGTCCAGGATCCGCTCGACGGTCCAGGCGCTGATGATACCCTCCTTGTGGTATATCGTGACCCCGACATCCTTCTTCGATAGTTGGCATTCGATAACAAGCGGATAGGTGAAGAAGTTATTTACGTCTCCATTCGCTTGAATTTCCCAGAGATCTTCCTGACCCTCTCCTTGGGCGGTTTGGATAACAAGGAGATTTTGGAAATCACAGGCTTCAGACGCATCGCCGTTCAACCTTCTGATATATTGGAGACCGGCATGCTGGTGTGGAACGACATCTGCAGAGTCTTGTTGCACCTCTTGCAAAAAATTTGCAACCGTTGCCTGAGGGTTGACTTGGATTCTGGTGGGGATAGTGGTAAGGGTTGGGCCGACAATATCGGCAATTCCAGGAACGTTGATATTGCGGCCTGTCGATATTTCACCGAAACACACATCGTTAGAGGCAGTGTGGCTAGCCAAAACCAGTGTCCAAGCCGCACGAATGATGGTCGGCAATGTGACACCTCCTACTGACGATGTTGCAATGTGACGGGAAAGCGTCCTGGTTTCTGACTGATCATTAGTCGGTGGCAGAGGCGGGAATTTGGAGCAAGATATGTCTGAAAGCTTAGCTGTCCAGAACTGTTTAGTACTGTCCTCATCAGTTGTTGAAAGGTAGCTGATGACGTCTGCATATGAGCTCTTTGGTGCCTCTGGAGTTTGTCCTCGGTAGATGGATTCGACCCGCTGGAGAATAAGGGGCAAGCTCCACCCATCATATAGGGCATGGTGGATGGACCAGGTAAAGTATCGACAGCGAGGAGTCTGGACAATAGCGTATTTGGTCAGGCTACCACCATTGAATGGAGGAACAGAGGCAGCTTCACCAGAAAGCTCCTCCAAGCTCTGGGCAGAGTGCCAGGAAATGGCTTCGTGCTTGAGAACTACCTGTAGGAAGTTTGATGAAGCTGTATGAACGATGCGAGTGCGGAGGGTCGTCAAATCATCAACAGCCTTCTGCCAGGCAGCCTTGAAATGGTCAAGGTTGAGAGAAGGGGAGAGTTTGAATACGTTATGAGCAACATAAGCGCCCGGCTGCTTCAACGACAGAGCAATGAGGCCTTCCTGGAGAGAACTGCAGGGGTAGATATCATGCACTAGGTCGGTGCTGATACGGCAAAGCTGGGAAACTTCTGTCTTGATTGCGTCAATAGATTCGTTGGTCCTAAGCAGGCTGAAGGGGCGTACTTCCATCGACGGAGCCCCTTTTAGCACAACACATGCCGATGCCATGTCAGCGAGGATAGGGTGCTTGAAAATATTCGCAAATGTAAGAGAGATTCCGGAAGAACGAGCTGATCCTGAAAGCTGCATGGCAGCTAGCGAGTCACCTCCAAGACGGAAGAAACTGTCACCAGTACCAACAGATCCCTTAGGGAGATCCAAAACACTCTCCCAAAGAGATTGGAGCTTACCCTCGAGCCCGGTAGAAGAAACATTACGCTTCCCAGCAACACCAGTAAGGCGGAAGGATTTGATAGACTCTTTGGATAGTGCCTGAGTGATATTTCGAAGGCGATTTCTGTCCAACTTGCCAGCTGCAGACCAAGGAAGCTTCGTCATGGGGATGAAGAGGTGTGGAACCATGTATGTTGGAATTGCGGTACCGAGCTTGGTCTCGAGAGTCTTTGCAATTGTTCTAATAGCATCGTTCATAGGCAAAAGCAGTTCATCAGCGGGAGAACCATCAGTGTTGGTGAGCGTTGACGGCTGGCTACGGGCAGATGGAACGCTGAAGAAAACTGCAAGAGTCTTCTTAGCTCTGTCTGATGGAACTATCAGATCAACTCCAGCTTGTGTTTGGTCGGGCAGATTCACTTTGCAGTGGTATTCAATTTCACCAAGCTCGATTCGTTGGCCGTTGAGCTTGATTTGGGTGTCCTTGCGTGAGATGTAGTTGATCGTACCGTCAGGGTTGTATCGAACAAGATCACCTGAACGGTACATGCGGTGTCTTTGAGAGAAGAGGCTTCGGAAGCGGCGCTCCCTGGAGAAGGCTGGGTTGCTGATGAAGACCTCGCTCGTCTTCTCAGGATTATTGATATAGCCTCGTGCGACTGTACGGCCTTCAATAAGGAGTTCACCAACAGCACCCACGGGCATTAGGCGGTTGATATTGCGAGGATCAACGACCCAGGTTCGACATCCGCAGGCTGTTCCGATGTTAGATCGATTCTGGTCCACTGAAACACCCGCTTTGTTGACCTTCAAGCTGGCCGATGCCACGACTGAAGCCTCTGTCGGGCCATAGGCGTTGACTACCGCTGGGCCCCCAACCCATTCCTTAATGGCCTTTTCCGACATAGCTTCACCACCAGTAACAATAGTTTTCAAGGTCGGGACCTTTTGGGGTTTCAAGGTGCTAAGCACTGAAGGGGTTAGAAGTGTCCAATTCACTTTACCCTTTGCAATAACATCCTGCAGGTCGTTCATTCGCTCCTCATCGCTGGGAACGTATATGGTTGCACCAACTTGGAGCGCAGTAAGTATCTCAGTGACACTGGCATCAAAGGTGTAAGATGCAAATTGTAGGACACGACTAGAGCTGTCCATCAAAAGAGCTTTGCCATGAGCATCTGATCCAGTACAAATAGCAGCATGCTCGATAACGGTTCCCTTTGGTTTACCTGTGGTTCCAGAGGTAAAGATAATATACGCAGCATTGGATGGGTCCGGGTAGTTATCTGGTTGCTGTGAAGGCTGCTTTGGGAATTGTTGAACCGTCTTTGAGTCCAAGACAACTGCCTTCTTAGCAATCTTTCTAATTTTATCGTGAAGACGTGAAGAGCATAAAACGACGTCAGCACCAACATCTTCTATCAGGTTCGCCAATCGCTGTTCCGGATGAGAAGGATCAAGTGAAACAAAGGCACCGCCAGCCTTGAGAATACCATACTGGGCCACAATTGCCCACGCGGATTTCTCAAAACACAAAGGTACATAAACGTCGGGGCCAACTCCAAGATTCATCAGCTGTGCAGCGACACGAGATGCGGCAACATCCAGTTCTGAATAAGTAAAAGTTGCATCCCATGCACAGATCGCAAGAGCCGAACGGTGGTCGGAGCATGGCTTGCTCCTCGATGATTTCATGGACACACTTGTCAACCACCTTGGGGCTCTGGGCATTCCAGGAACGAACTTGCTGGTAGCTATGCTCACCGAAGTGGTTAACATCTCCAAGCGGTCTATCAACGCCATTTTCAATAATGTCACTAAGGATTTGTTTGAATGTATTGGCAATGTTCTCAGCATGGGCATCAGATACAGTATCTGACCAATAACCAAAATCAATTTCAAGATCGGAGTCTATGGCGGCAATGTTGATGGACATGTTAAACTCGTTAGGATCAGTGGCCCCAATCGACTCAAACGAAAGGGGTGTGTCTTCTGTATCATCAGAGCTTGGTCGCTTCTGGAATGTAAAGACAGTGTTAAACAAAGCAGTGTCTCCTAAGCCTAGTTCATGCTGCACCTCTGCTAGAGAGCAGTTTTGGTAGCTGATACTCTGCATATAATCAGATTGGGTCTTTTGGAGAGTATCAATGAGAACAGAGTTGTCCGTCAAGTTTAGGCGGCATATCAGCATGTTAATGAAAGCACCAACAGCTTCATAAATCCCGTCTATTGGTAGATCACGTCCGGAAGCGACGTATCCAAAGCAAACTTCATCGGAGCCGGTATAGGCGCGGAGTACAAGTCCCCAAACCAGCTGAAGGACATTCGACTGAGTAAGCCCTTCCTGCTTACAGAAGGATTGCAGCTCAGATCCTATGGGGAGCTTCATAACATATTCCCCTACTGTTCTCTCCTTTGGTGGTGGAACTGGAGCCAGAGAAGGCAGTGTACATGGTTCAAGGCCACTAAGGTATGTTTTCCAGTATGCAACACCAGCTTCCTTTGAGGTTAATTGGAGATGGGCAATGAAGTCGCTGTACAGCATTGCGGTACCCAAGTCTGAAGTGGAGGCATATGCAGCGGACAAATCGCTCAGCATATTCATCATCGAAGAGCCGTCGGAGACTGCATGGCTGATCTCGAGTTTACAGACAACTCGTCCACTAGGCGTTTGACAGAGCGTCATACGATGTGGTGGTTGCTTCTCAGTGTAATCCAACGGCTCAAGGTTCTCAATAGCAGCCTTGTAGTCTTCACTCGAAGGCTCTCGCAGAAGGGTTCGTGCGCGGAACTCCTTCAAAACCACTTGGTCCATCAGATTGTTGCCAGAGACACTGTCAATGAATACAGTTCGGAGAGCACTATGGCGGCGAACGACGGCCTGCCAGGCTGCTTCCAATAGCTCAAGGTTGATACGGTGGCCTCTCTTATTTGATTTCACCTCAAAAACGGAATGATATGCATATTTCTCGGGGTCCTTCAGCTGACTGATAAGGATGCCACGTTGCATTGGGGAAATCATATAGGCATCCTCGATATCGTTCATAGATTGAACGCCCAGGGAAGGAAGCTCTTCGGAAATTTTCCTTGAACTGCCAAAAGCCAGGGGTAAACGTGGGAATTGGGCATGTGTGAAGGATTGCATTTGTGACGACTGGTAAGTACTCTCAAGCAGAGTTTGGCACTTTGAGAACCAACCTTGAATGCCTTGTTGTCGATGCATATTCTTATTGTAAGTGAAGGACAATTTCAAAATGCCTTGTTCTATAACCGTCGATATTTCAATAAGCGCGAAACGAGGGACATTGGAGCCAATATCGGAAAGGGAATTGACTGATTGCCCACCCGCTCCGTCAACCGGTTCCAGGAGAGACTCCGTCTGGCTGTTTGCTTGCATCTGTCCTAAGTAATTGAAAGCAATTTCCATCGGCCAGTGGCTTCCAAATGCTTCTTTCCCGGCTTCGGTCAGCTGGCGGCAAGCAAAATATGGCCTGCCCTTCCCAGGAGTCCTGGATCGGAAGTCCTGAACCCATCGAATGGTATCGATAAACGAATAGTCTATGCAAATATGGTTAGAGCCAGTACAATGGAGGACTACATATAACAAATGATATCAAGGCTTACTAGAATCAGTGTCAGCATCAGCTGGAAGGTATACAGGACTCATGGTAGTGAACCATCCAACTATAGATGATGGGTCACAGCTGGAGTCCCAAGGCTCTCTACCATGGCCTTCGTTAAAGACCGCAGGTGGCACGCGACGATCAGTAAATTCTTGACGGAAGGAGAGAAGAATAGTGGCAAGAAGAACATCAATCAGATCAGCCCCAAGTTGTCTCTGGCAAGCGTCGAGAATGCGGGTCGTGGTTAATTGGTCTAATTTGAATTCATCGGTTAGAACTTCACCAAAGGTGTTGGACTTTCCAGTCATCCCCCAGTAAGTAAGGTCTGCTGGTGGGACAGCAGTTGCAGGAATGACATCTTTAACACTGGCTTCTTGAGCATTTTGTATCTGCAATTCGCACCAGGATTGGAAGGTCAGGTCTTGTCGAGCAACCGATTTACCACTGAGTAGGTCTTCGAGGTCTTGGAGGACAATTCTCCATGAGACCACATCAATGACAAGGTGATGAATTGCTATCGAGATCTGAGTCTCAGACCCAGGCAGAGAGAAGATGTCAACCGCAACTAGGGGTCCATTTTCAATGTCTAAAGCCTTCTGGCCCTGTTCAATCAAAGAACCCATCTGGCCTCGCCGTGCATCAGAATGAGTTCGCAATCTGAGCGATCCCTTCAAGTCACTGCTGATGTGCTGACGCCACTCTCCATTCATATTTTTCTGGAATCGAGCATGTAGCATGGGGTGAAGACTTATCAGCTGGTCGATAGCCCGGGAAATAACATCAGTACTTTTCCTCTTGGTAACCTTCAGCAGAACGCTTTGGTTAAATTGCCTCCAATTGTCTCCAGCATTGTCAAGGTACACCTGCTGGATGGGAGAAAGCCTAAACGGCTTTCCGTTCTCAACTGTTTTTATTTCTTTCACAGGTGCGCTCGCAAGCGATTTTGTCACCTTAACCCGAGTAGCTAAGTCCGTAATTGATTTACTCTGCATGATATCCTGCACACTTGCAGTAATACCCTGAGAGCGGCACCTGGCCATGACTTGCATGGCGGAAATACTGTCACCGCCCTAATATTGAGTTAGTATAACTCCTTACTGCGAGTTTCAAGAGAAATATACATACCAAATGAAGAAATGAGGAGTTCATATCGGCTTCTTCCACTGGTAAGTTGAGTATCTGACTCCAGACCTTCCAGAGGTTTTCACGAATATCAATTTGAGGAGCGGTTTGGACCACTTTGGCTGAATGGGTATCAGGAGAGTCAGAGGTGGTTGTGGGAGTAGCTTCTGGGCTGTCCTCCATTTTCTCCATAAATGTAACGATCTGTCTCCTGTTGAGTTTTCCGGAAGACATCAACGGTAGTTTGTGGAAAACAACCCATTTAGAAGGAACCATGTAGCCAGGAAGCCTCTTTCGCAGTCGCTCACGAGCTTCTGATGCCATTTGTATAGCCCTTTCGGAGTTGATGACCTGCAGAGGAGTAGCAGCATCCACGGAGGAAGTTAGGCTATGGAATGTTACTGCAGCCGTGAGTTTCTTAGCAGCGAAACCCTTCGACGGAACTGCCACGAGGGCGTGCTGGATGAGATTATCGGCACCAAGGTGATGCTCAACTTCGTCAAGTTCCAGCCGTTGACCGCGAACTTTAGCTTGGGTATCTTTACGGCCCATGAAAACGAGATTCATAGAGCCATTCGGATCGTACTTAACAAGGTCACCAGTCTTATACATTCTCCGTGCGGCACCATTATTTTGCTTTGCCCATTTTGGATTTTGAATAAACACCTCCTTCGTCTTATCATCTCTTTTGAGGTAGCCTCTTGAAAGAGTAGCACCTTCTATCAATAGCTCTCCAACGGCTCCAATTGGCACCAGCCTATCATGGTTAACAGGGTCAACAATCCAGCACCGGTCGAGTGGGCGGCCAATGTTTTTGTGATTGCTATTAACGTCCATCTTACTATTGATGACCGCTGAAACTGAGCATTCACTGGGCCCGTATCCATTTAGTAAATTCAATCTGCCAGCCCAATTTGCTACATGTGCAGATGACATGGCCTCTCCAACAAGTGCAAGGTATTTCAGGTTTGGAACGTCGTCTGGATTCATCAGTTGGACGAAGGATGGGGTTAAGGTGGCATTTGACACGAGTTTGTCCCGGATATAGTTGCTGATATCGTTAAGTCGTTCCCAGTCGCTTGGAACGCAAACGCACCCACCAACAATAAGAGTTGTTAGGATCTCAGGGCAGCAAGCATCAAAAGTATACGATGCAAATTGAAGAGTGCGGGACTCTGCTGTAATTCCCAACGCCGGTGCGTGGGCAGCAGCGGAGGAGCAGTATGCGGAATGTTCAACTATATACCTGTTAGACATATCAAAGCTACTAGAATTGGTTACATGAAAGACTTACTTAAAGTCCCTTTGGGTGTTCCTGTGGTCCCAGACGTAAAGATTATATAGGCCGCGTTGCTGGCAGGGACCTTAGGAGTTGGCTGATGACGCTTTGGCAGTTGCTGAAGCATCTCAAGATCGATTGCCAGTGCTTGGGGTGCAATAGAATCACACAGTTCTTGGTGCTTTGGCGAACAAAGAATAAGGAATGCCTCAACATCAGCGATAATGCCTTGGAGTCGGGAAATTGGGTGCTCAGGATCGATAGTGACGAACGCTCCGCCAGCTTTAAAAATTGCCAGCATCGAAATGATTGCGAATGCTGACTTCTCGAAGCAAATAGGGACAAAAACCTCAGGGTTTGACCCTACACCTAACTCAATGAGGTGATGTGCGAGGGCAGTTGACAGATTGTCAAGCTCCCTATAGGTGAACGATCCGTCCCAGGAGCAGATAGCCTCTGCTTGCGGCCGTAGTTTTGCCTGCTCTTGAATAAGCTCATGAATGCATCGCTCAATGAATTTTGCACCGTTCTTGTTGATAGCTTCAAGCTCCTTCACTTCATCAGGGCTAACCAGTTCAATCTCTCCGACCTTCTTTTGGGCATTCTCGCCTAGGGATAAATTGCGGAGAATGGTATCAAACTGTCGCAGCAGTCTCTCTACCTGCCAAGAAGAAATAACAGCCTGATCGTAGTAAGCCTCGATATCAATCCTGTTAGATTGACGCAAAGTGCATGAAAGATTAAGGGGGTATGTATAAAAGTTGTTTCCAGTGGTTCCAGAGCTTATCATCTGCCAAAATCCAAAAGCGCTTTCATCCGCATCTTGTGTAATGGCAATAGCATTCTGGAATTCGCAGGAGGTCGAAGCATCGTCTCCAAGTCGTTTAATCTGAGACAAGCCTGCAAATTGATAGGCCATGGTTTCTGCCAACTGCTTCTGGACATCGTGTAAATATTCGGAGACTGTTTGCTCACGATTTACCTGAATTCTCGAAGGGATGGAGGTAAGGGTGGGCCCAATCATATCCTCAATACCAGGAACTGGGGCATCACGCCCGGTAAGAATTTCACCAAATATAACATCATCGCAGGAGGTATAGAATGCCATCGTGAGACCCCAGGCAGCGCGAATAATGGAAGCGACAGTGGTTTCTCTTGAGGGGGACTTCGAAACTTCAGCAGAATGAGTGCACTTGCTTGTAGCCTGGACCGTATATGAAGTGGATGGGAGCGCAGGGAAAGGCGTCGCCTTTGGATCTTCTAACTTAGAAATCCAGAAGTCATCAGACGCCTTTTTATCAATAGTTGCCAGGTACTTAATGAAATCTGGGAAGGAGGCTTCAGCGCCTGTGCTGGGAGACTGTGAGTTCTTGTAGCAATAGGCCACTCTTTCAAGAAGCGTGGGGATACTCCAACCATCATACAATGCGTGGTGTGCGGTCCAGACGAAGTATGGAGTGGAGGCCCCTTCTCCAACGATGGTGTATTTCACAAGGGGGCCACCGTCACGACCAGGAAGGTGACGGTTTTCGTCTTTGATGTCGTTTAAATGAGCAACAGAGTTCCACTCAATGGGCTCATTAACAACAACTTGCAAGAATCCAAGCAAATCCGTGAAAACAACCCTAGTACGCAGAACAACCTCTGAATCAGCTACAGCTTGCCAGGATGCTCTGAACTTGTCAAAATCAATGTCTGCGGGTAGCTTGAAGGTAGTTTGAGCGACATAGGAACCAGGAGTTTTGCTGGAAAGCGCAACAAGTCCACCTTGCAGTGAAGTGCATGGGTACATATCTTGGATTCTGGAAGCATCAACATTGCAGATTGAAGAGACTTCATCTATGAGGACATTTATGGAGATGCTAGGTGGAAGAAGTTCAAAACGCTTCACAGGCTCCTTTGTGATAGGGTCGGCTCCGAGAGATCTGTTAGAAGAGATTGAGCAGGTACTGGCCATATCACAGAGCTTTGGAGAAGAAAAGATCTTAGCGACACTGAGAGTGACTCCCTTGGCTCTAGCCGCTGAAACTAATTTCATAGCTCCGATTGAGTCACCTCCATGGCGGAAGAAGCTGTCATCAGCACCAATGGAGGTGGCAGGCTTTGACAAGACGGATGCCCAAAGCCCCTGTAAGATTTTCTCCGCTTCCGTTTCAGGGGCTCGTCCACCTACACCGCCCAGTCTATATGTGATTGCAACATCATCTGACAGCTCCTTGACCCAGATAGTCAAGGTACGTCGGTCCAGTTTTCCTGAAGAGGTCATTGGCATTCTCGCAACTGGAATATAGCTTGAAGGTACCATGTAGGCAGGTAGCGATTTTGTCACAGCGGCTTCCAGCTCTTTGGCCAATGACTGGATTGAAGGGGTCATTGGGAGGATTGTCTGATTGGTATCAGCATCAGCAGATGTCTGGAGATAAATGAAGGCAGCGAGTGACTTAGCACCACCGAGAACGACAAGCTGTACTGCGGACTGGGCATCCTCTGGAAGATTTTCCTTGACATGGTACTCAATTTCACCAAGTTCAATTCGCTGCCCATTGAACTTAACCTGGGTATCTTTCCTACCAAGGAATGCCATTGTCCCGTCACTATTATAGCGAACAAGGTCACCAGTTTTATACATGCGTCGGGTAGGGAACTCGCGAGGGTTGGGGTCACGAGCGGCCCAAGCAGGGTCTATAACGAAAGATTTCGCCGTTTTCTCCTCGTCGTTAAGATAGCCACGAGCAACGATTGGGCCTTCTACACACAATTCACCCACACAGCCGACCGGAACAAGCTTGTTGTGATCCGTTGGGTCAACAACCCAGGAAACACTTCCGACACTGCGGCCGATATTAGAGACATCTTCGACGGTGCCAGCATCGCCGTTATGGGCGCAGTTAATGGAGCATTCCGAGGGACCGTATTGATTGTGCATGGGAATTGAACCTCCCCAAATTTCCTGGGCTTTCTTAGTTAAAGCTTCACCACCAACAGCCATAGCCTTAATCTTAGGTACATCAGCCGGTTTCAGGAAAGTGGCAACTGTAGGTGTCAGGTCCATGAAGTTAGCATCAAGCCTATCAATGGCACCAGCTAGATCATTGAAACGATCATCTTCTGAAGGAACACAGACACATCCACCACGCATGAGAGTGGTGAACATCTCCTCAAGACTGTTGTCGAAAGTATAAGTGGCGAATTGGAGGAATCTTGTATCGGGGCCGACACCCAGAGCAGACCCGTGAGCTTCAGCGCTAGTAACCATTGCACTGTGCTCAAGCACCACACCCTTTGGCTTTCCGGTACTTCCAGAGGTAAATATAACGAATGCAGGATTGCATGGCTCAGCAGGGATACCATTGTCCTCGCCATAGTCAGGCAGCTGTTCGAGAAATTCTGCATCAACTGCAACGACATATGGGACCATATCATCAAACATAGCAGCTCTGGCAGCAGATGCAACGACGATTTGCGCCTCAGTGTCAACTACCCTGGTTTCCAGTGCAGGCATAGGGTGGGTGGCATCAAGAGGAACACAGGCACCACCAGCCTTCAGAACGGCCAGCATAGATACAACAGTGTAAGCAGATTTGTCAAAGCACGTCGGCACAAAGGTTTCCGGGGTGACGCCTAGAGCAACAAGGTATGAAGCTAAACGGGTAGAGACTTCATCAAGTTCCTTGTAAGTATAACTGGCGTCAAATCCACAAATAGCTGGGGCGTCGGGTCGTTGGGCTGTTTGTTTGGCAATTACATAGTGAACACAGTCGGGAATTGTCAATGGAATGCGACTATTCCACTTCCAAATCGTCTCATAATCCAGGTTGCTAAGGTTGTCCAATTTGGAAATCTCAAGGTGAGAACTGTGAGTGATATTCTCTAGACAACGGAAAAATGAAGAAGCAACATTTTTGGCCTGTTTGTCACAAACTGAATCCGTCCAATAGTCAAGGTCGATTGCGACGACCTCATCTGAAGCCTCAATGTTGATAGAGATTGGGTACTCATCAGGGTCGTGTGTCGGGGCAAACTCCTCGAAGGCTATTGCTGGCTTCCTGTTCTTATTTGGAGGAAGTTTGCGGTAAGAAACACAAGTATTAAAAAGTGAAGTATCGGATAGTTTCAGTGCATGTTGGACTTCTGCCAAAGAGGTATGCTTGTGAGGCAAACTGTCCATATAGTCCTTTTGGACTTGTTCTAGAACACTCAGGAGCGTTGCATCTCCGGGCATCTTGACCCGGCAAACGAGCATATTAATGAACGGCCCCACGGCAGAATCTGCACCCTCAACTGGTGCGTCACGCCCTGAGGAGAGATAGCCAAAGCAGGTATCTTCGGTTCCTACAAATGCCCGAAGTGTCAAAGCCCAGGCAGTGTGGATGGCGTTTGGCAAGGTAAGCCCCTGGGCGTCACAGAACTTCTGGAGAGTAGCTAGTTCCTTAAACTCAAGTTTAATGTTATGAAGTTCCTTCTTAACAGTGACACCATCATTCAGAACAGGGAAATGGCAGGGGTCAAGTCCATCAAGATAAGGCTTCCAAAATGAAAGACCTTGATCCAATGACTGTGTCTGTAAGTAGGCAACATAGGCACTAAAAAGGGGGCCGGTCTCGTCTTTGAGTTCCCCAGCATAAGCACGACATAGGTCATCGAAAATGATAGACATTGATGCGCCATCCATGACGGCATGGCTCAGTTCCAACCGACAGAATACCTTTCCATTTGAGGTCTCACATATGGTGAACCGATTGGCAGGGGTATGATCAGTATATTGCATAAATCCTTGGCCGTTGAAAGTTGAAAGAACCTCAGACTCCTTCGCACAGCGAAGTCGTGAAGGACCAAAGCGTGATTGTCTCAGCACAACCTGGTCATAAAGACCATCACTGCTTAGACCTTCAATGAAAACAGTCCGGAGGCAAGGATGACGCCGCACAATCAGTTCCCAGGCAGCCGCAAGCTTTTCGGCACTAACATTGGTACCAGGCTTTGGTTTCACTTCATAAGTACCATTGACTGCATAGAAGGCGCCATCTTTGCTGCGACTAAGGAGAAGGCCTTGCTGCATAGGAGAGCAGGGATAAGCATCTTCGATATCCTGCACATTCTTGGCCCCGACGAGTGGAAGCTTTTCAGTGATCATAGCCTCTAGAGTGTCATAGTTCAATGCTAAGAGTGGATAGTCGCTAAGTGTAGGCGTGAAGGGCAGTCCCATGAATAACTTTGAGGCGTTTTGCAGGGAGCCCTTACAGTGGGCAATCCACTGTCGAATGAGGTTCTGGTGCTTCATGTGTCGGTTGAATGTAAAGGAGAACCTGAGTTTACCTGCAGCAATAACCGCAGATATCTCGAAAAGACCAAATCGAGGGGTGCCAATACCATAATCGGCGATGCCACCAGCTTCCTTGGCTTCACCAGCTAACTCATCGACGGGATTGAGAAGAGCGCCTTCTCGTTCAAGCTGCTGGTACTGGCCAAGGTAGTTAAATGACAACTCCATCGGGGCGTGATGGCTCCAAGCTTCACGGCCTTTTTCAGTCAACCAACGGGTGGCAAAATATGGTCGGCCATTGCCAGGAACTGCACGGCGAATGTCCTTGACATGTTTCGTAATGTCTACCAGGCCTTTAGATGTAGAGTTAGGAACAAAGATCGGGTAAACAGTGGTGAACCACCCAATTGTTCTGGCGATATCGATTGATTCATCCCATATTTCACGGCCGTGGCCCTCATTGAATATGGCAGGGGGCTCACGATCGGTGAAAACCTGGGTAAAGGAGTGTATAAGAACAGACACGAAGAGGTCAACAGGCTCTGTGCGAAGCCCGTTATGGCAGTCTGTGAGAAGAAAAGAGGTTGTGGCAGCATCAATTTCAAATCCTTCAGCAGCAGAAGCGCCGTAAGTATTAGCTTTGACATCAGTGCCCCAGTAGGCGAAGTTAGCACGGGGTATATTATCATTTGGTAGAACATGCGAAAGACTGAGATCCCGGCAATGTTCTGTCTGAAGTTTAGCCCATGTTTGAAAGGGAATTGATTTGTCGTTAAGAGAAGGATTGGTAGGGTTAACAAGAAGCTCCTCGAGATCTTCTAGGATCACACGCCATGAAACCAGATCAATGACTAAATGGTGACCTGTCATAAATAGAAGTTGATGGTCAGAATTCACATCAAACAAGTCAACAGCGAATAGAGGTCCCTTGGTAGCACTGAGAGAGGCCTGGCTATCAGCAATTGCGGGCTCAGCATCCTTCTTTGTTTGAACGTTGTGAACTCTGAACCGGCACGAAGCCTTATAGTCGTTAGTGATATATTGCCTCCATACACCATTAGGTCCAGACTGTCTAAAACGAGACCGCAACATAGAATGTCGCTCAACAAGTGTATCAACAGCGTGTTTGAGGGACTTCTCGCTAGTTCTCCTCGCCAATTTGAGGAAGAAACTCTGGTTGAAGTGTCCCATTTCATCATTTCTGACGGTAAAGTGGAACTGCTGGATAGGCTGAAGTTCAAAGTCAACATCAATCTCTTCCTTGAGATCAACTGCTCGCTTGACTTCCTTTGCACAGGGAGCCAACGCACGGATAGACTTGCTCCGCAATATCTCTTGGACAGTAAAGCCAAGTCCTGCCTTTTTGCACTGGCCCATACATGTCATGGCGGTAATGGAGTCACCGCCAAGGCTAAGAAAGCTCTGCTCCAAGCTGATGCGGTTTAGTGGAATGTTCAGGATGCGGCTCCAAGCAAGCTGGATCGCAGCCTCAGCTGCATTGGCTGGCTTGGACATCTCGCTGCTACCAGCTTCCACTTGCTGCGCTCCGGATACTTCATGGTAGACCTCTTCGGTCATGGTATCTATCCACTTTGCGACCGCTTTTCGATCGAGCTTTGCTGAAGGTAGCCGAGGAAGAGACTCCATGCAGACCCAGATGGAGGGAACCATGTAAGATGGCAGCTGGCCAGCCATGGTCTCACGAACCATGTCAACATACTCATCTCTCTTCTTTGTCTCAATAAGTCGAAGCGACTTTGGGTCATTGGAAAACTTCTCCGTGACATGGTCGGAGAACGAGAGAATAGCGACCAATTTGCCTTTACAGTTGCCGGTCTTTGGGAGCAGCACCAGGCCATGCTTCACATTTGGTGCGAGGTTAAGTTTATGCTCGATTTCGCCCAACTCAACTCGTTGGCCGTGGAATTTGACCTGGGTATCCTTTCGACCGACATAGTTAAAAGAACCTTCAGGCGAATTATACCGAACCAGATCGCCAGTCTTGTAGAATCGCCGTGGTTTGCCTCCGGTTTCGCTTGTACGAGCCCAAACGGGGTCGTAAATGAACGCATCTGTAGTTTTCTGGGGATTGTTGATGTAGCCCCTGGCTAAAGTGGGTCCCTCAACTAGTAGCTCTCCAACACATCCAGGGGGAACAAGCCGATCGTGATCTTCGGGGTTAACAACCCAAGCATGTCCACCAACAGGGAAACCGATATCCTTTGGATCGGTTGTTGAAGTCACCTTCGAGTTCACAGCGCAGGCAACACCCGTCTCTGTAGGGCCAAAGCCGTTAATGAGGTTAATCTTTGACCAGGTGTCGATATGACTCTGGGACATAGCCTCGCCAGCGAGGACGAGATACTCCAGACAGGGAACATCATCCGGCTCGATAAAGCCCACAAAAGAAGGTGTTAGCGTCGCGACAGTGACGCGCATGTCGTTTATCGCTTGCACGATGTTATTCAGTCGTGCCTCCTCGCTAGGGATGCAGACACACGCCCCTTGCATTAAGGGGGTGAGGATCTCGACCAAGCTAGCGTCGAAAGTGTGTGCCGCAAATTGCAAATTTCGAGACCCCTCGTCGACATGAAGGGGAACGCAGTGAGCAGCGGCGCTCGAACAAAAGGCAACATGCTCCAATAGTGTGCCCTGAACTCCATGTCAGCATTCGATCACATCTGTCATCTCAACTGTCACATCTGTCTCGGAAACTACGTGACCATTCAGAATAGTTTGCGCAACACTGACCTTTGGTTCTCCGGTGGAGCCCGAAGTGAAGATAACATAAGCGGCGTTATTGGGCTTGGCGCGGCTAGTGAAGCGGATAGCGTCAGGGCCCGACGGCAACTCCTTAACCAATGCATCGTCGACAGGCAGGATTGTCTCTGCGACAGTGGCAAGGTGCTGTGAATGGTGAGCGGAGCAGAGGAGCAGCGATGCGTCGAGCGCTTTGACTAGGCCTTGCAATCGCGGTATCGGATGCGAAGGATCAAAGGGGACAAAAGCTCCACCGGCTTTCATAACAGCAATCATTGAAACCACATTCCATTTCTATGGGACAGACAGTTTGTTAGCGTGCGGTAGGCAGCGGCGGTTTATTTGCAATTTACCAATAAACCAGGAACAAAACCAAACAAGAGAAAAAAAGAAAGAAAGAAAAGTGTACATACCGACTTGTCAAAGCAAAGAGGAACCCTGACTTCCGGCCCAACGCCCAATTCCACTAACTTGTGCGAGAGCCGTGAAGTAAGATGATCTAGCTCTTTGAACGAAAGGCTTCCGTCCCAAGCGCAAATAGCTTCATCGTCCGGCAGGCGGATGGCTGCATCATGGATAACTTCATGAATACAGCGGTTGACGGTCTTCAGAGGATAATCGTTCCATCTCATGATTTGCTTGAGGTGAAGAGGCGTAAGCGGGTCGAAAGCGCCAACCGAGAGAGATGGAGAGGTAGTGACGGTGTTAAAAGCTTTCGCGACAGTCGACGCAACTCCCATTGCCTGTTCCATGGTCATGTCGACACTCCACCATTCAAGGAAGATGCTCATTCTTCCACTCATGAGCTTGGTCATGATTCGTATGCGACACTGAAGAACACCATAACGTTAACAAGGGTCGCCTCAACCACAATTGCAAGAACTACCAGACGGCATGAATAGAAGCTACTTACATCTTCCGGTAGAGCCATGTTGGCGGCCCGTGAGGGAGGTGCAGTTCCAACCTTGGCAGCACTACGGAAGGATAGAATGGTGTTGTAGAGGCGATGTCCCACGGGTCCATTCGCGCTGGAAGGAACATCGCCGTGGAACGGTAGGCTGTTCTCGTACTCAATCAGTGCAGTCTCGATCAACCGCGACATCTCAGTGTCGTCTTCAACAGCCAGCCGTGCTACCGGCAAAACAGCTGTAGTGGTCGTATCCTGGTATCCGAAGCAAACATCTTCGGCACCGGTATAACAGCGCAGAACCAAGCTCCATGCAGCGCGAAGGGCTGCTGGCAGCGTAGCGGTATTCGATTCGCAGAGCTCCTTTAGAGCCTGGGTTTGGTCCAAGGCCACTTTGATTGTCATCGGCCTTTTTGGCCCGGAAGGAGAAGCTCCAAGTCGAGGGAAATGGCACGGAGCCACATCAGTGAGATGAGACTCCCAATGGGCCGAGCTGTCTCGAGGTGATGGCATTGTAGCGATATATGGTGGCCGTCTCGGGGTATGTTTGTGATGAAAATAAAATCTAGGTATTGTGATCTCAGTATTGCATCTTGAATTTCATGCATTTACGGAGGTGCTCATCGCACTTACTAGTCAAGCTAATACAGAGGAGCCTCAGGTATTTTGCGGCGATGCAGGAACGACAGGAGCAGAATTAATCTATAGCTGTGAAACTCAAGGTAAGTCTATTCTCAGGATATAATGAGACTGCGGTGAGTGATGGTAGGATCCTAGGGAGAGGGGAAGATTAGTTTAACAGTTTGATTATGATACACTGACCGTAGAGAGAGCTTTTTTGTTTTGTTTCAGCAAATAATTATGTGCTTGCTCTCGTCGTCGTCAAGACGTCGTTCGAGATGACGAGGAGGAATGACGGAAAATATCGAAGAGAAGAGCTCCAGAACGAATTGGCAGCTATTTTTCTTTTCCTGGTCAATGTTAAGAGGGGCAATTGCGCTGTTTCGGAAATGGCTTGGTCGATCTGAGCTATCTCATAACCGTTGAAGGGGCTGTCGATGAAGCTTGAGCTGATGTGCAAGCGATCAATGCTGTTTTGGAAGAAGGCTCGTATGAAGGAGCAACAATAATTTGGGCAAAGAGGCTTGAGAGTGATGCCTTGGAGAGGAGGAGAGGCTGTCTATAGGATATACAGCTATCAGTGCAGCTGGGCTGGTTTGCGAAAGGGGTATTGGCTACCAAAAATTTATTGAACGACCAAAATAGAAATAGAATAACTTGGTAAGCCGTAAGTTATGGCACAATACGACCCTACAATTGGGGACGGGAAAAGCACAGGGGGGGTAAGGAAAAAAAAAAGCTGAAGCTGATATCTTGCAAAGACAACCTCTCAGACAAGAAGGCTGTCTCTGCTCGAGCATACGGGTTTACGGAGTAATATCCGAACGATTACTCGGAATCGTAGCTCGAATCATAGATCATAGCAGGTCCATGTCCGAGGTGGTCCCTTACCTGTACCACAACCTTGCATGACCCAAGGAAGAGGCCAGCAGAGGGAGGCGTGGAGCCAACATCCGGGATCAACCTCGCAAGCCTGGCATCGCATTCCGTCGACCGATGCCCACAAATTGCCGGAAGCCAGAAGCCAGACGGTTGGCTCACTAGAAAAGCGAGACAAACACAAACTCAACAGGCCAGGAATATGGTTTGGAGTTTCATATACGTTCTTTTTTTTCTTTTTTTTCTTTTCTTTTTATTGTTTTTGGCTTTCTGGGTTTCTCAGCTTGCCGCTCCATTTTTTTTTTTTTTTTTTTTTTTTTTTTTTTTTTTTTTTTTTGCCAGGTATCATTTCCTCGGGGTATGGAGTTACTCGACGTATATCTTCTGCACTTTGCTTTTTCAGTTCTTGTCCAAAAACGCTTTGCGTTCTGGCTGGGGTCTGGGATACGGGCTCATCTCTGGCCGGGTGGGAGAGGCTTTGAGTTTGCAGTGTTTATTTTTGGAACCATCACGGGAGGTGCATGCATGGCGTGCATTTGATCTGGCATGAGATTCTTCGTGTAATAATAATGGACAACCAGCCACCACGAGGCTGCTGTGGTTGTCCAGATGACGGTCCCTGTCTGGGGAAGTGTATGTGGGCGGGCGTTGGACAAGCGACGTTCGCCCAGTTTCAAACAGAAAGCAAAAAAAAAAAAAAAAAAAGAAGTGAGGATGAAATAAGAAGCACCGAGGGCGGTGGCGGACGGCAGAAAAAAGGAGCCAAAAACCAAAAAGGAAAATAAAGGAGGAGAAGAGGTGGTCCATGCGCCTTCCTTCCGATGTCTTGGCCGCCTTCGAGAAGCGCGCTAACGCCGGAAGGAGCTAAGCGCGCGTCTCGGACTAACCACGGGCCGCCGAAGTCACGGGAACACAGACTTCCCGCTGGCCCCTTTGCCCCTTTTTCAGGTGGCGCTTGGCGTTGTATCGTCTGTTCCCACGTTTCGCTGGCGGGCCCCGAGAGACGGAGCGGCCAAGGTAGATGCAGCTTGTGAGGAAGGACGCACATGAAGCCGACGATAGAGCTGCTGGAGCAGTGTAGAAGGCGAAAGAGGGGGGAGAGATCTTGGGAAGAAGGAAAGGGGCGCCACCACCACCAAAACACCAAACACCTGGCGATCGGCGCAAGCACAGCATACTTAGTGGCACGACACCAGATGCATCGAACCTAGACAACCCATACTTTGGCCTCACAACGTGACAAGGTCTCTGCAGTGAGTTAACATGTACGGGGTGGTACAAACCACGCTACAATCAAACCCTTTCTTCCGCTGTTAACACGCACAGCCACTCTGTTCGCCTGTTCAGCCGGCCACCCGCATGTTTCGAGGCCAATGCTTGAGGAGAATGTAGCTTTGCAGGACGGAAGATGTTATCCCGAGAGGAGTGTGTGATGTCCATGATGTGATTGATCAGGCCAGACCTTCCCCATGGCTGCTCCTGGGCATCGTACTTGCGCACACTGGCCTCATCAGATCCTCGCCCTTGGGGCCTGTTCGGGGGATGCAGGGTTTAACCATCACCAACCTAAGTACATACTTCAACAATAGTAATAATCAATACACAACTGGTATCAACATCAACATTATTCGAACAATGTCGTCCCGCCCTTTCACACGAACCCAAGCCAAAAAGAAGTGATTCCACTGGTTGACGTCAATACCCGTGCCAGTCCGCTCCCAAGGCCCCACAGACGGTGAGCACGAGAATGAATCCAAGAGCACGAGAATGCTGGAGATATTATTTCGTGGTTGTGAAACGAGCAGTCTTCAACTCCACTCAGCCAATTAAGGCCCACCGAGTCCCTTGAGGCTCCATTAGGTGGGGGAGGCTGTGGAGGCCCGCTCGGTTTCTATTCTTGGTAGCCTCGCGCTAAACGACGCTCACAATCAGGGCCGGTATGTTAGTTCATGTTAATATTATTACCTTCAATCTCGAATTAACCTCTTGCGCAGCCTTATCCCAGCACGCTCGTAACCTCAACGTCATTAACCAGCTATTATTATCTCGTTTCTTATATGGCGCAGTTCACAAACAAGCTAGTTATACGGGCCAGGACGCTCTTAGGGCCTACACCAACCCACGGCCTGGTTCCGCATTTGCGCCCTGCCTTTCCTGGGCTGCGGGAGAGCGCTCGGGCTGGATGGTGGCCGGATCTTTGTGATCTCCCAAGCCCAGCCAGTGTTTGAGGGAACGATAGAGTCAATCCGTTCCATCAAATCAGTGGCCCGGGGGGGGGGAATATATCGAAATAACGTGGCATTGGCAGAATATTTCCAAATATATCCCAACCTTCTTCTACTCTGCCGGCATTGCTAACCTTGATACACCCTTTCTCACCTGTTGCACATTCGCACACACCCACGCCTCTTGAAAGTGTATGAGCATCGTGCACGTATGTATTCAGTTATCCACAAGGCTCTTCTGCATCGTACCCATACAACCCTCGTGGCAGAGAAGTCAGGATATCATTGAGTGCAAGCCGTGTTTACGAGAATTATCCTGGCCAGCACGAGGGAATTGCTATTCTTGGATATATATCGAAAGACATGAAACTGCATCAGGCAACAGTTGGTGGTCAGTAGTGACAAAAAAATGCCGGCGAAGAGACCCCGCTCCCTCAGCCGGTATAACCCAAGAGTCTCGATGTCCGCCCTTCCAGTTTTAACATTAGCATGCTGCAGGAGTGGCTTTCATTTTGCGGCAGGCAATGTAACAAGAGCCATCTCGAGACCGGACAGCATGACTATTTTTGCCCCTCCATATGCATGAAGGACATGAGAGGCAAGATTCAACGTTTCATCGCATTGTCAAAAGTACCGTGGGTAAGACAAGAAGGACGGATTTCTTAGCCTGATATCTTGATCTGAGCCAAAATGCTGTCGCTTATGTACCATCATCCAAGCAGCAGATGATATAATTTGTGCAGATTCAAGTGGTACAAATTGCAACATCGAGTTATCCTTCCTTTTTACTTCATTTGTATTTTTATCTTTTTGGGATACTTTTTTTTTTTTTTTTTTTTTTTTTTTTTTTTTTTTTTTTTTTTTTTTTCTTTTTGATTCTTCGTCGAAGGCGGGAGACCTTCGAAGTAGGCCCAGAATGTGCTGTTAATTCTCCCGCCAGATACTCCTTACACCGTACTCCCAATGGTCAACTGTCGAGGCCTGAATCTGGTCCGCTGCCGTTCGCCAAACCTGGCCACTACATGGTCAGGGAATAGATGCAAATGCACAGGTGGCCTGTAGTCGGGACCAGAATTTTCACTTCCAAGAGGCAGCATGCATCTTGCCATGGCCCTCACCCTCGCTCCCGCACCCAAACAAGAAGCTGTTCAGCCTCCGGTCGGTCAACTAAGCCCCCCCGGCCCATGAGACCAGCTCAATTTTCAACCTTAGGGTGGGAGGCTCAGGTCTTAGTTAAAGCTCTTTCGGGAGGTGCACACGCTATACCATGCAAGCCGCTATTGCATGTCCATACGCAGTACCCATGTTCTTATGCATCTCCAAGCAAAGAAAACAATAACAACAACATCGATAAAAAAAAAAAAAAAAAAAAAAAAAAAAAAAAAAAAATGCCATGGGTGTTTCTGTGTGAAGAAGCGATATCATTTGCTGGTAAGGTCCCTGGCTATACGAATTGTGGAGCCTCTGGTTCGCACTCTGATATAATTGAACCCAGTGGTGATTTTAGTTCTATCCGCTTCCAGGCTCCATGACGCCACGAGCTGACTCGGTCTTTAACGCAGGATCCGGTGAGAAGGAAGAATATTCTTAACAAGCAGGCAAGCGCTTCATTCTGCGACAAAAAGCGAAGGAGTGGGAGGAACGGTGGGCAATTTTTTTACTAACGTGGAGCGACATGGCTGGATGTCAGTCGCCGTCGGACTGAAGCGACTGTTGGTGGCTGCAGCCGATCGCCAACGTTATGATACGGAGCGCAGTTTAGGCCTATCTCTGCTGCTCGCTCGCTCGCTGGCCATGACGATCATCGCAACTAGTAAGGCTGAGCAAATCGGCCGCTCTCTGACGCCTGTTAGTAGCAAGCCTGATTGATCCCTTTTGTTGAAGAGAAAAAAAGAAATTTCAAAAAGAAAAAAAAAAGAATAACTTCTTTTTAGTGGCATATTTGTCCGTATTAATGAAAGAGAAAAAGGTGACTATAAAACCTTCTTCCGGCTCGTTCCTTTTTCCACTCCTTTTGACAACTTATCCGCAGTATTTGTGTGAATACATTTCCGTCGGCCAAAGAGAACATCAAAGACGCCTGCTTTCCCATCCTGGATTGCTCCCCAATCAAGGTACCCAGGCTGTGTTCGTATTTTGCAGGCGAGAGCCCACCCCCGGCCATTCGACCGCTGCACTGTCGAGAGAACCATCTGACAAACACCCCCCTCCACCCTCCTATCGCGGGACCCCCTTGCTTCTTTCGCCTAAACATCCTGGGAAAGCTTGGCCAAGCCAGATCTCCATAGTCAAATTCCAAGCCAGGCGATTAGCCTTTTTCGTTGAAGTACTGGTACTTCTCAGTCCATCGGAATTTTGCAAAGGCAGAAGAACGTGGCTTATTTCAAACACCATTGTTTTTTGCTTTTGCTGCCGCTATTTGCTTCTTACTCACAAGAGCGTGGGATCGTCAACGCCCCTCGATCAGTCACTGGCTCCCTGACTTGCGTCAAGCGTGATGCTTCCTTCACGCATCGGGTCGAGCCCGGCTGCTGGGGGTGATCCTCCGCTACCTCACCAGATAGCTCAGATACCGTCGAACTGCTCTTTGTACCCTTGAGACTGCGGATTCATTCCTTGTCTGCAGTGGAAAGGGTCTCTTGTTGGACTCCTGCTTCCCCTTGTGACTGCTGAAATGGTCATTTTCCGGCACTGATGCGGGCCTGATTCAGCATGATTCAATCCCTGATCCACAGCTCTTTCCTCCAATATCTCCGGGCTTCCTGCAGCCTTCCGGTGCAGCCTTTTGAGGAGAACTATCTTCAATCGTTGCCTCGGCTGGTGTACGTTTCGTTTGGCTGTCATTTTGCCCCTATTTTCTTTTTCCATATTGTTCCTTTCCCGCTTCGCTTCTTCTCCATCGAAGTATCAAGCTGTTTATTTTTTTTAATTGTTTTCTTTTTCCTCCCATTGAGGAGAAAAAGTACGGAGTAAACAGCTAGGGGGGTCGTTGTAGTGGATCCACCGCTCACCCTCCTAAGTTGATCTCTGTTCTTGATATATGATCTTCTATTTTTAATATCGAGAGTTAGCTCAATGTCAAAGTCAATACGAAGGGTACAGGGTCGCCTTCCAAGAATGGCGAGGTTAAACGGCACAGGACTGTACCATTCCGCACCAGATGCTCAAAATAGTGCATAGCTCCAATCGCGAGCACATCGTGACGGGCAGTCTCGGCATGATTCCAGATGGCAGTGTCGTAGCTCAGCTGCAAAAGGAAAAATTGTCAGCCTTGACAGCTCCGTTGAAAGTGCAGATAAACTGTCCTCGAAATTCCTCTTTGATTTCCGTTTTGATTCTGCAATTCAATAAACCCTCCCCATACCCTTCTTCCCTACACCCGGCGTCCGTGACTAGTACCTCCGTACTCCATCGAGGATCTGACTTGGATCTGTAACAGGGCAGCCCACTCCACTGACCTAAAGGGAAAAGAAGAAAAAGTGCCCTAGTCAATGTCGTCTTAGTTCGTGCGAGGTTTAGAATATATTCTCCGAGATCTTTCTCTTCTGCCTCTTCTGCTCATACCTGAGCAATTCCTGGTTTTCTGGTATAAACGTCCGGGCAACATGGCGTCGAACGACATCCTCTGTGCCTCGGTGGAAGACCGGACATTTGGTCCATGGGCTCAGCAATGCCGTGGAGCATTTGATTTCACTCTCCTCTTTGAGGAGAGCATCCTCACATTGGTACCGTTATGCATTATGATCCTGCTTGCCCCGTTCCGAATTGCATATCTTTTCAAGAAAAAGCGGAAAGTCGAGGACACCCCCTTGGTTCATATGAAAATTGTAAGTGCTCTTCATATTGTTATCCTGCTGTGAGCTGGGTATTTCAATTTGGACGGTATACTGACAGACGATCGCCTGCTATAGACGTCTCTCGCAGCATATTGTGGATTGCAGCTTTTGCTTGTAATTCTTTGGACCCGTCCCGATGTCACCAGAACTCAGCTCTCAATAGCAGTCAATGTCTTGACGCTCGTTGGTTCCATTCTATTCATCCTCCTCTCGTACGCGGAACACTTATACACGACGACGCCGTCTTTGATGCTCAACGTATTCATCTTCTTCACACTTATTTTTGACGTTGCTCGAGCAAGGACTCTATGGCTGCGAGACGCTAATGGAACCGGCGAAATCATTGCTTGGGGCTTCACGGCCACGGTTGCTTTGAAATTTGTCATCTTGATCCTGGAAGTTACCGAAAAGCGATTTATGCTCAAGCCTGAGTACAAATCCTACCCTCCGGAAGCCACTGCTGGTATCTTCAACCGAAGTTTCTTCGTTTGGCTGAACGCTCTTTTCTGGGAGGGATTCTCCAAGCTGCTCTTCGTAGAAGATCTATACGAGCTCGACAAACATCTGCTCTCAGAGCGCATTCATCAGCGCATGAATGACGCATGGGAAAAAGGTACGCTTTAGCACCTTGCAATTTGCCGCTGGGTATCTCATGCTTTGTTGTTGCTAACTTTCATCACTCCTGTGCAGTCAAATCGAAGACGCCAAACTCGTTGCTCATGGTGACTTTCAAGACGCTCAAATGGCCAATCTTGTCCATCGCATTCCCGCGTCTCTGCTTGATCGGCTTCCTCTTTGCTCAGCCGTTTCTGTTGAACAAGGCGATTCTGCTTGCCTCCGAGCCGATTACCGACGACACGACGAACCAAGGATACGGGCTTATTTTCGCTTATGTCATAGTATACGTCGGCCTGGCTGTAAGTACTATTAACCGACCCCTTTTGCCCATGTATCCGTAGCATTTGGAATCTTCGGCTAAACTCTGGGTTCTAAGGTTACCATGGGCCAATACCAGCATTTGACTTACCGAGCCATTACCATGGTTCGTGGTGGGTTGATCTCCATGCTCTACCGGAAGGCAACGGACATCAACATCCAGGACGTCGACCCAGCCTCCTCCATGACCCTCATGAGTGCTGATATTGAACGTATCGTCCAAGGATGGCAAACGATGCACGAGCTGTGGGCTGCTGCCGCCGAAGTGGGTATCGCCATCTTCCTCCTCCAGAAGCAGCTCGGAGTCGCTTGTGTTGTTCCAATCGCCGTGTCAATTCGTACGTATTTGCCTTGACAAGATTCCCTGATGAGGCTCTCCCATCCCCTGGTCCGACACCCCTGAGTGGAGTTCAGTTCCAACGTGCTAACGTTTTGACACTATAGTTTCACTCTTCGGCTCGGTGATTGCAATGAACTTCGTCATGGCTCACCAGGCTTCCTGGTTAGAGGCCATCGAGAGGCGTATCTCTGCGACCAGCGTGATGCTGAGTTCAATGAAGGGGGTGAAGATGTGCGGTTTGAAGGAAGTTCTCCTGACGAATCTCCACAATCTGAGACTCGAAGAGTTGAACATCTCCAAGAAGTTCCGTAAGCTTCTGATCTGGAATATGGGTTTCGGTAAGCAGTCTAGTTCGAGATGGATTTTCGCTATGTGGCTGGCAGGCTGGCTAACGACGAATCACTGTAGCATTTGTGTCTCAAATCTTTGGACCGATCATCACTTTTGCCGTGTTTGCTGCTATCAACAAGAATGGAGGTGGCAACGCCATTCTGGACATCAGCCGTGTGTTCACCTCCCTGTCTCTCTTTGCGCTGCTGTCGGAGCCCCTGCAGGCCTTGATTATGTCCCTGGTGACATTCCTGGGTTCCGTCGGATGCTTCACCCGTATTCAGGAGTTCCTTGACAAGCCATCCCGCGTTGATTCCAGACGCCAGCCAGAGCAGCGGATTACCAACCTCTTCAACCTTAGCCAGCAGACCCTGGCTCTCTCTGATAAAGATGCCTCCAAGACCGGTGAGAAGGTCAACCGCAGCTCCGCCAGCCCAACCATCAGGTCAACAAAGTCCGGCGGTTCCTTCCCACTCAAGGGATTGACCCATTCCAACCCAGAAGTCGACGCTGTTGCTATTCGTGATGGCTGCTTTGCATGGGAGAACGAGAAGGGCGCCGTCCTCAAGTCCATCAACATCAACATCCCTCGCTCCAAGACTACTGTCATCGTCGGTCCTGTTGGCTGCGGCAAGTCGACTCTCCTCAAGGCTATCCTTGGTGAAGTCGTCTGTCTCGGCGGCGTGGTTGAGATTGCCTCCAGGAACATTGCCTTCTGCGACCAGACCGCCTGGCACATGAACGAGTCTATCAAGGACAGCATTGTCTCTGTGCTGGACTTTGATGAGAAATGGTATGCCACTGTCGTCCGCGCCTGTGGTCTGGCGCAGGATCTTCGCCAGCTCCCTCGTGGTGACCAGACCATCGTGGGCAGCAAGGGTATCGCTCTGAGTGGTGGCCAGAGCCAGCGTATTGTAAGTTCTCTTCCTCATCCTCACACACAAGTTCGTCCATGGACACTGTTTTAACCAGACGATAGGCCCTCGCCCGTGCCATCTATGCTCAAAAGGATGTCCTTATCCTCGACGATGTTCTCAGTGGAATCGACGCTGCAACTGAAAACCACATCTTCCACAGCCTTCTCGGAGAAGAGGGACTGCTTCGTCGACTGGGGACCACCGTCATCATCACCTCCTCTTCGCGTAAGTTGAAACCCGATGCCGTAACAATAGGCGAGATCATTCCAGCTAATAATAAACGTGCAGCCAAACGTATTCCTTATGCCGACCATATCATTGCCCTCAGCTCTGATGGCCGTGTCGACGAGCAAGGTAAATTCGAGGAGCTCAACGTATCCGGCGGATATGTCTCGAGCTTCAACCTTCCCTCGCCCGACTGGCTGTTCAAGCCTGAACCAGAACGACCCCTCCCTGCTCCGGCTGTTATCGATGAGACTCCCCAGACGTCGGACGAGCTCGAGGCTGCGGCTAACCGACGAATGGGCGACATGGCCATCTACCTGTACTATGCCCGGTCGATTGGCTGGCCAACCACCATCGTCTTCATGTTCTTCATCAGCGCTTTTGTCTTCTGCATTTCCTTCCCTAGTAAGTCTTCTTCCTTTTATTTTTTTCTCCGTGAGACGGACTCGTGCTAACGGCAGTAGCCATCTGGTTGAAATGGTGGGCTGCATCCAACATCGAGGCTCCGTACGAAAAGCTCGGCTACTACCTGGGTATCTATGTCATGCTTGGTGTTCTTGCCATCATCTCTCTCATACTCGGGTCATGGCAAATGATCATCACCATGGTTCCAAAATCCGGCGAGGCCTTTCATTATACTCTGCTCAAGACTGTCCTGTCTGCTCCTCTGTCATTCTTCTCTACCACTGACCAAGGTGTGACCATGAACCGATTCTCTCAGGATCTTCAGCTCATCGATATGGAGCTCCCCGTTGCTGCACTCAACACCTTTGCAACCTTTGTTTTGTGTTTCGCCCAGATGGTGATCATCGGCGTCGCTTCGGTGTATGCTGCCATCGCTTTCCCACTTATCATCGGTACTCTGTACATGATCCAGAAGTACTACCTTCGTACATCTCGCCAGCTCCGATTCATGGACCTCGAGGCCAAGGCACCGCTATACTCTCAGTTCACCGAGTGTCTCAACGGTCTGGCCACCATCCGTGCCTTTGGATGGCAGGAAGCCCTTGAGAAGAAGAACCGCAAGCTGCTCGACCGTTCCCAGAAGCCATTCTACCTCCTTTTCTCCGCCCAGCGATGGCTGACTTTGGTCCTTGATATGGTTGTTGCCGGTATCGCCGTGTTGTTGATCGTCCTGGTCATCAAACTCCGAGGCACTATTAGCGGTGGATATGCTGGTGTTGCTCTGCTTAATGTTATCCAGTTCAGTCAGTCGATCAAGCTGCTCATCACCTTCTGGACCACTCTCGAGACGCACATTGGAGCCATTGCTCGCATCAAGGTGTTCAACGAGACTGCCCAACCTGAGGATAAGGAGGGCGAAAACACTCAACCACCAGACAACTGGCCTGCTCAGGGAGGCATTGAGTTTAAGTCTGTCTCCGCTGAGTACCGGCCGGGAGAACCCATCCTAAAGAATGTGACCCTTACCGTCGCCCCGGGAGAGAAATTGGGCATCTGTGGACGAACTGGAAGGTTAGTTTAATTTCCCTTTTATGCGTGTGTGTGGTATTGCGCAGTATCATTCCCTTTGCCCGTCCCGCAGCGGAGACTAACCATGAGCTTATTTCAACCAAACAGTGGAAAGAGTTCTCTCATCCTAACGATATTCCGCATGCTCGAGTTGAGCGGCGGCAGCATCTCGATCGACGGCATTGATCTCAGCACTCTGCCTCGCTCCGAGATCCGGTCCCGTATCACTGGTGTATCCCAGGACGCCCTCATCCTAAAGGGCTCACTGCGCCTCAATGTCGATCCAACTGGCGTCCTCGGTGACGACGCAATGATCTCAGCCCTAAAGAGCGTCCAGCTATGGAACATTGTCAACGAGAAGGGCGGCCTTGACGTTGACATTGATGAGATTCATCTCTCGCACGGCCAGAAACAACTTCTCTGCCTTGCCCGAGCGATCCTTCGACCCAGCACAATCCTTATTCTCGACGAAGCCACAAGCAAGTATGTACTATTCTTTCCTTTCCCCGTCCTTTTGTTTAGGTATAAATAAAAGAAGATCGTCAAAAGCGGGACCGACTCGGGACGGCCGAACCTTCACCTCGGTCCCCGATGTTCTCTTTTTCATATGATAGCCACCACCAAATGATTATACGGGACTCCCGACTAACAAGCTTGTTTCTTGTAGCGTCGACAACAAGACCGATGAGATCATGCAGCGAGTCATTCGAGAGAAGCTGTCGTCTCGCACCATCATCGCAGTCGCCCACAAGCTGGACACCATCCTCGACTTTGACCGGGTAGCCCTGCTGGACGGCGGCGAGCTGCTCGAGTATGATGACCCATATACCCTACTGTCTACCGACTCGTCTTTCAGCCGCCTGTACGCCAGCACCATGGCCGAGACGCCCGAGGACGTGGAAGTCATCAGTGTCTCGGACGAAATGATCAGCACACCGGGTACTGGACGCAACAGTACGCCGGGACGCAACAGCACATAATCGCCCTTCTTCTTTCTTCTTCTTCTTCTTCTCCCCCTTCTACTTCTGCTCTTCTTTTCTTCTTCTTTTCCTTTTTCACCATCATTTTGACGTTCATTTCTTAAAAAATATCTTCCTTGGGTATATATACATAGATCGCCATGGCCCTGATCTAAGTAGCAAGGAGCTACTCCGTACTGCTTGTCAGCTTTTACATATTTTGTTCACTTCTCTTCTGCTTGACCTGGCGTTTGGCGGGTATCATTGGTTGGCTGGCTATCATCTTCATTATTCTTCTTTTTTACTCTTTCTACATACCTGTTTCCTCCTGCCTTTACTCTCCTACAGAGACAATTCTGTTTATTGTCTAATAAATTGGCATATACTTCGTCTCTATATATACATAACTCGTTACCTCTTTTAACTGTCTAATAAACTGACATCAACCTTTTTACATCTGCGAACATGTTGCGACCCTCGTAATCCTCATCATCTGGCAACTGACCGTCTCTCTCTCGCCCTTCGCGATCGTCTCTTAACTCCAACTTTAAACTTCTCGTAAACTCGTAAATTAAACTTTTCGCTTCTTCTTTCTTTCTTCTAGAAGCATCACGTGCAACCGCGTGCTTGACAGGGCCGAAAACTCCAGCCAATCACAGCTAGCTGAGTTCCCGCTCTTCCGGCCAATAGGGGCGCTTCATCCCCTTCCGTCCCGCTTACTCAGCGTCGCTGCCCCACCCACCTTGCCTATTCGGTTAAAGCCGGTCTGGGGTACTGGCCAATCAGAGCAAGCATAATTCCCAGAGCCGTGGAAGCGAAAAGGGCGAAAAGTGGGTCCGCTGGCTCGCCCTCGTCCTTTTTTCGACTCTATCGACTCTTCCTTTTGACTTCTTTCTTTTGACGTCCCTCCCAGGGTTCTTCCTCTCTCACTTGACTGACCTTATCTGCACATCCTGACGTCGTCCCCTCGACGCATCGCTGGGCCATATCCCTCATACGAGACGCTTATGCTATCCCCCGTACGCCGGGGGCCCATCTCAGGACGACGCGGGTGTTTCAGGCCGCCGTTGGAACACTCTTGACACTGGCTACAAGACGTTAATCTGTCTGATACAGATATTTACCCGGGGTGGAGCCAGATTCAGATCTCGCTTTTGAACAACTGCTTGTTTTTCGTCACGCAATATTATTGCATTGTGCCGCATTCCATCGCATCATATCGATCAGCTGCAAAGGCGCATCCTCTGGAATCGACAATATCATCGACTTCGACACCGACTTCGACGTTGACACGCGGGATCGCAGTCGGCCGAACTCACGGTTGAGAATGGCCGTGTTGGCAAGCCCGAAGGGTATCTGAGGATTTACACCGCATACACAACTACCGAAACCGCAATAAATTTATTTTATATCGGCTCATAATATCTACGCCTTACGCTCTAACGCCATGACGGCGACACCAGGCACGACAAAGGCACGCAAACCAAGCACAAAGGGCGAAGGCTCGTCTGTTGTGCCTCGGAAACGGCGCCGTCGGGCGGTGGGCAGCGGTGCGGCAGATGACTGCTTCACCTGCGCAAGCAGACAGGTGCGATGCGACAGACGGCGGCCGTACTGCACACCATGCCTTGACATGGGACGGCAGTGCTCGGGATACAAGACGACGTTGACCTGGGGCATCGGCGTGGCCAGCAGAGGGAAGCTCAGGGGTCTGTCTCTGCCGATATCAGGCGCAAAGAAGGTTACCCAGTCGACCGAGCCTCGGAGTGTACCTACCCAACCTGCAGAGGCGAAAGCAGCGGAAAAGAGTCGGCCAGTCCAGAAGGAGACTGAGTCAGCGCCGACGCAGGCGCCGACGCCGAATTCGCCGTGGTCAGCAATAAACTTGACTCCTCCGCGAAGCACCAGCAGCAGCAGCGGCAGCAACAGCAGCATCACCGGAAGCGTCGCCGGAAGCATAAGCATGACCAGCAGCGCCACCACGAGTGAGCCCACATATGCGAACCTAGCTGCATATAATTCGACTTACAGCCCCATCGACGCGTGCGGCCTACCGCTCTACCGGGCCGTACCTGAGCCACTCAACATCAACACCAGCACCAGCACTAGCATCAGCATCAGTACCACCAACACCAACAGCACCAGTGGTACCAGCAGCACCAGCACCTACGTAGAGCTAGGGTCTCCCTATGGCTCTCCGTACAGTGCCACAACCACTCACTTCAGTCCGTTGGAGGTGTATTCCACGCCAGTGACGCAGAAGCGGCATATTGAAGAAGAGCTCGACGAATCAGAGACAGCAGTATCGTCTGACGTGTCGATATATAATGCTAATACTAATAATACCTACCATTACCAGCCATACCCAACCGCGGGCTTTTCGCTGAGCCAACCGTTTTCGACAACATGGATAGGCCGCAACCCGCGCATGCGGTACCTGATCGGGTACTATACGGAGGTCATAGCGCCTGTGATAGTGACGTTTGACAGCCCGAACAACCCATTCAGGCTGTACCTGCTCGAGCTCGCCAAGGACAGCGAGGCACTGCAGCATGCCATCGCAGCGCTGTCACTGAGCAACCTGCGTCAGCGGCGGCGCAACTGGGGCCTGCTGTCGACGGGGAAGACAGACCCTTCTAGAAGATCGCTGCAGGCCCACTGCCGGATGACGGAGCGAGCCTTTGAAGAGGCGTTTGGAGTGACGACGCCAGAGGAGCAGCTTCGAGAAGAGTCATACCACAAGGGGATGGCCATACGGTCTATCAACGCCCAGCTGGCAGACCCTGTGCAGAGACGGACAGACTCGGTGTTTGCCACGCTGCTGATGCTCTGCCTCTTTCACATGTGTGATACGGGGCTTGCCTCGTTCCGGAGCCAGTTTGCCGGCGTGAAGAAGCTGTTTATGATACGGGGCGCCGGTCGAGACCGAGGGAGCCAGGACTCGGATGTGATGAAGTGGTTTATGCGGATGTTCACCTGGTTTGACACGATGACGGCCACCATCAACGACCGGGACAGCCAGATGAACGGCTGTCTGTTGGAGGTGACAACCTCGGGACAGGACGAGTGGGCGCTGGAGAACCTGGCCGGCTGTGATCCACGCCTGTTCCGGGCCGTTGCTCAGTTGGGCCGACTCAACCAGCTCAGCCAGGCCAAGCCGGTAGACAACAGCACTGCTCGGATGGAGCGCCCCGTCCCGACGGCTGCTATCCCTCAGAGCCTAACCCACTATCCGCTACCCACTACTTCGGCTACTGGCACTGCTAGTACTGCTAATACCAGTGCTCCTCCCCTGGTAGACATGCCAGCCATCCCCGTAAGCCAGCTTGACCCACGCACCGAGTTCTGGCGAGAATGGCACGTCGTCCGGCAGAAACTCGAGAGCTGGCGTCTTCCGGACCTACCGGGCGCCCACGCCCACAATCACAATCTCACCCATAGCCCGGCCCCATCCCTTGCATCTACCATCTCGACAGCAACAACATCAACAACATCGACACCCACCTCTACATCTCTCTTTACCGCTCCGCTTCCGGCATCCCCCTTATCGCATGTCAACCCAGCCAACCTGCCCGAAATCTCCAACATTTCCGAGTCCTTCCGGTACTCTGCCTTGCTGTATCTAGAGCGCCTGGCCCACCCGACCACGCCCTCACGCCATCCTCGCTTCCAGACACTGGTCAGTGCGGCCCTGCACTATATACAGGCCGTCAAGTCGGACGTTTTCCTGCTGTGGCCGCTGTTCGTGGTGGGCAGCGAGTGCATGGGCGAGGCCGAGAGGGCCATCATCCGCGAGCGGTGCTGCGACATCCAGCGAGACTCGGGCTTTGTGAACAACCTTTCCTGTCTGCAGCTGCTGGAGCGTATCTGGCAGGAAGAGGATCCGAACGAGAGTGGCTCAGGGGCGCCTCCTTCAGGGGAACTGCTGGGGGGCGCGGCCTTTCGGTGGCGACGCATCATCGACTCGCAACGTCTTACTGATGAGTACATTGTCGTATAGCTATTGTCTACTAGTTATCTGCCATCTACCACAATCTACATCTTTACCAGTTCATCTAGTTCATCTCGTTCATCTATCTATCTATCCTCTTCCATCCTCCTGTCTATCTATCCATCCCCTTAAGAGCAAGTAAAGGCGAGCCCGGGCCGCAGTTCATGTACCATGACGTAAGCACTCACGTGGCGACAGGGTTAGTAATCGTAACTTTAGTAAGCAGAACTATAGAACTTGCAAGGATCGAAGAAAGACGAAGAAGAAGAAGACGAGAAGAAGACGAGAAGAAGAAGATGGTAGAGGGTGGTAGAGGGTGGTAGAGGATGCCAGACAAGCCGTAGAAGAGAGAGTCGATACGAGATTTGTCACTACTTGCTTATTTATCTCCCTCTTCACCGTCTTCTTCGCTCTTGTTCTACATCATCATCGTCTCTGCTTCATGCCCAACTGCTGCCTTGCTGTAACCTTGCTCTTTAAATACTTTGTTACGGAGTACTTTGGCATCTTTACGTACAGCAGTTCGTCTTACGCCCGGTTACTCATCTCTCTTCCCTTCTCCTGCTGTAGACATAAATATATAGCATGTAAATATATATATATATATATATATATATATACGAACAGCGACCGGCGATGACTCTTCGATGACTCTTTCGCGCCCATCTTTTTTGCTGCCTCCTTTTCGTCTCCTGCGCCCGTATCCCCCGTACCGTAACTTACGCCCTGCCACGCCCAGCCTTGCGCCTCGTCCCGTCCCGTAATTACCCAATCTTACCACCTAAAAAAACTTTTCAAAAACTTCTTTTTTCGCACAAAAAAGGAAAATCAAGGAAGGCGAAAAAACTTCTTCTTCTTCTTCTTCTTCTTCTTCTTCTCCTGCTGTTGAGGACAAACAGAAGACACCAGACACAGTCACAGACAGACAGACAGACAGACAGACAGACACAGACGGACAGGATAGACTGGAGTTGTTCTTTTTTTCTTGTTTTATTCTATTCTCCTTTTTTCCTGCTCTTCGTTCTCCTGTTTCTTCCTCGCTGGTCACCGAGACCGGACAGACAGCACAGTCACCACCGCAAGGCACCAGCAAAGAAGACGAGAAGGCCTCCAGGACTCGCTGGAGACGCAGAGACGCAGAGACCAGACGCTCGCCGACAAGACGACCACGCCGCTCCCGCAGACGGAGAGAAGATATCTGGCCTGGATATCGTCTCTCGTCTCGCCCTGCCCGCTGCCTGCACAAAGCCCATGAGCTGCTCCTGCACTGCGCAAATGCTCCCACAGCACCTCCACCACCACCGCCGCGACCTCTGCCTCCTCCCCCCGATAGACCGGTGACTCTGCTGCTCTCTCGCCTGCCGTCCAGCGCCTCTCTGCCGTCACGGATAGCCTGCCATCTCTCGATACTCTCTCTACGCTTAATACGACGTTCCAACGACTCCACGAACTGCCGACGTTTTCTGACTGGGTGATGCTCTCATAATGTACCACTATCCCAGCCCCCCGTCCGGGTGGTCTGCGTACGACGGCTACACCCCCCCGTCGCCTCACTACTCCTCCTACTACGGGCCCCCGCCGCCCTCAGCTTCGGCCTCTGCCTCTGCTCAGGCTGCCCAGGCTGCCGCCGCCGCCGCCGCTGCTGCCTTCGCGACCGGCTCCCCCCATGCCACCCCCCGGTCGAAGAAACACGCCTACCGGGCCAGCTTCTCAGCCGGATACAGCCAGCAGACGCCGCAGCAGAACTACCAGTACTCGTGGCAGCCCCCTTACGACCGGCCGGAGTACTTTTCCACTCCTCGCAAACAGCACTCGCAGCCACACCACGATCATGTAAGTCCCGATTATTATTACTATCACAGTCCTCATGGCTACGGGAAACAGACCCAGCACTCTCCAAACCACCACCAGAGATCAAAACATAGACGGAAGATGTCCGTCCCGGACAACGTGTCCGATGACGGCTCCATACCCGGTCTAGATGAGTACGACGGTTACTACTACCAGCAGCCTCGCAGACGGCCTTCTGCTACCACCTACTACACTCGCAGACGCGCCTCGACTAACCACTACCACTATCCCCAGACAAGCTCTGCCGCTGCCGCTGCTGCTGCTGCCTACGACGACCCCCTAGACACCCCCAAACGCTCTCGCGCTCGTCGTGCTTCCACCTTCACCCGCCCAACTCACTCTTCTGTCCACGACCCTTACTCCCAGAGCCACAGCGCCTCCAAGCCCAAACCTTCTGCCTACCACTCGGCCTCCCACAGCCATCACGCCCAGCCTGCCCCGCCAAAGTCGCCCCCGCGGGCCACCGAGGCAGACGCCATCCACCACAACATCCCGCCAGGCTACAGCATCAAGAACTGGAATCCCAAGGAGGCCCCCATCCTGCTGCTCGGCTCGGTCTTTGACGCAAACTCCCTGGGCAAATGGATCTACGACTGGACTGCCTTCCACCACGGCGCCACCGCCCCCATGGCCGACGTCGCCGGTGATCTCTGGCTGCTCCTCATCAAGCTCGCGGGGAAGGTCAAGCGTGCCGACGAGTGTGCCCCGCTCATCCGATCCACCGAGGCCCGCGAGATGGTCGAAGACTTCCTCGAGTCTGGCGAGCGGCTCTGGGCTCGCTTCAAACGACTGCTCAAGGCCTGCGAGCACTTCATGTGGAAGGCCGCTAAGCGTGAACACGCCGCTCGTGGAGGCTCTCCTGCCACCATCACCATGGGCCGTAATGCCGGATGCGAGTTTGTGGATTCCATCTTTGGTCGCGACAGAGAGCTCGAGAACACCGAGAAGCTCATGAACAGCGTCAGACTCTGGAACATGCGCTTCGACGCCAACTGTGGTGAACTCCTGCGAGAGGTCTCAAAGTAAACAAAAAAACAATAATACCCAAAAACAAACAGGAAAAGAAAACAAAAACCATTCAAAACGACCAAACCACACACACACACACACACACACACACACCACAATTCTACCAAGCACTACTATCTTATACTACGCTTTTACCAACATTTACATCTACTATTACAGGATTTCCTTTTGAGATACCCTTACTTACTGGATTGCGTTGCGTTCTGGACGGCATTTGCATGGATGCATTTACATGGACGCGGATCGGACTTTTTCTCCTCCATTATTTTACTATAACCAACCAAACAATGGCCAAAAACCCCCCCAAGGCCCAAATAAAAAGCTTCGAAAAAACACCGAAAAAACCAAAACGAACAAAACCAAAAACCCAAAAAAAAACTACAACCACGACCTGCTTCTTTCTTGGATGCTGTTTGCGTGTTGCGTTTTTAACTTACTGATTTGCATGGCTATAAGATACATTTCATCGCCTCCACAGGCACAAAAGACATACCCTTCCTATACCCAATACCCAAACCCCTTTTTTTCAACACCAATACCCGCCTCTAATCCAACATCATCTATCCACCGACCTACTTACACGGTTCTGGCGCTCGCGAGTTTTAACGGGATATATCCTCTTGCTCTGCTCTGCTCTGCTTACTACTGCTTAGTACTTAACTGCTTACTGCTACTGCTTACTTACTTCTGCCTTCAGGTCTGTCTGTCTGGCGTTCTCATTTCCTTGCGTCTCTTCCCTTTTGTGTTTTTTTTTTTCCACTCGTCTAATTCTTACTGTCGTTTCTGGCTTCAGTTGGAGTGGGTTGGTCGGGGGTTGGTTCTGGTTTCAGGCAGGCTGGTCTTGTTTGGTTCGGATACCCATTCCATATATACGCCTTCCTATCTATCTGTCTACCGCTTACATCGTCTATCTTGCTTTTTCTTTGTTTCCTTTCCTTGCCTCTTCCAATCTTGTCTTTGATACATTGTCTTGCTTTACCGCTGCTGCTACTGCTTCTGTCCTTACTGCTCGCTATCTTTACTGTCTGTCGTCTACTGTCTAGTTTCTTCATCTTTTCTTCTTCTCCTTGACTGATTTGAGATACCACTTCTGTTATCGTTCAAGCCTTTTCTATTTCTCTTCTATCTATGTCTACTTTTCCTAATCTATTTTACCATTTACCTACCTAGTATAACCGCCTACCTCTACTACCTACCACCACCCCCCGACCTCCCTATCCCTCGCCTACCTACCGACACCTTAACTCCTAACTCCCAGCCCGTAAACCCGCTTACTTCTCTTCCTCCCTTGTACATAAACAAGCCCTTTAATAGAAAATCATAAACATTGTAATACCTTTTAAAAACCACTGTCCTCCGCCTTAGCTCCCGCCCATGAAATTAAACATCCATACAGCACAGTAGTTAAGTATCTGCAGCGCCATGCAACCCAAGTCACGAACCGGAGATTTCTCTCAGACTTACATCTGTTCGCAGATTAAGCAGGCTGCGGGCACGGGCATGGGTTGATAGGCTGGCTGGCTCGCTGCTATCTATAGTACCTAGGTATATAAGATGGCTGATATAGTAGAACCTAGACCTAGAACGCTACAGCGCAGCACATCATATCACATATATAAGACATCAATTAATTAACTATCAAACTAGTTAGTAGTTAGTCAAATCGACATATCTTCCGATGAGAAGGTAAGTGGATCAGTCCAGAGAACCGTTCCGGCCCCCTTATTTGAATAACTATCCGTTATGGCGGAACGGGTTGTTGATGTTGATCTCCCGGACAGTTAGATCACTAGTTAATTAGTACACATGTCGCCATCGACAACTATGGGTTTGCTCTCCAGCTATAGCCAGGTATAATAACAACAGGCCAGGTCCAGCCTGAAGGATCCGACGCATGCACCCATGCGGAGCCTGTATGTACGTGAGATAATTGGGGTGTCACTGACTCTGCCTCGCAATCGTGGCCTTTTTTGGGCAACTAGTAACCATTTGCAATGAACCGTATATTTCCTGTGTTACCCTGTCGAGTCTGCTTAATTCTTCACTTCAAAGGGCAGTAGCCTATGTGGAAGAGTGTACTCCGTAAGGGACATGTGATATCCTTGGAGTGGTCTGTGAGAACTGATATTGAATCGGGGCCCTTATATGGATACCTCGGGGGTATCTCCGCCTGCAAATAAAAAGATGCACCAAGGATTATGTATGGTGAGACGCATGACATAGCTACATCCGCAAGATATATATTAGTTGGATCAGAAGTAAAGCGTGAGGTGTAGTTGAATAGATGATATGTACTCCATACGAAGTACTCTGTGGACTCCCAAGTCTTCCTCAAAACAGCTATCCATCTCCAGTAGGAAACTTGTAGTGTTAAGGATATTCTGGCCAGATAGCTCCGAGTGGAGGTCCAAACTAGACTGTTGTTTGATGAACAAATAGCAGGCTGAAGCTGCGTCGAGTATAAAGCTCCAAACCTGCTGGCAGCCAGGATGAGCTCGCTCGTTCGGCTCCACCGTCTGACAAGATGATGGAGTGTATAAAAATTGACAAATTTTGCTAAGTCTGACTTGCCACAGCTGCTCGGAAAGGAAGACAGTGTCTTAACTACCGAGAAAGAGATATAGCAAAGCCCAAGTCGCTCCTTGACGCCCAAGGACAGGGACAGTGGCGGAGACAGGGACAAGGACAAGGAATAATATGTAGCCTCTTCAATTCCTTCGACTGCTTCTTGTCTTGCGCATCAGCCCCTTTATCTTCGCCTTCCCTTTTTTGTAATCCAAGTATGCATCTTGTCACTGGCTGCCCAAAGCAAGGCCTTACCCCCCGTCGAGCCCGTCCAGGGATCAACAGGCCGAAGACCATCGCTTATCTCGTGTGTTGTGTGTTGCACCGCATGCCTCGCTACTTGAATTCTTCCTTGCACTTTTTTTTTTCTTCTTCTTTGCTTCCAGCCTGCATTGAGACCGATTCTTTTCGAGACGGGCGGTGCTGATCTGTGGCGCGCGCGGGATATAGTTACCTATTGCCCTAACTTGATAGTTATCAAAAACACACAACGACATCCAAGGTCGACAATAGAGAATCTGAGACTAGTTACGGCGAATCTGTCCGCCGGCTTTCCGCCTGTAGCGGATCTAACGATCAGTCGAAACAAGCCTTGAGGATCAGCCTGGCGGGTTGCACCGCAACCAGAGTCCTGGAATCCCATGGACTGGACAGACCACTCTCGTCTTGTCTCACCCCATCCGTCTTAGTTACCTGTAAAGGTTGAGCAGGGTGAGAAAAGTTCTCACTTCGAAACTAAAGTTGACCAGGGAAGCCCTCGACTGCCTGCATCTTCGTTTTTTTTTTTGCTGCAAAAAAGTAACCCATGAAGTACTGGTACTTCTGCCCCTGGTTCACCCTTCTTTGCAAAGTCAATCGTCCGAACCCATGTCTTGTGCATCGCCAGGGATAGCCCTGGCTCTTTCGGGGAAGCAGGATGATATGCGACTTTGAGTCATGTCTTCAATCCAAATGTGAGTATCCTAAAGTACATTCCTTATATTGCAAATATTGCGATATTCCTTCACGGGAAGTATAACGATATATCCCTGGGCTATACTTATGTGATCTCCGCCGCTCAAGGGTTGTCTGTTTGGTAGCCGTCCTGCCGGCATTTTGTTCCGGGAATCTACCACATCGTTGGATCAGATCCCTACTTGTTTTTCAATATTTTTCCTCATAACAGCCACATTCGGAGCTGCGAGACCAGGTTATCCAACGGAGGTGTCATTTGCAACAATAACGTAATATTTACCTTTAATTATGTCAATGAAGCCTGCAAACTGCATTCTCAAGGGTCACCCTTCATTCTTCCCAAGAAATTATCTCAAGGTACTCACTTGCCACGGCGAGTGCTGCTGAGTTCCTCTGATAGGCGACCAGAGGAGTCACTTAACCCGGTGGTTTTATAAACGTATATACAACGATCCTCGCCAGTAGACCAGCCAAGTAACTATTTAGACTGATTGTCCGTTACATTGGATTTTCGATTTTGCCATCCGATTCAAACACGAGTTGCGTAGCTCTTATCCAGGGTTCGTTCTTGCTGTCTTCACTTGATATGCCAGGCAACGTACCCAGCAAGTATGACATAGATAGAAATAGTCTCTCTGCGCGTAAGATGTGCTTCAGTATGGCTTTTAAACGCAGGAAAGATAATTTCCGGTAGCTAACTAACCACCTGCTGGTCCGCCCAGTTGCGGCTCTGTGGCGGTTGCCGTTTCTAGAAGCGATGGCGCTTGCTGAGTCGTGGAATAAGCGCGAAGCGAACGCTCCTTCCTAGTTAGAAGATGGCATAACAACACTCTCGAGTTGCTCCTTCCCCCTTTGTGCCTATCAACAACGGATTATGGCTAACCTCATTTGGTCCGGTAGACGCCGAAGCTCAGGCAGTTTCACCTTTCCAGACCATCTGTTGGTTAGTTAACTATCCACAGGATATTATGCATTCATCTTCCTGATTATATAGCTGCTAAGGAAACTAATTATTGCCCAAGAATGGTATTGAAGACTTAAAAGGGCCATCCACAGAGTTTTACAGCCAAATACCAAGTGCGAGCTGTACATAACCACCGATATAATACCCAAAGAAAGTCTAGGTCGTTCCTGGAGGGATAACCAACGGAATCGATAACCGAGTTGTATGGAGTGATTTTGATGACTAGGCCCGAGGAGACTCATGGAGGGCTAAGCTTAACCAACGTTCGTACTCTCTTGAGTAGACACTCGCACTCGCATCGATTTAGGAAGCGCACCGGGGTCGGGCCTCCCGGAAAATACAAAATAGTAGTCGATTTGATGGTTAATGCGAGGCTCTCAGCTCGTCTCTCTCAGCCAGGGCTGTAGACACTCTCCCAGATTCGGGGCTTCTCAAATTTTCCAAATTTGTGCAAGTCACCCCTGTCCTCCGAGAGACTGATATAATACCCCATAGGACCAGGAAAGAGAAGCCCATATATCAGTGGATTAGCCGAGAGGATTTTTATTTTTGATAACCAACTGACCCCTCCAGACCACCTTCCCACGGTGAGTAATTAACTATATTATAGGGTCTTGAAAAAAACCGTTTGAATTTCTTATCATTCTAACTACGAGTTGCGTTCATTCATCAGTATGGACCAGAGTAATTAGCGGGAGATATCGGACTATCTCGTCCTTTTTGACCCTGTCAGCTCGCTAAATTTGGCGAGAGACCCTCTCTTCTGCAATCTACTGATTTTGCAGTTATAAGTGGCTGTTATATATGGTTTGCCTGGTAGATCCGGATGTGAGTCGATCGTTAAGCGACCTGAGCTCGTCTGCAGGATCACCATCAATATCTGCAGCCTTGAAATGGCCTCTTACATACTTCCATACTCTGCTTCGGACACAGAGTATGCAAGGAATATGCGCTAAGAACATACTTCCGAAGACAGCTCGGTCAGGCAGTAGGCTGACAGGGCCTCGCCTATGATGCATCGTGCACGAAACTCCTCCCCCAAGCAGAATTTTCCTTGCTTTGACATATTCAACTTATCTCTCCAATAATAGAATGTGACCATCCGAACCTCATCCCGGTGATGCTTTCGACCCTTGCTCTTGGGGAAACATATCCGTAAAGAAGACGGGTCTCGTCTGCAGTCATCCCTTAGAAGCCGGAGGTTCCGTACCTGGGTAAAAACAAGTTCCGCTTGCAAGGAGGTCAGCCCAAAGACATCAATATTATCCCAATCAACGGGAACGATGGCGGTGCCGGGGCCTTGATGCTTTGCTGATTTCGCCACGCTCGGATTTTTTAGAAAGGGAGACAGAAAAGGGGCCAGCTAAAGGGTCGGCCAGAGAAAAATGCTTCTCTCATTATCCTTTGGGTATCCGTCTATCCAGCGCTAAAAACATTTGGCCAATTGGGAAGAAAGATCAGCGAATCCAGCTATATCTAATGTTTTTTTCCCCCTCTTTTCCGTGAAGGCCATATACTTGCATCTCTCGACTAGAGATCGATAGTTGGTGCTTAGGGCCGGTCTTGTGAAGCAGCTAGTGTTTATAAGGAGCGGCCGCCGTACGGAGTCGTAGTTTATATCAGACCAGTCTAGTGTCAGAACTCCTCCAGCCCGATTCCCCTCTTGCTATGGGGGACACGAGGGGCTAGCGTTTCGGCTTTCCGGGGAAAGCTGTCGTTTTTCCATCTCTCCGGGGATGTTGTGGAACATATCGATTTTATCTCAAGGCAAACGACAGTCACAGGCATACACGGCCGCTCTTCTGCTTCAGCGCCAAAATCTCTTCGCCGTTGACCCAACAAGATGGCTAACGTCTTCATCTTCCAGTTGTGCACTCTTCCGCTGCTATGTCGAAGTCTAGCGAGCGTTATGGTCGACGGGGTTTTCCCCGAGATCAACATCTTCTCCGCGGTACGATAGCGATAGGCGAACTGAACGTAAGTAGTACTCGGACCGCCAAATGGCTTAAAGGGGCACCGTCAGTCCTTGCAAGCTAGGTATCACAGACCTGGGGTCTTATATTTGCCGTCGTTATTATCACGTAGTTGTACTCCGTATAAAGTCGCCATTCTCTCCTCATTCCAAGCCCTAGAGCCGCAGATATCGAAATCCGGGGAAGACTCCGACCAAGTACCACGAGGAGCCGCCTTCTAGAAAACAACCAAACGCCGTGGCAAGGCTTGTTTTCGCTGCCTAAGCAGGCCGCGAGCGGGAAACGGACGGTTCCTGTTCCATTCCCGTCCAGAGAAATTCTAGCACCGAGCAGAGGCGCCTCTGGTTGGCCTGCCGTGCTGAGTGATAGACTGCGTCCTGCTCCAGCGAGAATCCACGGCAGCCCTCAGGCTTAACCGAAGTTTCTTCCCATCTCGTTTGCCTCCACTTGCACCGGAAATGCTCCGGGAAAGTTCCCTCTTTGCCGTCTTTCGCCCTGTGTTCCGCCCTGGATTCCAGATCATCTGCTGTGTGTGCATTTGTAGCCGTAGAGTAGTTAACCCGCTGAGCGGAACGGACGACAGGAGCTTCTGCTTCGTCCTCTGTGCCAGCCAGCCCAGCCGTCTTCTCTATTAAAGCCCGACCTGCCGTGATATAGAGGTAGTTAGCCAGAAACCTCTTCGTCTCGTAAAGCAACAGCTATCCCTGTCAGATCCTGCCGTCGTATCGGTGCAGGCAGTTCGTTGTTAGCTAACCACCTAGCCGGAAGCTCGGAAAAGGCGGCGCACAGAGAGAGAGAGAGAGATCTCGAGATGGCAGACGAAGTCATCGAGCTCGAGGGGAAGCCAGCGCCTGAGCAGGAGGCCGTTGTCATCGACGAGAAGAGAGAGAAAGCATTGATTGCGAAGATTGACAGGCACATCGTCCCGTTTCTCGTTGGCCTGTATCTGTTCAGCTTCCTCGATCGAGGTTTGTTCTTCTGCCTTTGGCCATCGCGCGACTTAACTAGTAACTAGCAAAAAGAAGCCACAAGCTGACAAGTTGACCGTCTTCAGTGAATATTGGAAATGCCAGGCTGTACGGCCTCGAAGAGGACCTGGGGCTGAAAGGAAACCAGTATCAGATTGCTGTGTCCATCCTCTTCATCCCATACTGTGTGAGTAGTATCCCGGGAGTTCGTGACAGGAAAGAGACGGCCACCCTGCTAACAGCAAGGACAGCTCCTCGAAGTCCCCTCGAACCTGTTCATCCGCCGATTCACTGCCTCCCGATACATCTCAGTCATAACGACGATATGGGGTCTCGTGGCCACGCTGTCGGGAGTCACCCAGAACTTCGCCGGCATGGTTGTCTGCCGGTTCATCTTGGGCGCTGTTGAGGCTGGCCTGTTCCCCGGCCTGATCGCTTACATGACGCTCTTCTACGGGAAAAGGGAGATCGCCCTACGAGTAGGATATCTCTTCAGTGCCGCTGCCGCCGCCGGTGCGTGCGGTGGCCTTCTAGCGTATGCCATCGGGTTTCTGGATGGCACCGCTGGCCTCAAGGGATGGCGGTGGATCATGATCCTTGAAGGTATCCCATCGTTCTTGATCGGAATAGCCACATGGTTTGGGCTCGCAGATGACCCAGATACGGCTTACTACCTTACTGAAGAAGAAAAGGAGATTGGGAGAGCCCGTCGAAGACGTGAGATCGGCCAGACGGACTCCGCGCAGCTGTTCCATGTTGCCGATGCAAAGGAGGGCGCAAAGGACTGGACCATCTATCTCTTCTGCCTTGGCCAGTTCGGCACCGACGCCGTGCTATACGGGTACAGTACCTTCTTGCCAACCATCATCAAAGCCTTCGGAGACTGGACTGGCCCCCAGGTGCAGGCGTTGACCATCCCATGCTATGCTCTGGGTGCAATCACATATCTCATCATTGCTTGGTTCAGTGATCGATGGCAGAAGAGAGCAGTCTTCACCATAGCCTTCACCTGCGTTACCATACTGGGATATGGCTTGTTGATCTCTGACACCTCCTCGGGCGTACACTACTTTGGCTGCTTCCTCGTCGCCTGTGGTGTCTATGTTGCTGTCGGACTTCCTACCGCCTGGCTGCCAACAAACCTTCCCCGATTCGGCAAGCGTGCATTCGCTACCGGCCTGCAGCTCACTCTGGGAAACACATCCGGCATCGTCACCCCGTTCCTGTACCCTCACCATACCGCTCCTCGCTATGTCATGGGCCATGCCGTCACTCTGGCACTAGCGGGCCTTTCCGTCTTGATCTATGGTTTCATGTGGTTCCATTATTCTCGCATCAACAAGGCTCGTGCAGAGGGTAAGGAAGACTACAAGATCGAAGGCATGACCCACGAAGAAGTACAGGAAATGGGTGATCGTAACCCTCAGTTCAGATACAGCACCTAAATCTGTGCCTGTCTTCAACGAGTTGGTTTGAATATATATCTATTTTTTTGAGGCACGGATTACTCGTTATCTGGCGTTTCCTCTTCTATGCACCCTTAGATCGTTAGATCCTCAAGATGCATTTCACATACACTAGCATGACTCTCGGTCTAAGAACCTACAGTTGAAAGCAGTTAAATATAAAATGAATCGTTCCATCTTTTATCCATGTGTTCATGATCTTTAGCCTTCCTGCCAGTTGGTTTCCCTCTTTTTCCCTAATTGAGCAATATAAACGTCAAAAATACATCACACGTCGTGAAACAAGGAGCATATTCAACCGCTAGCAGATCGCATTCAGGCATATTAACCGCTGCAAGACTTCTTGACAGTAGTGAATTGGTCTAGTATCGGTCGAATTAACCTACAACACAAGGGTCGCTCCACACCATCACCTCACCCGAACTATGAACCGGAACAGGCCGGATCCTTCCAAAAAATATAACACCAATTGATTCTATAATGTCATGACATCCCCACGCCCGAGACGAGAGTATACCGTCTTCCATGGGTAAAGCACGACATCTAACTATCCAGAAACTGAGCAGAAAAAACAGGGTACGTAATATCACAGACCTCATGGTTAGTTGGTAGGTGGTGGATAATTCTCCACACGATCAAAATCTGTCCCAACAGCCGTCTCTGCCTGCCGCTTCATCGGGGATTAGAGTCATCCGTTTGTTAGCTATAACCCACAAGATATTTATCCCAATCAAGATGGTCCCTATAGAACAACCGGACATAGTATCAGCCAGCGGAGAAAATGCCCCATAGACTTTCAACTCACGACAGAACCTGTTGACCTGTGATTAGAAATGCATGGGTGATGACACGGTGGAGAATCGGTCATCAACATGGGTACCACTCTTAGGTCATAGGAGGCCAGTACCAGCCGTAGTCATTTCGGAAAGAAGTTCACCATTAAAAGGGCCTGAATAAAGAGCTGATCCTAGATACTCCGACTCATAGTCAAAGCTATCTCTTCAGCGGGATTATTCGCTTCGCAGTCACCCTTGGGGCCCCTGATACCAAGGTCTCGGATGTCAACGGACGTTCCGGCAAGATGGAAGACTCCCTATCCCCATGGACTCGCCAACTAAACGAAGCTGTCGTTGATGTTTGTTTGTTGTCGTTCCAGAACTGAAGAAATCAGATAAGATTCGATGGTCCGCTTTAATAGTGTCACGTGAAAGCTCATATGATGGACTAACTTTGATCCGTGAATTAAGGTTTCAGAACTGCCGAGGCCCAGAAGCCCATACTATACGGAGCACTCAGTAAACATTTTGATTCAAGAAATTCATTTACCCACAGATCTACGGCGTGGCTAAAGTAGCTCTGGAGTTTCTGGTTCTGATAATGGTACCAATGAAGGTGAGATGTCGTTACCAGCTATTAGAAATGGTGAGCATCTGTTGTTTTAGTGAACCGGAAACAAGGCAGCCCGTGCCCTCGGGTCATAACAACCGAGCAACAGCTAGAGGTTAACTGATTATCCAGCCACGTGCAAAGAGGCTGCGGGTTAGTTAGCTAAGTACCTCCCGGCCATGGTCGGTAATGGAGTCAAGCAAGGCTTGCTGTCATGAAAAATGCCCCCAAGGTTGGTATAAATAAAGAGCTCTATGAGGGGCTCAACTGTGTATTGGTTACACACGGACATAAGCCCGGAGTTAAGGCTTCGGGCAATATCTTGCTCACTAATACTCCATCTAGCTGGTTAACCGCAATACCCCGGGCACCTTTCATACCTTCTTTGCAGAAGATGAAGAAGCACAGCGGTTGTATGAATTATATTTCTTGAAGATCTCTATAACAGACTGCAATTACGTACGTGTTGCATCCTTGGCCTCCGCAACTTCAGCTTGCCATAACAACACCTGGCAAGTGGTCGTCATCGAATATCCTTGTCAAGCTGCCTATAACAAATGTTATGGCAGCAAAGGCAGTAGCTGTTATCGCAGGCGTCGGCCCAGGGACGGTATGTTGGGTTCCATGCACACCCTATGTATCCATTTTATAGCTTTTGTAACGCCAATTCTTTCCTATAACTATAGGGGGCTTCTATTGCTCGCCGCTTTGCTCAAAAGTACCCAGTAGCTCTGCTGGCTCGCAACCCAAAGAACTACGAGGGAGTTGTCGACGATATCTCTAAAGGCGGTGGAAAAGCCGTCGGGTTTAGTGCAGATGTATCAGATGCAAGCAGCATCAATCGTGCATTTGCGGAGATCGACAAAGCTTTTCCTGGCAGCCTGCTCGCAGCTGCTGTGTACAACGTTGGCGGAGGCCTTTCTGTAAAGCCGTTCCTTGAGCTGACCGAGGATGAGTTCACTCAGGGATTCAAAACTAATGGGTATCCATTCATTTAATCCCGAGCAGTGGTCACGGCTATTAATTGATACCTTGGGCTAACTATTTCATTATCAAAGACTGGGAGGCTTCCATTTCTCTCAGGCTGCCATTCCACGGCTCCAAAAGGCCACTGAGCTGGAGCTTCCTCCTACGTTGATATTTACCGGTAACTATTAGTACCTAAACATCTGAATAGTATACATTTGCATACTAATATCAGGTCATTAGGTGCCACTGCAAGTCTGAAGGCATCGGCAAAATTCTCATCGTTTGCGTCAGGCAAGTTTGCTTTGCGAGCTGTGGCGCAATCCTTGGCTAGAGAGTTTGGTCCTCAAGGCATACACGTCTGTCATGCCATTGTTGATGGAGTTATCGACATTGAACGGACAAGCCATATCCAATTTGGCTCCCCTGATTCAAAGCTAAATCCTGATGCTGTAAGTATCCAGCTGCCTGATACTAAGTCTTTTTCGCAGCCCGCACTTCTCGATGTGCTAATTTATGAACCTAGATTGCAGAAACATACTGGCACCTACATTCCCAGCCGAGAACGACATTCACACATGAGATTGATCTACGTCCGTACGTAGAGAAATGGTAACTTACTTAACCTAGCTTCTCAGCCTATTTTCATTTCATAATTGATGGTGTATGCGGAAAATTGTCAACCTGTCTCTCTCCTAAGCTGCTGCAACTAACATTGAATACTCCAAATTAAAAAGTTGTTGAACATTCCTCTAATCTAAACTGTAGTTCTAAGCCATGGTGCTCACGAACCATCCATTTTTCTCATTGTATAGATCATAAGGAGTGACTCCAGTCAGTACCGGGTACCGTGGTTGCCCATTCTTATCCGTACACTGCACTGGATCATTAATGCAAGTGGCCAACATCTGTCCCACTGCACGTCCCTCAAATAAAGCGCCGTGCAAGTAGCCGTAAAACTCCTGACTTGTCGCCTCACCAGCAAAAGAGAGTCGGCCAACGTTTGCTCGGAGATTTTGGTGTGCCTGCAGACTGGTTGATGGGGGCCAGTTTGAATACGAACCATAAGCCCTAGACATAGTTAGTTATCAAATAGTCTATGATGATCCAAGGCTGCCTACATACCAGGGCTCCTGGTTCCATCGCGGATACCAAATATCAGTTGGGTCAGGGATGCTTTCTCCAAACATCGTCCGAAGCACTTTCATAATCTCTTCCTGGGTCTCCTGGTTCGTTTGGGCTTCGACTCTGCGTGCCTGTTTACCCACAACGGTGCCTACAAGGATTCCAGAGCCTTGGAGAGCACCTGGAAGGTCTAGCGGTTGGAAAAGAGGGTAGTAACCTCTCTCATGGGGGTCAGCGTACATAAGATACTGACTGTTTGGCCAGAACGCTTTGTCGAATTGGAGGAATATCTTGGTATATGTTCCTATCTCAAAACTTGAGATGGCAGATTTTTTCCAGCTAGGGAATGGAGGGTAGAATTGTACCACATCACGCTGCAAAACTCCCAGTGAAAATGTTGCAACTGCATAATCAGCTTGGATACAGCCACCGTCGTTGGTTATGACAGTCACACCGTTGTCCGTATAGTTAACAACCTAGACAACGGTGTTCAGGAGCAGTCTGGGATCATTGGGCTGAAGGAATGTAGCAGCCTCGCCTCTAATAAAGGTGCCTAGTAGTTTCAAATAGCCAACTTGTCAAAAGCGAAACCCGGAAGAATAGGAGGGGTAACTTACTGTAGCCCCGTTGATCATAGACGAAAAGGTTATCATCAGAAAAGTGTTTGAAAGTGGCGTTGTCAGCAACAGATGAGAAAACTGCAGAATTCTCCTCTGGAGTGAAACTAGATTCGAAGTCGCTGCCAAACCAGTCTGCAAACTGTGCATGTGCATTATTCGCAGCTGGATTCCATCCCATAAATCGAAGGGCCGCACGAACTGTTTTGTCTTGAATATTATTCTTTAACAGTGACCCAGCATGAGTAACCACCTTTTCCATAGCGGCTTGTGCATTGGCTATTATCTTGGAAAAATCATTTTTGCCGGTCTTATCGTATGTTGTTTTGTTGTCATAGTCGGTCGCCCTGTAGAGACGCGGTAAGCATCTTTAGTAGAGTATCATATTGCCGACAACTTACAGGGCTTGAAGCTTGTATTTTTTGGCCTTAATATAGCATTAGTCAGTCCAGTCCAACAAACATCTGTAAATTGCTAGGTCAAGCTTTCTATACCAGCGTGAATATCGGATTTTCCGGGTGGTCGTCTCCGCCTAGCCCTTCAACCTATATTTGGCGTCATAGTTAACCCAGGTTTGCTTCGGTACGATATGGGGTTGATCTCAATTAAGGGCCTACCCAGTTTGCGCCGGCCTCAACGGTATATGGGGACCCGTCTTTCTTCTTCCCAAACTTGACATTATGTAAACGCCCGCCAATTCTATCTTGATATTCAACAATGATAAAATCTGTTATCGACTGGTTTGCAAGTGTTTGCTAAATTGAACAGGGTATCTTCTGTTAATTCCTTAAAAGTTCATTACTATGTAGCACTGAGGCAACAGGGGCCTACCGCAGCGGTAATCCCAGCAACACCTGCACCTCTGTATTCTGTAAGTATACCTCCACGAAAAAAATGACAAAAATTGTCTGTGAAACATACAGGACTGCGACTTTCGTCTTTCGGCAAGCAGGTTCTGTCTGCCCATGCTCAATAGGTTTTCCATGGATGATAGGTATCCCAAGACAAGCTGCGAGAAACACGGAATTGAGCCTCATGCTGACTGAGTATATTTCCAGCTAGTGACAACCTAAAAGGGAGAAAATGACCAGGGAAGCCGAGGTCTCAAGAGTACATTCAGCACTGTAAATTATGCGCCCGCTCCTTGGGAAACATGAACGAAACCCGACCATTCTGGAACGACAGTCCCATTTATAAGTCCTCTTTCACGAAGCCCCAAATTTGAGGCCTCGAGCGGGGGTACGGTCTACTTGATGGTCAGACCAAGCAGCAATCGACTGATTGCTAGCGAAGCAAAGCCATATGATATTACTGGCTACACATTGTCAGCTGGAGGGCATATCCGCGTTACATCAGCGGCTTGGTATGCAATAGGTAGTTAACTAGTTAACTAGTTCTTTCTTCGGACAAGACCTGTATTCTGGGGTCTCAAAAATTCGGGCGTTGTCCACTGCAGCATGGGCGGACAGCCACCTTCCACAAAGCGACTCCGTTGCTTGACAGGATATAACACCCATCACTTTTGGACCAAAATGGGACACAAGAGAGCTATTATACTCCGTATTGCTCAAAGACAAGGGCAGCAAGTGCTTCAGCTTGCATCTCTCCCCACGGGGCGATGTCCATGTCACGCGGTCAGGACAAACCGAAGGCTGCCATCGTGGCAGAAACATCACTAGATCCTCCTCCATCATTGCTGGCCCCCGCGCTGTCCAACATCGGAGCTCGCACGCCGTCAAGCAAGGCAATTCGGTGCGAGCATGCAAGCAGGCTCCTTCATTGCGGGTTAGGCGCGCGAGGCGAACCAACCGCCCGTCTTTCTCCGTGTTTGTTGGACGCAAAAACATTGAGATCTCGACGTGGTTGAAAGCCGGAAAAAGCAACAAGAAGAAAAAAGAAACAAAATAATAATATGCTTACATAACAAACGGCCATTACATAATCTGGAGAAGAGCTCTATCACGTGATAATGTTATCACCTGATTGTTGACTAAGCAGAGTCAATAAACGCTGGGACAAACTTGGAAATATCAACGTCGAGCACAAACAGCCGAACAGCTCCAACTGTGAGGGGACATCACAGCTTACTCCCCGCGACTTCCGAAGATTTACCTCTCGATTCTAGCCAATATATCCCCACGCGGTGAAAGGAACCATGGTGTTGAACCCGCAACAAACAGGCTTTTCGGACGACTCGCCACCGTCGGATAGCGATTCATACTTCTCGAGCTCCGAGTATTCAGAAGGCGGACAGCTTTCTCGGTTTGCCAAATATCCCACACGAGTTGAATTGCCGCCATTTAGCCTCATCAAGCGGATATTTTACTGGACTGAGGCCAACTACCAACGAAGCATTAGCCGCCTAATCGAAGACCGCCTAGACTTCGTCCGCGTGATCACCAATCGGTTCCCAACCCAAGAAGAGACGGATGCGCTAGTTTCGCAAGCTTCGACTATGCAGAACATGCCTTGTTACGGAGGGGTTGTGAGCCTAGCTGTAGGATCGTTTATTGCAAAATCGAAAAATGCTGCAGAAGAGGCGGCCGCCAAAAAGTCAGCCAGCGAACACTTTACTCCAAATCAGAACCGACCCCTACTCAAGCTGAACCCAGGTGAACTGAAAGGCAGACTCATAAGAGCTTCATTTATATTGCCGATATTTGGATTTATTGGTCTCGTCTTCGGTGAGGTCGTCGGTGAGGCAGTTTCCAAAGTCAGCATGTCCACAGACCCCAGATTAGTGCCTTTGTTTAAGGAGGTTGGACAATTAGACCAGCAGGAGGTTATGGCTCGTATTAGGCGGCACAATGCAGAAAGATTAGCAGCGGCTCGTCGCCAACGTAACAATCTGCATCCTGCCTCTCAGCCTCAACGACCGGAATATTATGCTGCTAATGATACCAGCCCTACGAACAGCTATGGTCAACAAGGAGCCACTGAATCTTCCTATTACCAGAGCCAGCCTGACATCCAGGCAGGATACAGCAACCAGTCAGCCATCGGAGATTCGAAAATCCTCAGAGAGACCTATCGACAAGGAGAAACCTCGGAGTATTCTACTTCATCTTCATATCCTAGTACAAATGATTATTCGAGAGATTGGAGACAACAGCAGACATACCCTCCCGCTCGCGACAGTTCTACTTCTAGTACAGAAGGGAAGAGTTTCTGGGATGATGATGCGAGCCCTGTAAGCTCAGAGTTCACATCTACCACTGACCCATCGTCCTCCCCCGCCCCACACTCCGGAAGTGCCTGGGCGCGTATTCGCCAACAATCCATGGGTGACTCTTCTGCAAATTCTGGAAACAATAACACCTCCTCATCAGGATGGTAGAGTCGCCAGATTGATGGTAGCGAGCTGCGCCTTATTACTATAATAAGACATGACGTATCTGTAAAATTTAAAGAATATACCAATACTCTCGATGTAACAATAGGCACAACAATGCAAGATCTAGCATGATTCTCTCTATGTGGAGTTCTGTGGATAAAACATTAATCAAGCCCCTGATTCAATTAGTTAATATCTAATGGTTATATGGATGGGGGGGCTTGCCCGTTTAGATAGACGGCGGTGAATAGCTAAAAGTGACCAGTGATAAAACGTAAATGGGTCATAGATAAGAATAATCATAAGAATTTAGGTAGGATCAAAGAGGGCAAAGATTAACCAAGCCCATGAATACTACTAAGACATCAACATAAACCAGAAAAAATCGCTCGAGAGATAGACATGTGATCAGATCGTAAATAATTACCAAATGGTCCAAAGCAAATTGGAAAATGAATAGAAATAGTAAAAAGGAATTGAGTAGTAAAATGGGTATCGGCATCTAATCAAGCACCCACATTCGAACTCACTTCCACAACTCAAACGCGAAATAGAAGAAAGGAATTAATTAACTAGATTCTGTTCTCAATCGGACCGTTTATTGCCAGGCTCTCGTATGGAGAACACACATCCTGACGGTCTGAAGCAGGGGAACGTCCATTACGGGGTCGACTTGAGCTCCTCATGCGGTCAGTAAGGTTGCGAAACTTGAACTGTACATTATCGTTGACACTCCTGCCTCGTTTGTGGGGATCAGCAGATGCTCTCATGTTGCCCTCTAGCTGGTGCAGCGATTGCTGATGTGCGGGTAACGATGCTGCGCGGAAGTTGGGGTTCGGGTTAGGGGGCCCAAAAAGCCCGGGGCTGTGAGAATCATCAATCGCAATGTTTATCGTACCGACTCCAGAGATGAGGGAGTTTCGCCCTTCGTCATGCGTTGGACCATCATTTTGCACAGATGCAGCTGGCGGCGGTGGTTGGCGTGATGGAGGCGCCGGTGGAGGTGGTGGCGGCGGAGGAGTAGCAGTGGCATGTAAATGTTGTAACTCTGGAAGGAGAGGAGGTGGTGGACCGGAGGGTATACGGGAATGTTCAGCTCGTAGGTTCTCTACTCGGGAATTTTCCAGTGTCATACCCTCGTTTGACGGCTCACGTTTGTGACCTGGAGTTCGGTTTGTCCGGCTACTAGGAAGTTGACGCTGGAAATGAGGATGAGTTGGCATACCATCTTCCGCTGGAATTGGAGCAGACATGGAGCGGGGGATATTGAAAGATGGCCTTCTCTCATAGCTATAGAATGCATCCGGGGGTGGTACTTCAGGTACTTCAGGTGCATCAGAGTCGTTGTATCCGGTGCTGTATTTAGGATGTCTCATAGCCCTAGGGGTAGCAGGAAGTCCAATTGGCATGGTAAACGGAACACGCTCATTTAGGCTAGATGGGGTAGGTCCTGTGCTTTTCGACATAGCCCTTTGGCTAAAAGAGCTATTGGATCTACCATGAGTTTGTGGGCCGGGGGAAGGAGAAGGACGACCAGAGAGAATTTGGTTGAGGCTTGCCTCTCCAGGGAGTGGGATGGGGGGAGCAGAAGGCCGACGAGCTAGAGATTGACGGCGAGCCTCAAGCTCCGCCGCAGCAGACCGTTTCCTGCCGTGTTCATCAAGCTGATTGTCAATCTGGTTATTACCGGGCAGCTGTGGTTGCGGTTGCTCATCATTCGAGTTGTATGCCGGGTAGACTGGATCAGAACGATTGCCAGTTTCTCCACTGGTATCACTATCTTTTTCGGTTCCATTCCTCTGCTCAGATGAAGAGTATCGAGGTGCACTTCTACTACGATTGTGGCGTCTATTTGCACTCCGCTCCCTGGATTTATAACGCTGTTTCCGCTCGGCATTCAACAGCCTGAACCTGTGGTCAATATCTCCACTGCTTTCAGCGGGAGACATCGGCACAGGGGATGTTGGTGACCTTATTGAGCGATCGAAATCTCGACGTCTGCTTGTGCTTCGTCCTGATACCCGGCTTCTAGCTCCAGGACTGTTGCTGCGCATTCGGCTACTCATCCTTCCATTTCGCGACGGCGGCCGAACTCCCACGTAGTCTTTAGAAGAGGACGAGTAGAGAGCGATGTCCTCTGGTGACATGGGAATGGGTGATGATGGTGACCTCTTAGCTGGCTGGATATATCTCTGTTTGCTTCTCCCACGTCCATTGGGATCCTTCGAGCTTGCTCTTGAGCCAGATTTCTTGTGTGGCTTTTGTCTCTGAGCATGATAACTGGCTCCATCAAGGCTGCTGATATACTTGTCGAGACTTTTTGCACTTAAAGGTACACTTGTACCTGACCTTGCGCTTCTGGTAGAGGCAGTTGGACTCATCACGCCATCCCCCCTCTCGCCATTTCGGCGGTTAGAGGACGGCTGTTGATAATACATTTCCTCCGATGGCGGATCCTCTGATGACTGATCGTCCACAGGAGGCCACTGTATCTGCAGCCCGTCAGGTTTGCGGGATTGTGAGCCGTTGCTACTCCGCTGATTCTGTCCTAATGCAGTCTCCAGTTTGTTTTCCCGGCCCGAAGAGGAACTCAGGGTCCTATCTGGTGGTACGGCTGTCATGGGCGTTTCCTTCTCCTTCATGGACTCATTTAATGGGGTGTATCTGGCTGGTGTTAAATACTCGAGGGTTTCCGTGGTAGTTTGGTTCAAGTTTGACACTGGTGGAGGTACAAGCGGTACGTCAATCACTTTTATTTCTTTGTCGGATTCAGAGGACTGGTCAACTGGAAGGCGGCTCCTGGGTGCTGATACAGTTGGGGTAGGATCGTTTGGTGACTCTCCGATGGACGGAAGACGTTCCCTCCCAAAGCTTGCAGGATGGGTACGAGAAACTGGAGTGGTTCCTTGGCCTCGATGACCACCTGGCCGAAGGCTACTATTGTAACCTCCAGGAGAAAACATTTGGTCTCCTAGCCCAGCATCGATTGGAGTAACCCCAGGCATATTGGTAGGGGTTCTATCGGCAGATGCAAGACCAGGGAACTGGAAGGTAGAGTTATTATTTGAACCAAATGAAGTTATGAGCTTGAGAGATTGATTCTTCAGACGAGAAGTTGGGGATAAGTTATTCAAAGGTGGGCCGTTCATCGGGGTAACTTGGTTTTTCTCTGAGGGCGGGTTGGAGCCAGAGGGATGACTAGTAGGACCTTTCCAAGATACGGGATTTGCCGTTTCAGTGCAGGAGAAACAACGCAGTGCTAAGTGCTGCTGTGAGTTGATAGCCGCGTGTTCTCCCCATTTGCGAACAAGGTACGATTGCCTGGTCCATGCAGCTGGTGTCAACAAACAACTTAGAAGCACGGCTTCCATAAACTGGTTCCTGGACACATAAAGCTCAACCGCAAGTTCTCCTTCCCCAATACCCATCAAGACCGCCGCGGCTGCGTGGGGGTCATTGGAAGCTATAAGCTTTTTCGCAAGTGCCTGGCCAGGCTCCTTTGAGGCTTCTTTCTTGGTCAATAAGCTAAGGGCCATAATCATCCAATTGACATATGAAGAGGTTGATGCTTCAACCATAGGCACCATTATATCAGACTCAGATGGAAGTAGCCACCTTGCTAGGATAGCTGAGTGTTGTGAGCCATAGGTATGTTGTTTAACTAATAGGCATCATTAGCTAGTGATGAAAGGAGGCAAGGCCAGGTAATTTCTTACATTCACTCCGTATCAGGTCTTCAATGTTTCCCTCCCATCCAAATATCACTGTCAACATTTGCCTTCGTAGTTCATCCGGTCCAAGGTTTGGGTCATCAAATCTGCGAGAAGGATTTATTGATACGCTATTTAATCGAGCGCGTATGTAGGGGAAGAGGTCGGTAACTGGGTCATCCCAGATTCCAGGAATAGAAACAGGGCGCAGCTTGGACAAGGTAGACTCTGTGGAGTTCATTGACATGGCATACCGCGCGGAGTAGCCAGAGTGAAGGGTTTCTGCAATGGATGGCCTAGGAGACCCAAGGGAGAAGGTGGTTGCTGAACCACTATAATTGGAGCCAGGAGGGCGGGGAGCATATGGTGTGCGGTTCCGGGGCCTAGAACCATTCGAAATAGGTACACTGTATCCTGATCCCGGACTCTTTGAAGCCTCAGCACGAACCAAGTCCAGTTTAGACTCAACGCCAGGCAAAGACCCTTGTGATGGGCGGCTTTTGTGTTTCTGTTCGGATGCAGTGTGTTTCGCCAGGGTCTCGACTGTGAGGGCACTCTCGGCAGCTGGGGGCTGCTCGACAGGTAGATCTGGTTTCTGCGGAATGTGCTGTGCATTTGCAACCATTACAGCGTTTGCTACATCATACTGTTGTATAGTATGGTTCGGGCCCATAGTGAAAAGTGTAGCAGTAGGTCCATAGTTTGCTATGCCTTGAATGCCTTGGATGGTTGGTATGGTTTCATACGAAACATTTTTTGTTCTGACATCCCACGCCAAACTCTCCCTATATTAAGCGTTAGCAGCTTCTAGAGTAATTGTGTATGGTCTCTGAGGATTGTCACTAACCCATCATTATGCTGAACAATGCGGCCGTTTTTCGACCAAGCCAACCATTTGGGACTGGTGTTATTTGATTCAGATTTCTTCAAGGCTCTTATAACTCGGGGTGATTCTGTGGATGGCTGTTTGGCTACGCTCCAAACAAATAAATCGCCGTCTATAGTTTGGGATGCCAACATATCGGTTTTCTGCTTGGTTGATGAAGCATGCCAGGAAAGAGAAATGACAGGTGACGGGCCCCTAGTAGTTGTGAGGGTGTGCAAAATGGTAAACGTTGGAAGAAGGGTAGCAATTAGAATGGATCCGTTGAGATATCTAATCAATTCAAGGTTAGTAAGAGCTTAAAGGGCTTGGGGAGGGTCAATCTTGCAAATACCCTATAGCAAAGGTGTTACAATCCATTGTTGGAGCCAAAGCAGTGATTGGGTCAAATATCGTGCGGGCAGATATGTGTTCCGAGGTTGATGGCTCAAACAATATGATTTCACCTTTGATGTTTCCTGCAGTCCACTCATTAGTTCTCGAAAGCGAATTACCTCCGGGCCCAAATAAAAAGCACAACTAACCAAATGCAACATGTCCATTCCGAAGCCAAGTAGCAACTCTGATAGGTTCAAATGAGACAAACCGGGTAATTTCTTGACCGGTGAAAAGATCCCATATTATCGCAGTGTGGCCAATGTCATAACTAACCACCAAACGCCCGGCCCCTCTTTCACTAACATTATCAACGGCTATTATCTGGACATCGTCGCGATGACGGTGAAACCTCCGGTCCACGGCCAAGCTGTCATGATGTAGAGCGATAACGGTCGGGCCTTGTGAGAATAGAAACAATGATGCGGTAGCGGCGCAAGGGCTGAGATCATTATTTAACTCGATAGGAGGGCTTGAGAGTAAGGCGCCCGAAGCTGAGCGCGAGCCCGAAGACGTCGACATCCGCACCCCATAGTGCTCGGAAGACATCTTCACGGGAGAGGAGTCTGTTAGAGGTGTTAATTAAGAGGACTGCGCATGGGGTCAGCCGGTAAAGAAGAACAGGACAAAGAAGAATGAAAGCGGCGACGGCAAAAGGAGAGGCAAGAAGAATGTTTATGATCAGACGGCAGGAGAAAAGAGGAGGGCGCTTGGGAGACCTGACTGACCTTGCGGAGGGATCCGTAGGCGCCTTCAGCGCCTTAACCTTGCATGAACAATAGTAAGAGACCCAGCGGCTAAACTCTTGCACAGCGGTTATGGAACAGACTGCGAGGCGTTATTATTCGAAGATGAGATGAAACTGAAAGATCGAAAACAAGGTCGCAAAATGAAATAGGCGCCGCGGGGCAGAGAGTAGTTTGGCGCTTGGAGTCCAACGGGAAAGTCAACGTAAAAGAAAGATATGCACGGAGTCGAAGATCTAACAGGCTAAATGCTCAATATAAACAGATGTCGAAGGTCCAAGATAAGAGACAGAGAGACAGAGTGAGAGAGGTAGAAGAGCACAGAGGAGGAGACTCTTTAGGGAGAGACTTCTGTCATCGACATCCGTCATCCGAAGCTGGAGAGAAAAGGGATGCGAGAAAGAGGGCCTCTGAAGGGGTTAGTCGATGGAAGAGTGAAACGCTTGCCGGAAAGAGAACATCGATGACCCCCAGAACCTTAAAGAAAATGAGTAAATATAGATGATAGTCCAACCGGGCAATGAGGTCAGGCTTCGCAGCTCCTATTTGTGCTTGGTATCGTGTTGACCTGACCTTAAATGGAGACGGCTGGCACGAATGGGGTGGACGGGGGCTAAGACCTAGTCGCTGCCGGGGGCCAGCAGTTTTCCCTTCGAGCTTGCTGTGCTTCAAGGAGGGTGGCTGGTTAATCAAGGGTAGAGCTCGCTGTGGGCACCAATAAGCGCCGGCATGGGTCTACTTTTCAAGGAACCAATTAGTATGGAAGTGTGCAGGTTGACCATAAAAAGAGAGCCTTCTGAGGTTGGAGGCCAGAGTTATGAAACCACTTGGGCTTCTCGAAGGGCTGTGGATGAACCTTCCATTATTCGCCAGTAAACGTAGCCCATCCCTTAGTGGAGCGTAACTGTTTGTGCTCCGTTGGCCGTTGACTTTCTCGCTGTTGACAGGCAAATCCTTGTGTTAGAGCCAGTAAGTATATGCAGTAATATAGTATGCCACGCTCTCCGTCAACCTCGAGATAAGGACCGCCGAATGGATAAGAATGCAGGTAACCGTGCGGGAAGAGAGGAAGGAAAAAAAGCAAGTAGAGTCGATCTCTGTCAGTGAGGGCGCCTACTTCATGCAAAATGCGAAAGCGAAAATGTCATTGTTGGTTGATTAGAAGACAATACTCCGTAGCATTGCAAAGCAATATGCTGGTACATCATGCTAGCCGACCCTCGCCTGATCTCGAAAGCGGTTCTCGTTGAGCATCCAGGCTAGACAGCGTGTCCTCCTCGACAGCTGTCTGCAGGCATGAGACGCCTCGTCGGGGCTGCAATACTCGCCAGGTAAGTGAAGAGCGTGGGGCCGGAAGTGATGAAAGTAGCCAAGTGACAAGGATCACAGTTAGTGTCCGTCGCTCTCAGGTTCTTCGGCAACGGGATTGGCTCGAGGGATTGCAGAGAGTTCTTCACGCTGCAGCCCGCATCACAGCAACAACCCAATCACATCCCGACTAAAGGTGATGGCCCGGCTCCACACATCATCGCATGCGTTTGCGTGAGCGCTCGCTGGTGCTCAAGAGCGACGCTTCTTGCCCCCAAGGCGAACAACGCCATCCAGAGGGCCAGCGCGTAACGAGGGAGACGAGGGAAAAGGGAGCAATCGTTTCTTTCTCGAGATTTTAGCCCACCAATCCGCCCCGTGCGTGACGTGTAGCTAGCTAGTTGACTAGATAGACTTATCCAGCATCGCCCAAGTGTGTCTTGGTTAGCTGATGCCGTGCATATGGGGAATTAAGGCTTCGCTCGCTAGCCACTGCGGCCTCGCGGCCTCTGACGAGGATGACCACATCCCAACATCAGGATAGACGTACGATAGACGTTCGGTGCCTGAATGGCCAAGAGGCCTATTATGGAGGAAGAAATAGTCTCCGAGTCGTACGAAAGGCGTAGATTTCTCGTCGTCTACCCATGTAGGCTGCGAACTGATTGGCCAAGCTCTACTGCACACAGAAAGGAAAAAAAATCCAACTCTTCATCATCGCCGACCAAACAAGTCTTTTTCCCCCTTCATAAAGGTCATAATCACAGCTGATTTCCGACACCGCAGCTTGTGTTCATTTGGAGGAGGACCAAGGAGGGTTCAGGGAAGCGGGAACCTGGCTTGAAACCGCATATACAGCGTGAATAATATGTCAACCCTGATGTCGCTGCGCCACGGATGCCTGTATACCCGGCTGCCTCCTTTCCTAGCTATCTGGGATATTTTTAGCCCTTAGCCGCGATATCAGGTGTCTCGAAATACCCCATTATTTGAATGGACCTCAGGCGGGGTCTCAGATGCTTGTAAACACGGCTGGCCTTGCGGTGGAGTTTGAGCCGCAGCGCCGGGCGCATTTCCTATCAACAGGCAGCATCAGGTCCATAACGAGACGGTATCTGGACGAACAAAGGTCGATGGCGTTGCTAGAGGCAGTGATGAAACGTGCGTTAGCAGGCCAACTGATTAACTAATTTATGATGCAGGATCTTCATCCTTGGGGGTATTGCCTCACACTGCATACTGCTAGCTACTCGGCCCCCAAACTGCATGACAATGCTCTCGCAGGATGTCTGAGTGAGGGTCCATTAGTTGCGATCTCTGTACGCAACAGTCGCGTCTCCTTGTCGTCTTGCTGTCTCCCAGATACCCCTTGTTTTTTGCGTGTTGACAAATGTGGCACAGAAGATTTGCAAGGCAGCGCTGTAAAAGAAGACCCAATCCACTTGAGAGCACGTCATCATAACGACTATGGAGTAATACTCAGGGACAGCAGGCGCTAAACTGTTGATGAGTGATGAAGACGCGGGGAGATGGACCTGTGAAGATCAGAAGATGATGAAGATAGACGTTGAAGTTGAGTTGCCTGAGTTTTCCGGTTCTGTGGTTCAGGGTGGGACCCCGAAAGGAAGCTCAACCGTCTTCCCGAGCCACAACCGCAGTCCAGACATCGCCCTTTTACCCCCTTTTTTCAGGGCGTTTGTCTGGGGTCTCCAGGGACTTGGCTCTTTTTCCCTTTGCCTTGACCGTATCAGATATCCTGCAGAGTCACCCTACCAGCAGTTTTGTCAACAGAGGGTCAACGGCTTGATTTCAGGTGCTCATATTTCAGCAAGCATACTCGTTGACATCAGTTACAAGCTTTAACTGAGAGTTTCTTCATCCATGGATATGATATTCAAGATTCAACCTTACCCATGCCATCCTTGTTTTACCCTTTCCTGTTGCTCCGGCTAGAGGAAAAGGGTGGTTACAATTGAGGAGCCCAAATATTCGTTCCTTTGTTATTTCTACTGGAAGAATCATTGCTTCCAGTCAGAATATACACATCTATCTGTAGGTCGACTGAATCTACTACCCAAGCCCCTATTTTCTTATTTTTTTTTTTCTTTCTTTCTTTCGTTCTTTTTCCCCCTCCCTGTTCGTTTCCCTGATGCAAATCAGATTGTCATCAGGGCATACATATATCATAGATATACCTTGTAAGTACGACCATGAGTTCCAGACGTCACTGGCAGAAGATTATAGACGCTGACGAAGGATAGGATAAGCTGGCTTGAACCGTTTTAGGATTTATGCCGGTCTCAACCGCGGAATCCATGGCCTAGCTGACCCGAAAGAAAAAGGTACAAGTAACAAGCAGAGAAGTGATGGAAAGAGAATAAAAGTAAACAAACAAACAAACAAAAATGACGGGAGGAAAGAACGATATTCCTCTTCTCTCCTTCCGTTTTCATGTCTCATTTTGGCAAAGCAGGAACGATGGAATGAAGTTTTATTTCGTTGGTCCTGTACGGAGTACTGTGAGAATGCAAAATACCAGGCAAGATATGGATGGTATCAGAGTGGAAATCCTGAGAAGTGGCCAATGAATGGTCAATTAAAACTCGGCTATATGTATAGCCTTGGGAGGGCAGCGTGACAGGTACGATTGGCACAACCAATATATCTGCCACATGCTGTACATGTTAGGCTGTGAATCTACTCTTGACCTTCTGCAAGAAGAGCGCCTTATCTAATTGAAAAATATTTCATATTACTCCTTCCACCGACGGGGGCAGCATCTGAACACTCGGCTCGCCATGCTTCATCACCAATAATACTACTCATGGCACACTTCCTGAGATACCATATCTTTGAAAACCAGTATCAACATGATACCGTCATACTTGCAGACGGAAAAATACCACAGCCAGTCAACGTGCATCATGCACTCCCACCCAGACTCTGCCTATCGACGACGTGAACGAAGCACGCAGGGGCCCACGGGTGTCCAAAGAGAAGGGACCGCTGATGCACGGCCATATTCAAATGTCAGCCGCACGTGGCAGGATCCTGAGATCAACTCAATCGAGGACAGACAGCCTGGGGTGCTGATGAAGTCTTGTGAAGTTATGTATGGTTATGCAGCATAAAATCTATTAATATAGATGATGCTCGGTCAGACCAGACGTGAGACAGACAGGCGAGCAGGCAGGCAGCATGTGTTTCGTCCTGGGAGAGCCTTGGGCTGCTTGTGTGTAAGATTACAACCGTTCGTTACAACATGAAATACAGACATGCAGAACGGACGAACAGAAACCCCCCCCCCTTTGAGGATGAGCGAGACAACTAGTACCAACTGAGTCAACGTTGCATCAGGGGGCTGGGAAGCTGTTTCGTCTCCTACTCCTTGGGTCTGAAGAGGCCACCTAGCAGTTAAGTCATACCAAACAGGTTACATCTCGGCTGTATGGACCCTGAAGAAGATGCGCAACGATCAACGAACTCCTCCAGCAGCTCCCCACACGTGGCAAGGGTATGCAGCAGGGAAAGGAAGAGAAGGAAGCACGAAGGAACAAAAAAGGAAGACGGGAGAAGGCCAGGAGAAAGAGCATTGCCAGCCTTATCCGGCCAACCGAGGCCAGACAAGACACGAACTGCATAAAGACTCCAGTCCAGCCCGGTTGACCCTCCTACCAAACACAGCTAGAGCTCCTCGGAAACTCCATGAGAATGCGCGTACCCCGTATATCCGTTAGAATTAATGTTGAGGATAAAGAAGGGGGCCCTGCTCGGAGCAAGCGAACTGGTGATCTTAGGACGAGTGCGAGAGTAGTAAGTAATTAAGGAACTCCCCCTAGGGCAGCAAACTACCCAGCTAGCTCCTTCGTGAACGGCTAGGGAGTGCAGGATGGCAATCTCCCGTCCAAACCGCGCAGAAACGGCGGATAGAAGTTAAATCACTGCTGGGCGTTTCACATTCTCCTCCAGGACACGAACACGGGGGCGGTTGAAGAAGAGGCGAAGGAAACGTCTTCTCAACGGGGTAAAAAGGGCGAGGAACGAGGAGTACGAGATGGTTATTTTAACTTGACTCTTGCTTACTTGCTTACAGTGTACTGGTAATAAAAGAGGAGCAGCTGGCTAATTAAACGGCGAGCCCATCAGGGTAGCACCTCGCCGTCGTAGCTGATGGATGTCTTGGTCTATATAGATGGGACCGTTGTGTGTGGCTCATCGTACTCGGGTCCATCCATCGCCAGCCCATCATCGCCCATCACCGCCAGAACCCACGACCTCGGCCGTCCAAGTCTGGCTTCGAAACTCCGACGGACGCCCTCTGGACGACAACTCCGAACGAGCAGCCGGACTTATGCATGGGGATATCATAGCGAACCCTGTCATTACTTTACTTTACCTGTTGGTGTCGGTGTCTGGCTCCGTCTCAGCCCTGAACGGCGTGCGTTTTGCAAAATTCAGCCCAATACGATCTCTTCCTGTTTGTTACCTTACGGACCCGACAGCCCACTGGCTTCATCTCCATCAATCTCCAGTTTCGTCGACGATTACATATAGATGGTCTCCAACTTCTCTGGCTGGCTGGCTGGCGGGCGGGTATCGCATGGGGCATACTCCCCCCCCCCCATCGTCGACTCCAGCAGCCCATGCTTGTCATCTCCCACGAGCAAGGAAAGCCAGTAGCGTACGGAGTAAATGATAATATGGGTGTTGTATGTATGACAGATATCTGTCACACCGACCCAGCCTGACATCACCAGCCTCATCTCATGCCGCTGCTGCTGCTGCTGCGCTTCCCTGGCCAGAGTAAGACAGGAAACTGCATATACTCGATATACTCCGTGCGTACATAACACATGAAGGCGAGCTACATCGACTCCGGTTCCAACATCGAGTCGCAAGTTGACCAAGATTGCATCACGTCTTTAGATTGTACGGAGTAAATATGTGTATGCCAATATGGATGGTCTATCTATCTACTGTATGTACTGTATGAGCGACGCAGGCCGCCCGCCCGTCCGCCCGCCGCCGCCGTCGCCGTCGCCGTCCGACCAACCCTGCTAGTTTCGTGACTGGTTCGTCGACTCGATTTGGAGAGTTACTTTGGCTAGTTTTTCCCTGGTCTCTCACTGATCTCATGCGAGTTTCACCGATGTTTGGAGTCCAGAGCAGCCGTCAAGAAAAAAGGACAAGACTTTTTTGCTTCACCGATCCAAGTGCCATGCACACTTTTACGATCTTGTCATCTTGTCATTATCAACCTTGGTGTTGATCATAAGAATTGATCGGAAAGTGTGTATGGAAGGAGTAAGGTAAAGTACGGAGTATGTACGGAGTACTTTCTTCCCCCCCATCTCACCGCCGTCCGGAAGATCCGATCCATGGTACAACCCTGGCCATGCGCTCTCGCTTCACAGGCTTACACAGCAATCAAGGCCGGAGGTGCATGGAGAAGGAGGAATAAGGGAGCTGGAAGAGGAAGCTGACCGGTGTTTTGTATGACTTATGGCTTGTTTTGAATTACTAGTAACTAAAAGGGAACTAAAAACTAGATTTGCTTGCTAACTATGACTGATGATGATGATGATGATGATGATGGTATCGCTCAACGCTCAAGGGTATATATCGCTATGACAAAGGGAATCCAACAAAGGAGATAATAAAATAATAAACCACAAAACACACTCACGCTCACACACACATTAAAAAGGGCTTCAAAGGGCTAATAATCAAAAATAAAGGCCGGGTATCTCGTATGAAGAAAAAGAAGTAGAAGTAAAAAGAAGAAAAACAGGCTTTGGGTATCAAAAAGGGATAAACAAGGCTGCGCGCGGAAAGAAGGAAGGAAGGAGGCGGTGAGGGGGTGACTAAGCAAGGCAACCCCGTGACCTGGACCACGTGCATGCAGCAGCCGACGAGAGAGGTCGCTGACATAAGCAAGTCCCTCCCCCCCCCAAAGTCAGCCTCGGCCTCGGGAGGGCTATTTTTATCGCGGCTGACGGGAAGCGACAACGAAGAAGCGGGCGATGCTGGGGATGGAGATGGGGATGGCGGACGCTGCTGAGGGATCCGATGACGATGCCTCGAAGCCGCTCTGAAGAAGTTTGTTGGCCTTTTGGCGGCGAAGGTGACGGTGGCAGCAGCCCTGGAGTGGTCATGATCGGGCCTCGTCGGGTGAAGGTGAAGCGGTGAAACCTCCCTGCCGGCCAATCACCAGGATGTGCGCTTCCATACCATGCCCAACAGTCGAAGGTAAAAAATGAAAAAGTAGACTCAAAAAGGTCGAAAGTGTGTAAGGCAAAAGAAAAGAAAACCACCGAACGCGCCTAACTCGCTGAGCCTTGGGCATCCACCATCCCTCCGAAGCCTTGGGGGAGTGACTCATCTGGAAGTCTGTTTTTTTCGTTTGTTGGCTGCCGGTGGATGGTGACGGTGACGGTGATGGTGATGGTTCTGGTGATGGGAGCTGCTGCTGCTGTTGTGCATGTGCTTTCGTTGAAGTCGTTGGTATCATATGAGCTGACAAAGGAGAAGGCAGATAACAATAATAATGATAATAGGCGGTGATCTATTGCTTGGAAGAAGCCGAGGTTGAGGAAGAGCTGCTTCCGCCACTGCTAGCGGCAACCGCGGCAGATCCACGGTGAGCCCGTCGCTTCTTGCTGCTCGATCCCGATGCGCGCTTCTTGCGCTGTCTGCTAGCCTGCGCGTGCTCCACGGCTGCCAGCTGAGCGGCCCGGAGAGCCTGGAGAGCGCGAGCCTGAGCCTGGGCCTGGACGTACTGTCTCATGCGCCAGTCCTCGGTTTCGTTCATGTGTCGGATCTGCTCCTCGGTGGTAAGCTCGGGGTTTCCGATGATGGCGTTTTCGTTGTCGTCGAAGCTATCGCTTCCGAAGGGGGTCTCCATGGCTGCCAGCATCGGGTTGGATGACGACGAAGTAGATGAGATCGGGAACAGGTCCTCGTCAGAGAGATAGGCCGAGGCAGAGCCGTGGCTGTCGTCCTCGGAGCCGGAGTAGAGAGATGATCGGTTGGGCCACGAGGGAAAGGCACAGGAGGTGTTGCTTCCCGAGATGGTTGAGAAGGATGTCTTGCGAGGGTAGATGTCGAGCAGCCCGTCGCATGGCGATGGTGGTGGAGGAGCTGGCTGTGGGAAAGACGATGGTGGTGAGACTGGAGAGGATGCAGCACTGCTGCCAAAGCCGTAGCCTCGCCACATCTTGGTCTGGTAGCTCCGTGAGTCGAAGTTCTGTTGCTTGTTGCTGTTGCTGATGCTGCTGGTATATGATGCTGCTGATAGCAGGGTCGACAGTGACGATGAGAGTGATGGTGGTTGTATAGCCGTGCAAGCCATAAAGAAGAAGCTCTCCGTCGTTGTATATTATATTAGTCTTGATATTGGATATAAGATGTGTGTGTGTGTGTGTGTTCAGATCCGTGGTCAGGGCTGGTTGTGGAGGAGGATGAGTAGTAGACATATATATATATATCAAAAAGGATGAAGCCGAGCATCTTGCTTATATTTATTCGATATGATAGCTCGTGCAAGGTCAAGGTATACTCCAGGGCGAAGGGCCAAAAGGGCGAAAAAAGCAAAAAATAGCCATCTTGCAAAAAGAAAAGCAAGGAGAACAGGGAAAAAGCAACGAAAAGGGAGACGAGAGACAAGGGAGGAAAAAAGAATGTTATATCATATGCAAAAACCGAAAGCCGAAAAATAAAACATGGTACCAACCAAACACAGATTGCAAAAATGAAATATGAATTATTATTATTCTTATTATGAATCACTGTGGGCGGTGGAGCGGATTTGCACACACCGGTGCCCCGGTCCAAAAGCAAATAATTAAACCAGTCGTTAGCGTAGGGTGAGGCGTATGAAGGCCACTTCTCATACAACAGTACGCAGGAGTGGCCTCGCACACACACTCAGCCATGCTCAAGGGTGAAAGGGAGTATACGTACGGGAGTGGGCAGCGTAGCAGGAGACAAGCCCAGGAGACAAGAGGCACAGTAGCAGAGGGGCATAACCAAACACACAAGAAAGGGAGGGAGCAAGGCGAAGCCTAACCTCCGTCTCCGGCCGTTCTTGTCTCTCTCTCTCGTCGTGCTCGCCTTGCTCTCGCCAGCAGCAGGCCAGACGATACGCCGCAGGAGTTACCCCAGGTAGTTAGAGATCCCATGGAACGGTCCGCTGAGCCCGGGGGGTAGAAGAGCTGCCAAGTGTAATGTCTCTTACACAGGCTGTATTGAAAAATACGCCTGAGCCTGACTCCCTTAGAAACTCTTTTTTTTCATATTCATCATCCTCCTGTTGCTGCTGCTGCTGCTGCCTGGCGACTCCTGATGCTTTACTTTACAACTCATTTTTGCCGACCAGAGGGAGGTCCAAGGCTGTCTCGAGCGAAGAAGGGGGCGGGAACCGTTTGAGCCAAAGACGTGAAGAGTTCAAACCACCCTTTCTTCAACTCGACACAAGCAGAGTGACTCCGCGTATACTTCCGTCGTGAGGGTGTGGTTGATTCCAAGTTCCCATGCCTTAACTGGCGGTCTGGTCAGCCCTTCGACTAATCATCGCGGCAGGAAGACACCCTGGCGCAACGGGCGGTGACTAACTGCATCATCTTCACGGCTTGGTTGTTGGGTCGTCGTCGTCGCTGCTGGATGACGGTGATGAAGACAACCACCACCCCCTTCGTGGCCTCACCGTAAGTAGGGACGGACGAGGATGGATGCCTGGTCCCTCGCTCGTTTGTTGTTTGTTGTATCGTGGGCTGGACAGGCGGTCTCGTCACAGCACGGCAACGACTCCCCTAGGGAAGGATGACCAACAGCAACACTTCCTTATTTCCCTTGTAACCTCTAAGCTCTCTCCCTTGTTTTTGCTCCCCGGAGATTATGGACGCGGACGGGAGGGATGGCGGCAGGCAGAGTCGTATGTAGTGTGAGACCTCCCCAACTGACTGCCGCCGTTACACACAAGTAAACAAGATATCGGGAGGCGGCGCCTGTTTCCCTTTTTTCCTTTTTTTTTCTTTTTTGTTGGAATCGAAGCTGTTGCTATCCTGCTTTTTATTCCTTTTTCCCTTGCTTCGTCCTCTTCTCCTCATGGGGTTGATCATATTACCGTGCGTGTATGATCTTTTTAGAGTGTGCGCTCTGCCCTGGAAGACACCTTGGGGAAACCAGGCCGGCAGACAGGAAGTTTGACGTACCCCAGAGAGATCCTGTTTTTCGGGATCAACTACTATAGATCTCGCCGGTGCACCGAGTCGAACAGCCCTGTTTTTCGGACACTCCAGATAGCACTCTATATTAAATTAACAAGTGCGATTTCGAACTCGGCCTGCAGTTGCTGCGCTGTGCCCTGCCCTGGCCGGAAGCAATATAGCTACCAACAACATTTTCTGACACTGCATCTTCTGCTTCTGCTTCGTCTCGCTCCCCCTTTTTTTGGGCGCGGGTAGTCGCTCCGGGCTTGGGCAGCCAGCCAGCCAGCCAGCCAGCAGCAGCAGCAGCAGCAGCGGCAGCGGTCGGCGGCACGTAGTTAAATTAACGAAGAGTAAAAATAAAAACTCCCCGGTTCCGGACCTGTGCCTGCACGATGTTCAAAGGTCCTTCACACCGATATATTATGTATATGTCTGTTGAGGCGACACGACGGCTCGTATAGGGACGGACTGGACACCCTCCCTCCCCTGTGTTTTGTTGTCCCTGGGCTTGTCGCGCCACGGCAGAAGTGGACGGCCACCTGCTCCGGCCGGGACTGCTGGTCGAGTTCAAGTCGAGTCGACGCCGTTGAGTGACGCAAGGGCCGGTTACGGGCAGCATCAGGGTCACAGGCAGCCATGTAAGTGCCGTACGCCGTGCGCAAAATGTATTCGTAGGCCATCTACGGTCCTCCGTGCTTAAGGCTCCATAAGCTCATCTCCATCGTTCTCAGTTTTCAGTCTCTTCGACTGGCTGGCTCCGTAAAAAAAAAAAGCCGTTGGCGGAGTGCAGGAGGGCCACTGCAGGGGGGGGGGGAAGGGGGGGCCACCGGGGAAGAGAAGCCCATACGGAGGATAAAAATAAATAATATTATCCCAGTCAGCCAGCCGCGATTCGCCGGCTTACCCATAATAATCGTAATAACAATCGCTCTGATTGACTGGATTGTGATGAGCCTTTTTATTTTTGCATTTTTGCATTTATTTCCCTTTATTCCGCAGCGCTGGGACTCCAGCTCTTTCTCCCTCTCGCTTCGCGTTTGTGCTTTGCTTTGTGCTCCCTCTTTGTATGCGCTGCTTTCTATATCTATATGCTGTTCCGTCTGTGTCGCTTGGGGGATGAATGTGCCGGGCCGTCGGGACAGCTGCCATTGTCTTTGTCAAGAGTCCAGCCGGAGAGGCATCAGGCATCCCCGGATACGCAGAGTAAATAGACGGTCAGGACCAGGCTTTCTCTCGCACACCCACCCACACACACACACATACTCTCTCTCTTTCTCTTTCTCTCGCTGGTTCCGTGGTAGAGAGCCGGCGAGGCAGAAGCAAAAGAAAGGCCCGTGGGAGAGTCAACCTGACCGCTCACCAGCGTCTCATCACGCCGACCATCCAACTGCCGCCGCATGCGATCTATCCCGTAGACGCCTGCCGGTCACTCTTTGTGTGCGTGTGCCTCTGCATCATACACAGACACGACCCTGGTCCGGGGAACGTGAGGCAGCGACTTGTCGGAATCGGACCCGCGATAGCTTGTTAGGTTCCGTTTCCTTTTTGTTTTTGTTAGCTGTCGCTTTTCTTTTCTCGCCGTGTCATTTTTGTTCCGCAGGAATAATAAAATAATAAAATACACACAAAAAAGAACGACTTGAAAAAGAAAAACAGCAGGAATAGGGGGCGACTTCCCTCTCTGCTGGCTGGGAAAGGCTTGACTCGTGGAGGATAGAGACGGCTACTTAGCCCGATGGAGGTTTTTTTTTTTTTTTTTTTTTTTCCTTCTTCTGCATTACTCTCAAATAAGCGTACACAAGCCGTCCTGTTGTGGATGATTGGTCTGGCGGTTTGATCCCTTCTCTTGGGTCTGAATGCTCCAGCGCAACGGAGCCCTTATGTTGCGTTGTCCATCCTTATAGGTAGCTTGGACGTCCACTGGAAAGACGCCGTTGACAGACTAAGCTGATGATCTCTGGAGTTGTGGGAGTCGAGACCGTTAAGACAACGAATCTTGGGGAAGGGGAAAGTCGAAGAGATTAAACGGCGACTGACCAGGCCGATCGAGACTCCTGTCCGGTTCCCTTCCCTCGGTGCTCATTGATTCAGAATGGCTTGCCATCGAAAGTGTATAGTGTATCCGCTCGTCGTAACCCCCTTTGGCTTGACTGGCAAAAGGGGGGGCAGCCTTCTCAGCCCAACGCTACAGAGCACCACACCACATCGCCATCCTGAATTTATGTGTATTTGCAGGTCGATGTTTCAACTCACGAATCGACGAAGCATCACCAGGAGACGAACCACTGGCTCTCTGCCCTTGCATACACGTGTGGGTGCTGCAGATGCATCGAAAATCCGCCTTACTAGTCTTCCTCGACTGAGTCGCTCGATTCAGCCATACCCATCACAATTAAAAAGACGAGGGCGAACCAGAGAACCAGGACAGTGACAGGTGAGCCAGGTGAGCCAACCACGTCGAGATGAGTCGTCGTTTACCCTTGACTAGTTGGGAACGACTGATCGAAACAGACCAGTCAGGGAGGCTGTCATGTCCCGCTAGCGTCATGTCTTCTCCTCATAAAATCCGTAAACGTTGCAGCGATGGTCTCGAGCTGCCCTTCCACCGTTATTAGCCAAGCAGCTAGTCTCCCACTGGGCAGGAATCACTTCCTAGCCTGTCCCTCATGAGGGGCTGGCCACGAATGGATATGCTGTTCGTGTGTGCGCACTTCGATGGGGAGGAAATGAAGGATCATCAAGGACCCAAGGTCCAAAGTGGCGGGCAACTCTCTGCCATGGCTTCGATTGAGACAGGCATACGGAATAGAGGAGGAGACACTCTGCACCCATACTCCATACTTCGTAGGCATCTGCAACCACAGACAGTGCGAACGAATCACTTGGCTGATGACCAGTTTGCCTCCAGATATTCCTCATATTATTAGCTGGGATTTCGACGAGAATGCTTCGTATACCATATAATAATAGGACTTTATATTTTTGCATACCTTTTACGGAGTATGCTTCCTCACATTCAGCTTCTCTTCCATCCTCGCCCCTGATACCAGCTGTTCCCCCTGCTGGCTGTCGTATCGAGGAAAGTCCTCCCCTGACAGGACGGAATTGAGAAGGCCACACATGGTTCAAGAGACGTCCCAAAACCCTGGACCCCCACCGGCAGGGGCTTGGGCTTGGGAGCAATTCCACCACTCGGGGAGCGTGAAGGGAGGAAGCTGGGAGGACAAACGACCCATCATATGTACGATGGGACAGTTAGTGCACACTAACTGGGAAACTAATGCCTAGTTAGTGTATTTAAAATATGCAGCATTAAAATAATTAAATCTGCCCTTGCCAGCCCAGTTCGAACTCTGGATCATTCAGATCTCTCCCTTCTCGCACTCTGCACGCTCAAGAGGCGGGCAGGCTTGGGGCGGAAGGACGGACCGCCAGCCTCCCTCCCTTCCGCGTCTCCACAGTGAGACTCCAATCGTCGTCCCAAATCAAGGAAAAAGGCAATTTCGAATGAAACCAATGATCTTCAATAGTTAGCAGCTAAAAATGAAGGAGGGGGCGGCGAAAAAGAAAGCGAAGTCGAATAGCCAGTCCGTTCATTCGTTATTCTGTGAATATGTGAATGTGATAGTCCGACCTGTGGTGGAAAAGGGTTAAACTCTCCCGACGTGACGGGACAGAGCCAGATCCCGAATCCATGGGACCAAGTCCCTTTGTACCTGGACCGACTAGTTGGTGTCCTACCATGTCTGTCTAGAACTATCGCTAGAAAACCTGATAGTTCGACAGGGACTGTCCCCGTACACACACAAAACACACTCGTACATACTCACGAAATGCACGGATATTCTGCTATGTCGAGGTGGCGATATCTTGGGACAGATCGAATCAGATCAGGCTCGATCGAAATGCGTATTAACCATCAGTCCATCGCACGGTCTACTCCGTACAGGAGTCGAAAGCTGACCTGATCAACTGGTCCCTGTAGTGCTCATTTCATTTTATCATTATTCCGTCTGTTCGATGTTTATGCGTACATTCTGCAGTGCAAAGGAGCATAGTACGTAGCATCTTGGTGCCTCCACTCCCGGCGTTTACCCCTTACTTTCTTCACATTTACCCTCTGCTGTCCCAGATGTGAAATGACACGCGGTCAGACCTCGCACCCTCCCCTCCTTCTCCTCCTCTTCCATGAGGGGGGAGGTTTGATAGACGGGAAGGCAAAAGGGAGGCGTCTGGAGAGGCGTCTGGAGTTCGTGGGGAGCTGACGGTGGCGGGCGCCAGTCGCCTCGCCTCATGGAGGATGCAGACGCAGGTCCAAGGGTGTGGCTTTTCTTACCCTTCATCTTTGGCTGGCTTCTGTCCTGATTCCCGCAGATCCCGTCCCTTTACTCCGTACATTTTCAGGTGTTATGTGAGCGCACTAACGTCCTGTCTGTGTGGGGGCAGGACCGATTCATAACTGAGAGGAGACAGCATACCCCGGAATCCCCAGACTCTGGAGCCCACTGGTGGTGTGTCTTCAAACGTGTAGCCCAAGAGGGCATGTCCAGCCCAGTATTTTCATTTCAGCGAGTCAGGCATACCCCAGAGGAGGTGTTTGTTATCCAGCCTGTGTGTTCTGTGTCTGTACGTGGCACGGAAGAAGCCAGCGATCTGAGATCTCTTTTTCTTCGCTTCTTCTGCGTTCTTCGTTTGCTCTTTGCTTTTGTTTGCGTTTTCTTCGGTTCAGGGGAAGCTCGACGTTCCTTCCGCCAATCAGGAGTCGTACTTTTCCAGCCAATCACAATTGATATATCACGTGGATAATGTTGATTATGTAAGTCGATCTGTACAGAGAGACGGAAAGCCTGGCAGCGACGGCGACGATGAAGAAACTCACTGCTACGGACGGAGGACGGAGGACGGTGTACATTGACAGTGCTACGGCCAAATGGGCTGAGTACAAGACTAATGCTCGTTTTTCCTTGTAAACATCATATTTGCAATGGCCTACTCCATACGGAGTAGCTCCAGTTTGAATACAAACTGCCTGATATCAAGGATGCGTGTCTGCCGGCTCCAGCCACAGACACATCATATTGATACCCCCGCGTTGAAGAATTATCATCGCACAGCATGAAGCTACAGACGGGTCCGATTGTGGGATGAGATGGATACATGGGGCTCGGGCGGGCCGAGACAGGCTCGATGTCAATATCAGGGTCTAGAGCCAGCTGCTTCAACCTCACAAGCGGGTTGTCTGCATGAACAAGATATTGTTCGTCACATACTCCGTAACTCCATACTGGGCAGTTCGGTTGCGATTCATGATCGTATTTCGCCTTTTTCTGCAGGGATCTGTCATAATAATTTATGCAAATAGCCATTGCTATTATGGCTGTCGAGCACACCGCTTGCTTTCGACACTGCCTGCCGTAGGGCTAGCTGCAGAGATCCTTAAGCTCGATCTTGATTCTTGCATCACCGCTCTTTGACACCGTTCGGCCTACTCTCCACGTACTTCACAGCTCCGGTTTCCGGCTAGAGGAGAAGCATGGCGAGACGGACAGGAGGCAAGTCCAATAGTTCAGCCCTTTCGTGTCGGTGAATTATTCGTACCTGTTTGAAAATCTCACCGCTACTATCGCCAGCCACCTGGCAGCCATGATGGGAGATCCTCCCCTCAACACCCGAAACCATCCAGTTTGCTGAGTTCCGTCACTAGATCGCGGGAAACTATTGAAATAAGGATCATTCCAGAAGCTGAGATGAAGTCGTGTCGTGTGCTATAAGGCTACCCGTTGTCTAGTGGTAATGGCTCGCGATAGTGTACTGAGCGGTGACCGGGTGCGCGCCTTTCCCACGTTTGAAAATCCCTCCCCATGAATATACTCCGTACACAGTCTCGATGGATAAAAAGACTGTGGCTAGACCTGATTCCAGGCTCCCAACGGCCCAGCCTAGACTAGCATGCATTTACCCTTCATTTGCGCCCCCTTTGCGGAAGGACACGTATATACGCACATCCATCCCGTGAAGCTATGTTGGAAAAGCAGGAAATCCCTTGAGCTTGTCGCTTTTCAAGCCATATCCAAGCCCTACATACATCCCAAAAACCCGGAATGTATACGAGGTACAAACAATGCAAGATATTCCCCGAGTACGGGAGTCGCTTTCACATTCAAGTTCCATGACTCGAACCCAGTCACTCAATCTAGGGTCTTGGTATGAAGTATGAGAATGAAAAACGCATAGATCACATTGGGAGATCGATTTTCTATCCTCTCGCTCGTTTTCTTGTTTTCATAAACTAAATCTCGATCTACAGGCAAAACCTAACCAAGAAAACAAAACAAACACGGTTGCGATAGACCACATCACTCGCGAGAGAGAGGCAAGAGGGGGTGGCACACATCCATACTTTAGAGCCCACCCTCGTCGCTGGTAACTTCTTCCCCCAGACAGACAAAGCTTTCATTCAACAGCGACTCTATATATACTATATCACTCACGGTGATACATCAAGCCCGCATCACCTCCGCCCTCATGCATACCGAATCTCGATTGTTCAGATCACATCGCAAATAGGCCCGAGCCGACTTTCTGATTGGCTGAGCCGCATCATCGAAACGAGAAAAAGCCTGTTTCCCTTGTTATGTGCGTTCCTTGATCATGTAACTGCAAATAGGACGGCGCAGTGTATGGCGCGCAGTGACAGCTTCATCAAAGGGATGCATCCTTTCTTTGGCCCTCGAGCCACAATTACCCTGCAGATCAACCGATGTCCGGTGAATCACAAGTGGCGCAAGTTTTGACCAGATTCATGAGGGGGTGATTTTTGCATCTGAGGCTGCCAAGGGTAAATCAGTTATAGTGCAACATTGTTTCGATCGATCGATCAACTTTCTTTGTTCAGCCGGCCTTGTTCTGAACGCAAACAAACATATAACTAATAAACAATAAAGGTCAGGGGCGGGAGAGGTGACCGACCCGGCCGCCTGGCTACTTTCACACCCAAGGCCTGGTTACTTGTTTTGTTTGTAGACAAAGACATGAAAGGAGGGCGGCCAGATGCTTGAAGAAGTTGATATCCATACACTGTAAAGGGAAACCGGTTTGATAGAGCTTCTGGGGTTGGGCCTTGAGGGATATATCCAACAAAAATACCCGACTGGCGAGGGAAAATAGGGGTATACTCATTCACAGCCAATAGCTCTTCATGAACAAGACTCTGGTCGGACTGGGGATGTCGGTAAACAACGAATCATTTATCGAGCTCTTCCAAACTTCCAAAAGGCTCGCTGCAGACCAGGGTCAAGGTTTGGACTTAAGGACTCATGACTGTTGCAGGCACTTTGCCGGAATTCTCGTAAAAGGCAACTGAATAGCTAATTCTCCAACTGCCCGGGGCATTATGACTCCCATATCCTTTGTATCTCCTACTTGCGCTCTAGCTTGATCAAGCGGTATTTAATAACAATTGCAGGATCATAAGTAGTTGTAGTGTAAAGTAGTATCAAGAGTCTCTAATACGAAAACTGGTGGACACTCGGACAATATATGTTGATAATGATTAGATTCGTTCTTTATACCCCATTAGCCATAGTTGGCCCTGGGAACTTTTGTCGGCCATTTTTTCATAAGAACTGAAACTATCAGAATAACTACACTTCGAATGTTCCAGATTACACTGGTTCAACACGAGTGCGAGTTATGGACAGTGGAAGAAATGTAGTTATAACACACAATGATAGTGTGAAAGTGTTTTGATAATTCAACCATATTGGGCTCACAGCAGTAGATAATTGCATGCCCTTTCATGCCTTTCCCACAAAAAAACGACTCAATCAATTGAAACATCTCTGTTCAGACTAGCACATAATCAATACCTATACTTTACTATACGTATTATTATCAATGAAAACTTCAGTGCTCAGCATATGGTTTCAATCTTGAATTGTCTGCGAGACGCGAATATTTACTTTGGACCACAAGAACTACCAACCCCCCCATTCCCAGAACATGACGAACGCCCAAGCAGACAAGTAGGATGATGATTAAGCTCAAATGAAAAAGGCATCAGGGCGGGATACAAACAAACAAAGGAAAGAAAGAGGCACGAACAAGTGAGGTAAGCGCCGGAACTCGTTCGAGATAGAAGTGTAACTTGTTGGGGGAATGGCTCATATTTTTTTTTGGTTTCTTTCTTTTTGAATAAAAGACACTTTGAAGCCTGACTTCGGACAAGGAGAAAGAGGTATTAAAAACATAGCACATTGGAAGAGAAAAGAGAAGACAGTCTCAAGGAGTCAATTACATCCGGGATCCTCAAAGTAGCCAGCGAGCCCTTGGACAAATGCTTAAAGCGAAATAATTTACTGGAACACAACGTTAGCATTGGGATAGTACTTAAAGAGCACTGGAATAAACCATCTACTTACGGAGATCTCATCAACCATTCCGAGGTCTTCGCCGTTACCAGCGGGCTGTGGAGCAGCACCATTGGCTGCAGGAGCGGGAGCGTTAGTACTGGCAGGAGCTTCGGCGAAGTAGTTTACCATTTCAGCATCAAGCTCTTCAAGGGTCTTGGACTTTGGGCGACCGGCGTTGCGGCCCCGTTGGGTTCGACCGCGGGCATCTCTCTTTCGTCCAGCTTTCGCAGCAGAAGCGGGCTTGGGCTGAGACTTTGGTTGACTACTGTTTGTTAGTGAATAAAAAGAGCTACAAAACCACTGCAGGTAGACAGTGGGAGAAAACTTACGCAACACGCTCGGTCAATGGCTTGGGTGTAGGAACCGGAGGCGCACGGGATGCATCAACAACAACCTCAATCTAGATTGAGGTCATGTTAGTTTCAGTAGAGAACTGATAAATGATTTGAATATACTTACTTTAATGGGGCGTTTGTCGATCAGGAGTCCATTCAGCTCCTTAGCAGCTTTGATAGCAGTTTCAGGGCGGCTGAATATGATAGAAGCGATACCACGGCTGGTGCCGTTCTGATTGTAGGTCAGCATGACCTTCTTGACAGGTCCCGCTGACTTGTGGAAGTATTCCTATCGGTAACACGAGACTCATCAGTATGTTCGTAGTTTCAAAGTACGTTTGCCGAAGCATTGAATATGAGCAATCGGGATCATCGGCTTTCGAGCGAAATTTATAAGAATATTCCAGACCCCAAACAGACCAGCGAGCACAGCATAACAGCCAGGTTAGTAGTTAGCACGAACGAATCGGGTGGAGCCTGGGTTGCCTTGACCTGCATGTCGGCTGAGGTAGCAACATCAGTCTGGAGTAGAAAAGGGTTCGTATTTGGGGTATCCAGAGATTCCAGTAGACAGTGAAGAGATTAACACCTCCACAAGGGTTGGTCCTAGAGCCAGTAAAAGATGGTGTAGGAGATTATTGGTTTGTAGAGTAGGCTGGTTGAAAAGGGAGCACCACAGGCAGCGATAACGTCACGGTTGTGAATATTGCGCATCAACTAGGTCGGAAAGCTTGGCCCTCACAAAGGCGTCGCTGGCGAGAGTTGATTGCAAAAATAGATAACTCGATCGACATGTCGCAGATACCGAGTACTATTGAGGTGATGACGGATGGATCATTATGCTATGCTGTTCAACCGCTGCTGCGCTCGCTGATTCTCCTCACTTCCAATGAAAGAGCCAAAAGTCTAGCATATTTTGAATAATGCCATGACGCGTCGGCTTGACCGCTCAAGTGCACCCCACAAGGCATATACCGGGTCTTTTTATCTTTATTTTTAAGGCCATGACAGGATACAACCTTCCATAAGTCTCTGCGTCATGCCTCAGCATAGGCGAGCGAAAGATAGGAAGGGATCGACCGTCTGATAGCAAGAGAGCTCAAGAAGCCATAGTTCACACGCGCTATTGATAGGCCATCACCACGGAGTATAGCCGCACTGAGATCAAGTCCGCCTTTGGTTTTTCGCGTGGGAAGAAAAAATAGGAAAGCCGACTCTTCCGATCGTCACGTTCGAAGCAAAATGGCTGAAACGGAGACGGCGAATGAAACTCCGAAGAGCGTCTCTATCAACATACCTTGATATTTGCTTCATTAACATCGGAGGGCTAGACGAACGCGCAGTTAGCAGCTGTAAGTTTCTTTCACTCGAATGACAAGTAAGGCCAGGAGGAAGAATTAATGGCTTACCAAGCCGCTCACGATGATTTTTCCATCTCCTGATCCTGCAGCAGGTGCAGTAGGTGTGGCTTTGGATGTTGGCTTGGGTTGCCTAGTAGATTTTCTGACTCCTCCGACGGGAGCGGCCTTTGCAGCCTTCGCGGCAGGGCGACGCTGGCGACGCGCCTGGCGGCGAGAGCTAACAAGCTCATCAAGAGCCTTGTCGAGCTTTTCAGACATGATGGCTTGGCTTTGAAACTGGGGCTTTTGAGACTTGGAATATAGCAGTATCAGACTGGACGCAGCAGGTCGAGAGGGCTTATCGACGCGCGTTGGGCAGTTGCTGGTGTCGCAGACTGAAAGTGCTGGAGTGGCAGCAGAGAAGATATAGCTTGGTCGCTAAAAGGACAGTCGAGAGCACAAGTCGTTGTCGTGGTGAATGTGAGGATAGTGAATATGCAGCTGGTTCTGTTCTCCTGGATGGTCGAGTGAAGTTGAGATCGAGAGAGGTTGAAGGTTGGAAGTCTCAGCGGAAGAAGAAGAAGAGCGAAAAGACGCCAGGAAGGGAAAAGAAGGCTGAGCGAGCAGGACAGGCACTGCGCTAACCGCTTTTGGCTAAAGAGTCAGAGGTGTCCTGTGTTATGTAAGCAATTCGGAAAATAGAATATCCATAACCGGCGTTGTGATTACCTAATAAGGTTTTTGGTCGCAGAATTAGTCACTAAACCGGAAAGGGAAACCTGCGACGTCTGGTCATCTTTAACATCCTACCTGATATTTCGAGGACGCGCTTGATACCTCAAGGAGAACATGTTGCATTATGGATATGTGATTACTATACGCGCTTTAAACCAAGAGAGATTGTCTAGCAATGTCGCCCCTAGTCTATTTTTGTAATCGTGGGATACCTGTAATAGCGCTTACTGATTGGCAGCAAGCTACATGCAAGGTAGCTTGTGCATGCAGGCATGTCGGCGCTTAGCAGTTGGGGGCCTTACCCTCCAACAGGGCCGCCGTAAATACCCCTTCTTAAAAGGTTCGCATTTTTAATATCATATCTTCGAAATATATATATTTATTGTTTTTGAGCACATCCACATGAAACTCGATTGGAAACCAGCTCAATATGGAGGTCGCCGGCCTTGTTATGGGCGTTGCAGGCCTTTTCAGCGTCTGCATGGATGTCCTCGATCGAGTGTCGAATTATAGAGAATTCTCGACTCAGTCACGGCAAACTGTTGTGAGCTTTGAGGCCAACAAGGTCAGACTAAAGGACTGGGCGACATACGCTGGCATTGAGAACGGAGTCCTGAAAGACAGTCATCATGTTCGTCTTGATGAGCCAGAGATATTGTCGGCCGTTAAGCTAGTTCTTGAAGAAATTAGCACGCTTTTTGACTCGATAGAGCGTTCACAATCTCGGTTACGAGTACCTCAAGTTGTGGTATCTTCTGCTGAAAGTGAAGGAAAGGCAAGCAAGAATAGTTCAAAACCTTCCATTAGAGGTGGAATTAGCTGGGCCCTCAGGGGAAAGGGAAGCTTCACCTCCCAGGTTACAATGTTTGGAAAGTTTGTTGATGAACTGCACAATCTCCTTCCTAAAGAGAAAGACGGGTACGGTGGCACTCGCTATTGCTATTCTGTGAATGTTGAAGAGGAAAGCTAACAGTATGGTAGATCAGATTCCCTTGTTAAGGATATTAGGGCCTTGCTCATAGAAACACGAAAGAACACTCTTATCCAAACACAGAAGAGAGTTGAAGAGTGGCTAGATGCCCCTGAGACCGAGCAGCAATATGAGAGACATTTATCAGCTTGTCTAGATGGTACTTGTAACTGGATTACTACCGAGCCTGCTTATAAGACTTGGGAATCAGATTATTTTCCTCGGGAAACAGCCAAATTCCTTTGGATATGTGGTCCAGCAGGTTCTGGAAAATCTGTCCTATGCGCAAAAATCATCCAGCAGTTTACTGAGAAGTCAAGCCACCCGTTAGCGTACTTCTTCTCTACTAGTCATATTCAGGCAGGAGGACATCCAGATGGCGTGGTACGCTCGTGGATTTCTCAAGCTGCACGGCACGATGAACGGAATTTAGAACTGGTTCAACAAGCAATGGACCATGTTGAAGCAGGCAGAAGAGCATCGCAAGCTGAAGTCTGGAAACTATTTAAAGCTATCGCCTCCGATACTACCCCTTTTACTTTTGTTTTAGACGGGCTGGATGAATACGAAATACATGATGACGAACGAGCCCAGCTACTTCGAGGACTGAAAGAGCACGCAAAGGGCGTTAAATGTCGGGTTTTAATCGTGAGCCGGGATGAAGTTGATTTAAACCAAGAACTTTCCCCTTCCCCTGGAAATAAGGGGGAAACCACTATGCTTCAGTGTCAAATTTCAAAGTCTAAAACCAAGTCTGAGATCCAGCTCTACTCGGAAAGCATTGTCAATAAGAAACTCGGGAAGAAAGACGCCTCTCTTCGACGGGAATTAGCCGCTCAAATGGCAGAGAAGTGTGAGGGAATGTTTCTTTGGATCAAGATGCAACAAGACCAGCTGCGTAGCGGCAAGAACGAGAAACAGCTTCGAAATATAGTCTCAACTATGCCAACTGGACTCTATCAAGTATATGAGCGCAATTGGGCAAACATTCAAAGGCAGCCAGCTAACGAAAGGCGCCGTGCCATGTCCATTCTCCGCTGGGCTACTTTTGCGTACAGACCACTGAAATTATCCGAGTTAGTCCAAGCACTTGCCATTTGTGATGATGACGACGAGGAAGTAGGGGAAGAAGGAGAGGAAGGTAACGGTGAAAATGATCTGAACGATGATGAACCTCCTGAGTTTCCTGTGGACGAACTTCCAGAAGAGATCGACGAAGAATATGTTAATGGTGAAATCAAGGAGCTTTGTGGCTCGTTAATTGAGGTTCGGATCGAGGCTCCAGACTATATGATGAGATGGAATATTGATACCCCTCAAGGTTACGGGACAATTCATTTAGTCCATGCTTCAGTTAAAGAATATCTCCTCTCAAAGTTTGCAAACTTTGGGAATATTTCAAGTCCAGGAAAGCTGTTGTCCAGTTCCGCCAGCCAAGCTATGCAACATAGTATACTTGCTAAAACTTGTCTTCGCTATCTTACCTATCCTGAAGTATGGGACTGCAGTGTTTTGCCTACTTTTGACGTAGACGATGGGTCTTTCCTCAATTATGCCGCTACTTCATTCGACACACATGCGCTTGCCGCTGGGGAGAACAGTCAGTTGGCTCAACAAATCAGTCACTTTTTCCACAAAAGCCCTAACTTCATTCGATGGAAGCATCATGTCGGAGGAGTAGGGGCGGGGCCCCTTTACCATTCTTGCCGGCTCAGGTTACTGGATGTTGCTAGAATCTCTTTGAAAGAACATGCAGAGGATCCCGACGCTCTTGCTGGGCGATTCGGGACTGCCTTGCAAGTGGCCTGCTTCGGGGGCGAGATGCCAATCGTCGAGCTATTGGTTGAATCAGGAGCTGATGTTAATTTAGAGGGGGGTGAATATGGAAGTGCGGTAAATGCCGCCATCGCTAATGGCGATAACCAAATTATATCCTATCTGATTGAAAAGGGTGCCAAATTAGATACGAGGAACAAGGAAGGCCGGACAACTATTCACCATACAGCAAAGAACGGGAACATTAAGTTACTGGAGCGTCTAATAAGCAATGATGCCGATATCGCAATAGCTGATAATGAGGGGGTGACTCCGCTGCATCTGGCTGCTTCCAGCGGAAATTTAGGAACCGTCAAGTTTCTTCTCGAAAAGGGGGCTAATATCGAAGCGGCTACGTCGACAGGACGGACTCCTTTGTGTTATGCGTGCCAAGCTGGCAATACTGACATGATCAAGCTCCTTGTGAGAGAGGGAGCAGATATACACCATGCTCCATCATCCGGAAATACCCCAATATATGAAGCATCATGTCAAGGGCGTATTGAGGCTCTCCAATACCTTATCAGCCAAGGCGCAGTGGTGACGGCTGAAAGCAAAGCGTTGAAAGATGCGGCTTCGGGAGGGTATACAGCTATCGTAAAACTCCTTGTTAAAGCAGGAGTAAGCCTTGAAGATAGAGTGGGTGACGAAGCATTGTATAAGGCGTCTGTTCATGGCCACACCTGGGTTGTCAAGTTTCTTCTTCTGGAAGGAGTCAAAGCAGAAAATGTCCTTGACCCCGCGAGGACCTATACACCGTTATTCAATGCAGTCCTCGGCGGCTATACTAACATTGTGAAACTCCTTTTATGGAAGGGAGCAAGCCCTAACATTCATCCTTCAATGACGAAAGATGTGGCCTCCGAGACAATGTTGGTTTATGCAATCCGAAGTGGCCTCACTGAAATTTCTAAAACACTGCTCAGAAAGGGAGCAAATGTGGACCCTGAGCATAACTTTGGGATTAGTCCGCTGTGCGAAGCAATTGTCCGGGACCAGGTTGAGATAGTTCACATGCTTCGTCTCCGGGGAGCTGATCCTACCAAACGCGACAAACTCAGATATACACCTTTACTGCAAGCTGCTATCAGAGGAAACGAGATCATGCTCATGCATTTGGTTAGGGGTTTGGCTGGCACGACAAATGCCTCTGTACCAAAGAAGTATGGAACTTACCTGAATGCTATTGCGTACGGCGGTAATCTCAAACTTGTTCAGTGGTTTGTTCCACTTTGTGGCCCTGCACAGTACAAAGATAGTGAAGGAAGAAACCCTGCTCACTTCGCAGCAAGAGGTGGCCATGCCGATGTGCTAAAATTCTTCCTTGATAATGGCATCGATCCCCAAGCTCTGGATATAACGGGGCGCGGAATAGTGCATCATGCTGCCTGCGGTGGCTCTATAGAGACTCTTCGTGTAGCACTTGAAGCACAGCCACTAGACGTCAAGTTTACTGAAAATACCTGGTCACCCTTACACTGGGCGTGTAAGCGCGGATCTGTGGAGCTTATTAATTTACTGCTGGAGTACGGCGTGAAAGAGAGCACAGTCAAAACTACCGACGAACCAGCAGCGGAGTGGACTCCTTTTAGAATTGCTGTATACCACCAAAACAAAAGTTTAGTGAGGAACTGGAGTGAAACGAAATACAAATTGGACGACACGATCGTTCTTCAGGGGTATCATTCGATTAGTTTCGCCGGCTGTTCTTGGTGTCTCCATGTAAGAATTCTGCAATTTTTGCTGGTTACAATCGCTGATCAAAGGCTTTAGGAACTATACGGGCCGCGTTATTATCGGACCAGCAGAAATGGGTTGGTGCTCTGTTTTATGTGCAAACATACTGCAGACACGGCCTATCCGGGCTCTATATGGAAATCTGAATTCAGTGAAGAATTATGGACCACCGACCTCAACGAAGGTCCAAAATGGGAAGCACCAGAGATTGGGGGTTTCTATTAAGAATTGAATAGTCTAATGTCGAATCCATATACACACGAGCTATTATAATTGAGAGTAACGTCGTAATTAAATATCAGGTATTAATATACTAGCGCTAGCTTGACACCTTGGCTTAGTTATCAATTAAAGGATCTATGATAACTTCATGCAATTAGCTGTCCTAGTGCAACAATACCAGCAAGGACGTAGGCGAAATGAGAATTGAACATATTCATTCCTGCACCAGACTCTTCCTTGGAGCCGTCTGAGGATTTGCCATTTCCGGTAGGAGTGCCAGATGTGTTCTCTCCAGGAACGTTAGCTTGGTCATTCTTGAGAACCTTGAGCTCCAGATTTTTGAGGAGCTTTCCCTCCTTGTTGAAAATTTTGCCTTCAGCCTTGGTCTTCTTGACTTCGACGATCTTACCCTTCGGAGGGTTCTTGATGCCATTCTTGATCATGTCCTGAACACCAGGTGGTCTCATTGGAAGGGTGAACATCTTGTGGAAGCCTTTGGTAGTGATTAAGCCGGGCTTGCAGCTTGGTGGCTTGATAGTGGTAGTGCTTGGGTCGAGGGACTGGAGTTTCTTAATGTCCAGTTTGCTGAACTGGCCAGCTAAGTTCTCGTAATCAACAAGGAGGGTGGTATTGTCTTTTCCACCAAGATAAACTAAGCCGTACTCGTTGGCTTCCTGGGAATACTCATAGATCAAGCCGCCACACATGGCCTTGGTCATTTCTGGACCGTATACAGCCTGAACTTCAGTGAATATACGTGGTTTCACCTCATTGCAGCCATACTCTGAGAAGAAAACGGGGACAGATGTCTTTGAGAAGAGTTCTACCAGTTTGTCATATCCACTCTCGGTGTAACTAGAGTCGCCGCACCAGGAGTAAGAGTTAATACCGAAGAAATCAGCATTGGAAGAAGGGGTTAGGGTAGAGTGGCAGGTAACGTAGTTCCAGGTGTCCTTTAGTATATCACGGACGTCAGCAGCGGAGTAGCCGACAGGAATTGCGCGGCTAGCATGGGCAGCGATGTAGTCCTTGAGGTCACGCTGGATAGCCTGCAGCCATTGTCAGTCGGTACAGAAACTAACTTAATAAGGGTAGATACTCACTCGAATGTACGCAGGAACATTCTTTGCAGCATCTTCGTTGATGATCTCGTTACCGCCAAAGAAGCCGAGAAGGTTGGGATAATCCTTGAATGCCTCAACCATGGAGAAGAGACGAGCCAAGAATTGCTTGTTGTACGAAGAGGCTGGTTCAGCACGGTTCAAGTACTCTCCATACTCTGGAGTGCTGACATCAAGCAATAGGTAGATACCAGCTGCATTGAAAATGGAGACACATTCATCATGGTTCAAGGTAGGGTTAAGGTTGTAGATGCGGATGGTATTAACCTATTCCTCGCAATCAGCGTGGCTAATTCCGTAGATATCATGATAACATATAACAGAGAACGTACACCAAGACGTTGGAGAAGAATGGCATCTCGCAGACAGTCATCGGCATTGGATAGGGGATCCTTGCCGCTGTCTGGCTTATATCCAGATGAGCCACCGGGTTGATAGCTGCGATAGAAATGCGCATCAGACAGATATACCCATGACTTTATTTCCATTATTGTAAACGCATTGTACGGGGCAAGACAACGTACTCAACGCCAATCATCTGGAAACGGGTGCTGGTCTTCGGGTTCACGAACTGCGAGCCCTTGACCTCGATGGGAGTCACGGCCGCAACGGCCGACAGAAGGCCGCAAAGCGACGCGAGAAAGGCGAACTGAGGTAAAAAATGCATCAGCCTCGACATCTATATCGCGTGAAATCAAGGAATAATGCTTGTATCGCTCACCTTCTTCATGATCGTAGATTGGTAGCAATTTTACCTCGTTCAACAAGATAAATAGAGCGAAATGTAAGGACCGGCAAGGGCTTAGGGCCGCTTCAAAGGAGTGAAGAGAGCGAGAGAACGAACGAGCGAGCAAGTCGCTCCAACAAAGAGATCGACTCTGAAAAGAATGACTGCGCGAAAGGAAAAGGAGGGTGGTTTTTGATCCGCCTGCGATGGTTGTTAAATGAGGATTCATTCCCTTGGGCCGGCTGGCGTTAATAAAGGTTCATTGATCCCGGGACGCAGCTTTCCCGCTATCTTGGCTGTTTCAAGTTGCCGCTGCCCGAACAGCGAATAGTAGTGATAATAGCACAGGGCGCTTCCCTTGGACCATGGGCCGTGGCCGCTGGTAGTCTCTATAGGAGCGCTGCGGGCCAAGGGGCTGTACGACGTATAAGCTTGACGACTATGACCAGAACCAGAGCCCAGGGCAGGAGAAAGGAGATAATACATTTAATAGCCTATCAGGCATGAGAAGATATCGTTAAAGTACAGTGTTAAACAGTCCCAACCCGACCAAACCACAAAAAGAAGCACAAGAAGAAAGGATTACCAGACATCCATGCGAGAGCTGGTTGCTGGTAGCCGAGGCCAGTGACTATCAATCCAAATCCGGCTACTAATAGGATATACGGACAGGTGAGACCGGGGAGTGTGATAGAGGATAGATGGAGAGGATTTTGGAGAAGAAGTGCGGCTATGGAGATGGTCTTTTATCCGTCGTCGTCGTTTCTTTCTTTCTTTCTGTTTTTTTTTCTCGTCCCTTGTACAGCTTTACTCGACGCTGTGGGCGCTCTCGGCGCCGCTGTCGCTGGTGAAAGCACCTAGCTTCAATGAGGGATCCATGGCGACCATCTCGGCTAATATTTCGAGGACGTCCTTTGGCACGGTTCTGTCGTAGATAGCAATGAGGTCCTTGGGCTGAGGATAGACCTTGAGCGCTTTGTAGAAGGCCACGGCGGCTTCAACATGCGAGGAGCCTAGAATCTCGAGATTAGGATCGAACTTCGAGAGAGGGGGTTAGAAGGGGTTAATGTCTGTCTGACGTACTGTCTGCGCATAGTCCCTCTCCCTTTGCAACCTGGCTCATAAAGAAGCCTTCTCTCTCCTCAAGGTCAGCTGGGAAACCCTCGTCCTTTGCATCGGCAACTGCCTGTCTGATCTTCGCCATCTGCTGAGCTCCTTGAGCTTCATTCTCCTGCCGCACCGCTCTTGCCATCCGACGATTATCTCGTTTCAAAGCACGGCGGAATTCGGGGTCAGACTGTCTTCGGTAGTCAAAGTAGATGGCATAGGCTAGAACCAGAAAATTTCAAAAGGTCAGCTCATATCCTCCTGTAGCTAGAATCCACATGAAACACAGCATGAATAGCACAATTGAGAGGTTTACCAAGCAATCCTGTAATAACGGTGCCAGCCGAGACGGCCGCTATTGTTGATGTCCTCATTGTCGATGGCTGTATATTATGAGTCTGTAGAGATGGCGAAGGGACGAAGGCACAGTAGCACTTCTCTATCAGTGATAGGAAATAATGAAGCGAGATATTAATCCAACCGCAAAAAGCAGACAGACAAGAAGAAAAGAAAATTATCGGGACTGCAGGTTTGTTGTTTGTTGCTCGACTTGAAGGCTCTTTTGGAAAAGTTGAAGTTATCGAAGCTCTTTTTTTTCCGATGTTTTATCATTTTGTTCCTTTTTTTACCTTTTCGGCCTTCCCCTTTTGGGTTTCACGCAACGTCAATTTCGACGACTACAACAACTCCAACCACATAACAGCAACAACTACGGTATCAACTACGACATCCGCCAGCAGCAGATCTATGCTATTGAAATAAAGGACAGAGGCGCCATGGATGTGAAGGGCCTCACCCTTCGAAGCAAGGCTTCCCGCCGTCGCCCCAAGATCAGTGCTCCGCAGCCTATCACGAATCACAACAACTCCGCCGCGCCAGCAGCAGGACGAGCTCCAGAAGCCAGACACCACCCGCAGCCCAGTGATGCTACTTCGGACCTTGTTAAACGAAGATACTCTGCGAAATTCAATACTCTCCCGGGCATCGACTCGGAAGCTCCTCCAGTCCCCAGCCTTCCAAGCGCTCCCATAGACCACTTTGCCTCAGACAGGGAGCCCACGTCCGCGGGGGGAGCACAGCCGATTCGAGTGGATGCGAATGCCTTGAGAAACCCGAATTTACCAATTGAAAGCTGTATGTTGCATGTTGATTTCTCATTTGTGTAGTGACTTGCGCTAATACTCTACCGTTCGCATAGATGTGACCGGGCTGTTAGAACATGCCTCGGAACAGGACATACGAGACTATCAGAGTGACTTGCGGAAACTAAAGAGCAAAACCTCCTCTGACCTACAGCAGAGCGTGTACCAGAACCGCACCCAGTTCATTAAAATCAGTAAGGAAGCTGAAAAGTTAAGGGAGGAGATGAGCACCCTTCGCGGCCTCATGTCCGAGCTTACTACCACTCTAGGCCAAGCCAACGCAACGAACGGAGCAAATGGTTCACAACCGGGCTTTGATGATGCGCCAGCTAGGAGACACGCCCATAGGAGTTCTATTGCTAACCTGGAGAGCATGTGGAATATTCAGCTGCAGCAGTTATGGAAGAATGTTGAACGTTCTCAAAAGTATCTTCCAGCAATCCCGGGGCGACACATCGTCATGGAATCGAGCCAATGGGTTGAACTTGATTCTGCTACGTGGAAACCAAGACGTCCAGTTCATATTGTTCTTCTCAATGATCATCTGCTCATCGCTGCAAAGAAAAGAAAGCGAGTGGATCCAAACACTGCTAACGGGAAGTCAGTTTCTGTTCCAACAAAACTGGTAGCGGAAGAGTGCTGGCCACTACAGGATATCGACATGATTGACCTTGGATCTGGCTTAAATTCTGGCGAAGACATGGATGAACGTGGCGTGCCAAATGCAGTCAACATTCGATATGGCCAAAGCTCCTTTACCTATCGTCATGACCAGCGGAATAACAAGGCTAAGAATGAGCTGGTCATGACTTTCCGAAAGACGCTGGAGGAGCTCCGTAAAAGCCTAAAATCAGAGGCAGAGGTTGCTGCCAAATCCCGGGAGGCACTGATGAACAACAGTCAGCCTGCATCTCACCGGCATTCTGAATTTCTAGATACCATGGACCCTCGTGATAAACTAGAAGTTTTAATTGATGTCGACGGAAAGCAACAGAACATGAGATGGGTGGAAGGTCAACTTGATGAACTTGATATTGACATCGCAATCCAAGTGTTTGAAACTGCTGTTTCGCGTGTTGAGAAACTTCGAAAACTGGCAAAAGGACTGAAAGGGAATCAAACCGCTCAGGAGGCCATTAACTCCGGAGTAGATGCTAGGGCTAACAAACTTGCCGAAATTCTTCTTCGAGCCCTAGTCGATACTAATTCTTTCATGAATGCTACAAAGACGAATGTTGCCTGGTTGACTCGGCTGGGTTATGATGATCGAGCTCGGGAAGCTTACCTCAATGCTAGGAGCCAAATAATAACCAAACGTGCTAGGTATGCTCCGTGTAATCATTCTTGTAATCGTTTACTTTACTCCCTCTTCGCACTAACATTCGTCCAGACACTGTGTTTTTGAAGGTGACTTGCTGTTATATATATTCCAAATTTCGTTTGTCTACTTCACCATGATTCGGAACACGATCGCCATCTATCAACAATGTTTCCCATCACCCATGTCCAGTGCAAGTATTAAATGGGGCAAGGATCATTTGGACGACTTTAATGCTACTCTAAGCCGTCAGCTTAGCAGTGTTGAGCCCAGCAACCCCGTGTGGGAGAAATGCATGGAGATAGTATACCAACATGCTAGCTCACTTTCAGAAGTCGGGGTGGATTTTAAAGATATGATCCGTGTTGAAGGACTGGTTGTCAAATCCCCGAATAGCACCCCAACAGAGTGAACTTGGTTTATAGCATCCGTGTGGAGAATTTATCCATTGCATATTATCTCGATTTAATAATACCCATGTAACGCTTGATGAATCAACCTGATACACATGCCTATGATTTCAGTTTTATTCTATACACCATCTCTATTATTTTTGCCAGATTTATGCCCAAATTTCATCCCACGCATCCCCAGAAATCGTTTGGTTATCCTTCAAAGTACCGATTCTAAAGCTGTTTGATGAAGTTCCAGTGCTGGCACGTCCTACTAACCCTCTATCATTCTCTGACCCTGTAGGCAGCCTCATCCAGTGCGAGACAACATCTGGAACTTCTTCCTTGACATGGCTGATGACAATTAAAGCTTGAGATGCAGACAGTCCTCGATGTCTGGCCTCATTCATCGCGTGGCTTTGCAGGCGAGGAAGATGCCACATATTGAAGTCAGGTACTCGACGAGAACCGGTACTTTCTTCTAATGTTTCTCCAGCTTCGAGGAAGTGTAGGCACTTGTCTCTCAAAGATCTAGGCATTCCAGAAAAGGCTTCGTCGAGAACAATCAGCTCGGGCTTATTGACGACAGCACGTAGAAATAGGACTAAACGCTGCTGGGCCACATCCAAGGACGAGAAGAGGGTGTTGTCAGCCCAAGAAACCGAAGGATCATGAGCCTCATGGTTAGCTCCAAGCAGAAACTCTGCGTTCAAGTCTGCTTCGAAAAATTTTAGTGCGGAAATAACGTCAAGGCGTCTCTTCTGATCAAGTTTCGGTTTTGACAGGAATGTATCTGCCCAGGCGGACTCTACCGATGCCCTTATAGACAAGCTTCGAGGGAAAAATGCGTGTACCTCAGGCGAAGAGTGTCCAATGCGTGACTGGAGGTCAAACAGTGATATGCCAGGCTTACCGGCTTCCGGTAACCTTGATCGGCCAAACAGACGGAGCGGAAGGGAGTATGCTTGCGGGTGATCTGATGTTATAAGGGATAACAGCGTTGTCTTCCCCGACCCATTCAGTCCAAAGACACCCCATCTTTGGCCACGGCGAACCTCCCAGTATAGGCCCTCCTTTTTCTTTCCTTCAATTGTTTGGTCCCAGCCTCCGAGGACAGTCTTTTCACCGTATAATACCCTGACACCTTCCATTTCGACAATTGGTTCTCCATAGTTCTTGGTGCGTTTTAGCCCGAAGTCGGGAGGCTTTGACATTATCTCGAGATCATGAAGCAGAGCTGTTTCAGATTCAAACCGGTGTTCTTTGAATAACATCTCTGCCTGATCATATTTCAAACGGTCTTGGGCGGAGAATGCAGTATACTGCTTTTCTTCATCCTTATTTCTTGGAAGGAGTTGCTCTCTGCCTGACATTGGATTCAACTTCCGATGCGCAACAGCCTTCCATATCTCCAGATGATTAAGCACGTCACATTTTTCTCCTTGGAGGGCTACAGTATGGTCCTTATTTAATATAACCACATGTGTAATCCAATCAGGTAGCGTATCCTGTGGTCTAAGAGACAAAATAACTTGCGGCGAACCTCGTAAAGAGATGTTGAACAATAGTGGGGAGAGCGCCTTGACTGTCGGAGGATCCAAACCCACTGTATATCCAATTAGTCTTAAAGTATACTATTAGATATGGGAATACATACTGAACGGATCATCAAGTAATAACACCTCGGGCTTGTCTAACAACGCTTTTGCGATCCGTGCCCGTCGTGTCTGGCCATTGCTCAGGTTTGACAATGGCATATCCAGTAACTTTTGCAACCCTAGGTCGGCAACTACTTGCTGCAATAACTTGCCATGTGTATAAGGTATGTCTTCAGTGCCCTCCAGAGGGTTAAGAGACGTCTGCCCTCTCAGGAACTGCAGAACGGTGAAGTCTGTCTCCTCTTTTCTGCTTTCGTATCTTGCACTGAGATAAGAACCCCGGACGCCTCCAGCGTCCTTCTTTGCGTCTCCATTGAACCCGATATAACGGATTGCACGACCTGGGAATCGAAGGCGTGGATCCTTCAAGGTGATCTCCTCTGTTGCGAGAAGGGGGTATGACCTGGCTGCAGGTGGTATGCATATATGCCGACCACACAGTATTTCTAGGAAAACAGATCTATCAGAAGATCCAATCACGGCCCAAAAGGGGTGTTTCTGGGAGTTCCTGGCTCTGTCAGATCGGCTGGCTTCATTATCGACAGGCAATAGTTCAAAACTTAGGTTGGGATAGAGAGGAGGATTCTCCTTCTGGCTGTCCCCAGGTATTGGATAATGTCTGAAGAAGGTTGCATCTTTTATCTTGATGATTGGCTGGCTTGTCTGCGTCGAGAATCTGCGGGCTGACGCTGCAGGGTAGCCGGGTATCGGCCATTGGCGGCAGAGCAAGGGCTTGAGCATGCCGTAGATTTGAGGTGCACTGCGGGATAGGGATACGGCTAAATATCGATGGATTAATGGTGTACTTGGGTGTGATTTTGACTTATTCCATTGACAAAATAGTGCTGGAAATTGCGGGTGAAAATTGAGGGATCCAGAGTTGATGTGGCTAACTAGTTAACTAACTAGCTGGCTGGCTGTTACGAAGAGAGAACGGAATAAGATAAGCACATGAATCATTGCTTTACCCGGACCAATATAACTTCTGAATAACTGAATAACTGAATAGTCAAGTGGAAAATTCGCTATGCCAGCACTTAAACCAGTTAACCAGTTAACTAGGCCATCCATCCATCCACCAAGAAAAAGAAATAATAAACAAAAAACAAACGCCCCAAACCAGAAACAAACGCATAGCACACATAACATATACCGAAATAGAACGCTGGGTATACATACATACACGAGTCATACAGGGAGTACTTCATAATAAACTTGTATCTACGTGATATTTTGTCTAGTTAAACCGACATGAAATCAAACAAAACTTTTGTGACGCATATATGGCAAAGAAACTGGTAAAGAGTGCCAAAGACACCCGTCTGTAACGAGGCAAAGTAAAATTAAGGGGCCATGACCAAAGCCAACAACGCCATTCGGCAGTAAAGACCATATCTCATCTAGAGAATAGAACATTAGCAAGAGTACATAAAGGGCACGGGAAGGAATAATGGACTTACCTGTCTAAAGTAAGCAGCGCGCTGGTCAAAGTCCACTTGCTCATCAATTTCAGCGTTTCTTGGGAGCGGATGCATGACCACCATCTGGCTCTTCGCCTGGTTCATGATAGAATTGTCAATGACGAAGCTGTTCTTCAGCCTCTCATATTCTTCTTGGTCCGCAAATCGTTCTTTTTGGACTCGGGTACAGTATAAGACGTCGGAGCGGGCCACAACTTCAGGGGTCAACTCGTTGGTTTCAACAATGAGCTGACCAGACCTGATAACTTGCTGGCGGATGTCTTCCGGCAAAGACAGAGCCTTAGGAGAAACAAGTTGAATGCGGACTTGATAGAACTGAAGCAATTTAATGAGGGAGTGAACTGTTCTTCCATGTTTCAGGTCACCTGTGAACGTAACAGTGATTCCACTCACGGTACCTAATTCTTCACGAATGGTAAAGAGATCGAGGAACGCCTGGGTAGGGTGCTCCTGGCTTCCATTTCCTCCATTGATTATTGGAACAGGGGAGAATTTGGCTGCCGTAGACGCGCTGCTCTCCTCAGGATGGCGTAGAACAACTGCATCGGAATAGCAAGCAAGAGTGCGAATAGTATCCTGCAGGGTTTCTCCCTTTTGAGCAGATGAATGTTGGGTGGCGATAGCCACAGTCCGACCACCCAGTCGTTGCATTGCTGTGTCAAACGAGGCAGAAGTACGGGTAGAAGGTTCGTAGAACAGAGTACATAGAACACGACCCTTGAGGATATCGAGAACTCCTTGACGCTGGACCCCGAGTCGCATTTCCTGCGCTACTGTAAACAATAAATGAAGGTCTGACCTGTTGAACTGATTGACAGACAGTATATGCTTATGCCTAAACGTGGAGCGAGAAAGTAGCTCCTGGAGCGAGGGGGTTCCTCCAGTGGATGGAGTAGCGTATAGTGGTGGTCCAAGCTCATCAGCTGTAGCAAGGGAATCAGCTTGTTTCAGTGGTGATGGGCGCGCTTGTGGAGTAGTCGTGAATGATAAGCGCCTGCCAATCGAGCCCATTGCCATTGGAGACCGAGGGGCCATCTCTTTCATGGAAGGTGACTGGGGTGGTGCTGGTGTGTGGGACGACATGTCCATGCCCTTAGGTGCGTCAGAAAGTAGTTCATTGTCAAGGCACGCCGTCTTTCCCTGGAAATTGACACGCTGGATGGAGCCACGTAGTGTTTTACCAGTAAATGGTGACCAAGCACCCTGGCTCTTGAAAACATAGGGGCGATCAACTTCAACTTCAACGAAAGTATCCTGCTGGTCATGGAGCTCGAAAATCCTCTTCGGATTCTCATACAGCCTTTTGGTAATGTCGTCGATGGTCAGTCGCCCTTCAGATACTGCGGTCAAGAGGATTGGGAGTGCATCTGCCAACCCAACCGTGGGAGATGCCTCTTTTCCAGCGGTCTCGTATGGGAGACTTCCAACACTGAACACGTCAATCGTCCCGAGATGTTCCCAGAGCGATTCTTGGGCTTTCTTGGTTGGCAGGTGACAGCTCTCTGGGAAGGTCTCCTGTGACAAAAACAACGAGTATATAGAAACATCGCAGGTCACTCTTAGCCCCTTTTCTTTGCTAAGCGCGATGAGTTTGATGTCTTCTTGAGATGTAACACTCATGACATGTACGTTGCGGTTATGAAGGCTAGCCAGAAGAAGTATTGAGGCAAGGTCTGTACCCTTTGCATCAGTTATGATAGGCTTGTTGGATGGCCAAGATGCAAAATGAGTCGTGACTGTAGCAACCTTGTTGATATTACCGGCCAAGTGATTGAATGGGATGAACAATGAGCCAACCTCACTGGATATAAGGTCAACCTGGTCGGCATTCGTGGCAGTCGCGGTAACTGAGAAGTTAAAATCACAGTAAGAACCCTTTTG